TCAACCGCCCCCTGTCTTTGATCAAAGGCCTCCGCGTTTGTCCGACTCCGCCTTCTATCCGACCTACAGCTTACCCGACCTGCGGATATCCTATCTCGACAACTTTTCCGACTCGAAGACCTTCCGACTTGAGGTCTTTCCGTCTTGCGGACCTCCCGACCTGAAGACCTTCCGACTTGAGGTCTTTCCGTTTTGCGGACCTCCCGACCTGAAGACCTTCCGACTTGAGGTCTTTCCGTCTTGCGGATCTCCCGACCTGAAGACCGTCCGACTTGAGGTCTTTCATCTTGAGGGCCTCCCGACCTGAAGACCTTCCGACTTGAGGTCTTTCCGTCTTGAATTTTCCTTAGAAATAAATAAATAAATTTATTTTCCTTGATTTCCTCACGGTATCCTTCAGCCAGTTCAATCAACCCTATTGCCAGGCCCATTCCTCGTTTTACCTTGGGCTTTTAACCTAATTCTAAATTTCGTACGTAACAATAGGCAAGTTGCAATATTTTTTTTTTAAATTAAGTTTTTAAATTAATTAATTCTTTAATTCAATTTACAGGTTAGACATTCTTTGTAGCTTCGTATTTTTGTATGCATTTGTAGATCCCAATTCATTTGCAGTCAATAAAGACAATTATTATTATTATTATTATTATTATTGACCTTTAGGCCCATTTTTCGCGTGCATATATCATTGTGTGTAACTACATATAAAGTGTATCATCATAGAAGTCAAAGACTTCAATTCATTTAGTTAGGTGTGTTTTTTTTTTTTTTTGTTTTTGGCATTTCTATTTAAACAATAGTAGATTATATATATATATATATATGTATACTTATACTATTTCATTAAAAGATTATATGTTGAACCGGGCCATGAGTCGCATCAACAATCACATAAAAAATAAACGGCATGTTCGTTGATTTTCGATTGTAAATAAATAAATAAAATTATATGTATCTTAATAGTTTAAATTTTTAGGTGAAACGGTTGTTTACTTCATCACAATTTATATTTATAAAATATGTTGTATAAACATATTTTATTATATTGAACTTAATGGTCGTGTGTTGTATGAGTTATTATCATATTGATTGTCAATTCATATGATATATTTGTATTATTTTAACACAAATATTTTGTTGTTATTTTTTATTCTATGCGTTGGCTATCAATATTTAAAGTCTCGTCGACTGTTGAATATTTTGTATTAGCATACAAACAACCTACAAAAATGATACTTTTTTCATTCATTTGATAAGTATTTGATTTTTTTTTTCACAAAATTTAATGAATATTATATATTTAAGTATAGTTGATACTTTTGTTCTTTATATAAAGACATATATTTTAATTTAATATAAATATTTATGTAAATAAATATAAATTTAAAAATATTTATAATATATAATGGAGTCAACACTTACTAAAAAGAAAGATTGAAAATTTTTGTATTTGAACGGCCAAAAATATAAAATTGAACACATTTCAATCATGTGAAAGAAGTGAAATTCTTCCGCACATCATTGGTAGACTTTAATAATTTAAATATAATTTCAATTTTCAAATTTTGATTTGGGGTTTGTTCATTAATTCATTAAAAAAAAAAAATTGACATATTTTCTAATTAATATTATAAAATATATAATACTCCCTCCGTCCCATAAAGAAGTATTCATTTATTTTTTACACATAGTTTTAGAAATATTAGTATTATATTGGGATATAATAGGAATAAAGTAAAAATGACTAAAATAATCTTATTAGTACAATTTTATTGGCATAGTAATAAAACAAAAAAATAAAAATAAAAGACAACACAAAAAGTATATAACCTAACGTAATTTTTAAATAAAATTATATAACCTAACGTAATTTTTAAATTGGACATCATATTTTTTATGATTTAAAAATTTTACTCTCTCCGTCCCGGAACAAGGGTGACATTTGCTTTTTGAACGTAGATTTTTTAATATTAGTATTATAATAGATTGTAATAAAAATAACGAAAATACCCCTATTAGCATTGTGTAATATAAAAATAATGATATTTGTGTAATATAGTGTAAGTTGTAAGGATATTTACTATGTTAGGTAGGTAGTACAGTTACTAAATTAGGAAATGATAACCTTGTTTTGGGACGGATAAAAATAAAAAATAACAACATTTTAATAGGACGGATAAAGTATATAATTTTTCTTTATTTCAAAAGTCTTTCACTGTTTTTACTCCAATAAGAGCAACCACAATGATAATCATAAATATGGAATCTCCTTACCAAAAGCTTTTTAATATCAAAAAATAAATATCAATAACATTTATATAGAAAGAAAACAAAAGAACACCCTGGAAAAAACATAAGCTATATTTACTTGTAAGATTTTACTCTGATTTTACTATTTTAATTTTATTTTTCTTTCAAAAATATCAAATTAAATATCTAATTTTTATTTATTTTATCACACTAAAATATAATTTTAGTTTCAAAATATCATATCAATACGTATTTATATCACATCAAACAACTATTTCAATTCAAAATTTTACTATTCAAAATCAAAATCTCCCGACTAAATAAAACAGCTAGCTTTTGTTATTAGTTTTAGAGCAAAGACAATGGTTAAACATAAAAATACCTTCTATATGTGGCATATCAATGAAATTTTCATTCAAATGACTAGTTTAAGAGGTAATGAGAAAAAAAAATGTAACACAATAGCTTTTTTTAATTGTTTTTTTATTCATTATATTGATGAGAGATAAAATTATAAAAGAGAAAATGTAAGTACTTCTTCTGTTCTGGTGCAAGGTTTTCGTTTACTTTTTATACGTAAATTTTTTAATATTAGTATTATAATTGATTATAGTAAAAAAGACGAAAAATACCCCTATTAGTATTGTGTAATATAAAATTAATGATATTTGTATAATATAGTATAAGTTGGAAGGGTATTTATTATGTTAGGTAGATAGTACAATTACTAAATTAGGAAATAATAATCTTATTTTAGAAGTGACGAAAATGAAAAATGACAATTTTTCAAATGAGACACAGGGAGTATTATTTTTATAAGAAGAATAAAAAGAAAAAAAAATCTAAAAAGTAGCCTCAGCTGCACAAACTTGACTTATGAAAATTACCTCTATTTTTCTTCTAATAAATGAGTCATTATAAATAAAATTTTATCAAGCTTGAAAAAAAAAAAAAAAAAAAAAAGTCCCCATTCTACGGAGGTCATCTATAACTTCTTCGTATTTGCTCTTACTAAGACACATTTTACAAAAATAACAATGGGTGTGTTTACTTGTCAGATTTTACTGTTGATTTTACTATTTTAATTTTTTTTTTTTTTAAAAAATATCAAATCAAATACCTAATTTTTATTTATTTTATTACACTAAAATTTAATTTTACATTCAAAATACCACATCAACACATATTTATATCACATCAAATAACTATTTCAATTCAAAATTTTACTATTCAAAATCAAAATCTAAAACTAAAACCTCACAAGTAAACACACCCAATAATAATAATAAATAATTAGGGGGGGGGGGGGTTTTTTTGTTATTTGTAGTATAAGTCACTATATATATACTCTCTCTCGTTCATTTTGAAATGAATTTTTTGGGATTTTATAGTATATTAAAAAATAATACTAGTATTTTATTAATTAGTGGAAGTATATAAGAGATTTTGATATTTTTGTCATTTGATTTTATGTAAAAAAAAAAAAAGTGTATATGTAATTGTGTAAAGGTATATTTGTAATTTAAATAAAAGTTAAAGAATATTTTGTTATTAGTATAATTACTTTTACTAAAAATAGAAATAAATACTTTGAAATGAAACAGACGAAAAATTGTAAAAATAGTACTCGAATTTGGACGGATAGAATTTTTGTTACTTGAGACTGGAGTCTAAACAAACTGTTTGCACACCGCAACCAACAAAGACTTTTTATATTATAATTATTATTTTTGCTCTTAATAATGTCCAATTTTTTAGCCGTCTACATTTAACGGACTTAATATATTTTGTGCTTATTATTGAATTTTTTATGGATGACGAAAGTATATACTATTACACAAATATTTGTATTGTATATATAAATACTTAAATAGATATATGTAACTAATATAATTAAATTTTAATATGTCAAAAATTTAATCAAAAAAATTTCATTGAAAATCGCAAAAGAGTAATAGAGATGATACGAGTTTGTGATGTGTAAACATGAAGTGTGAAAATGAAATTTTATAGACACTCTTGGGGTTGTGTTAAAATTAATAAAAATTTCAAAAGATCAAAAATTATTGATTACAAATTTAAATAAGAATTAAAAATATATTAAATTAGTTTTAAAATTATTTTAAAAATTCAAAATTTAGAAATTCTAATAATTAGTATTATAATCACCATTAATCGTATATTTAATGAAAATTAAAAAATATTAAATCAAATTTTAAAATATCAAGAAATACAAACAAAATAAAAAATAGATTTAAAACAATGAGTCCCACAAACAATAATTATTCATCCTATCCGATCAATAAAAAAATAATTATTCATCCTATTAATTGTAAACACGCCATTAGGGTTTTGATTTTGGTAGATTAAAGTATAATTTTATTTATTAAATTGCAATGAGAATTACTTATATTCTTTAGTAAATAGGAAAGTCAGTTGAAAAATAAAAAAAATAAAAAAATATAGTTATTGAAATGAATCGAACAAGAAATACTTTTGGTGATTTTTTTTAAAAAATTATAAATTATATACGATATTTTTGTAAAATTATATTTTAATACATATATTTAAAAAAAAATAAAATTAAATATTTAAATAATAAATTAAATATAAATTTTTAATAAAATAAAAATATGTATATATTGCAAAATTTATTTCTCTATATTTCTCTTTAATTGATTTTTTACCAATGAGAAATTGTTGGGTCTGTCTTCTTGTTCTTCAATCAATCGAAGATTATAAACATAGTATAGCATAATCCATGTCTGTATTCTCAAATCAATCCTTGTAAGAACAAGGATTCGTCGATCATATATAGCCATCATTCTTCGAGATTGCTGCCAGCTACATCAACCACAAACCTGTATCTAACATCATTCCTTTCCATCCTCTCCAATGCTTTGTTTACATACTCCATCTTCACCACCTCCGCCAAGCTTCTCAGGCCCTTCTCCACCCAGAACTTCAGCAATTCCTCCATTTCCTCCATGCTTCCAATGAAACTACCTGCAACTGTCTTCTTCCCTGCACAACAAAAAAAGAATCAATTTTCAGATCCATTTCAAGTTCCATTCTGTTGCATACTGATTAGTGATTACCTAATATCAGATCACTTGCTAGAAACTGCAGTGGCTGAGGAGATGCTCCCACCATCAATATCTTCCCTTCTGCTTTCAGTAGCGAAATGTACGACTGAATCGAATGGTAAGCCGGCACTGTGTCTAGAACATAATCAAGGCTGTTTGCAGCTTTCTTCATTTCATCTTCATTACAACTTACCAAGAAAGCATCAGCCTTCAAGTGATCGATAGCCTCGTCTCTTTTCTTATCCGATGAGCTTATCACCGTCACATGATGCCCCATACCTTTAGCTATAAGCACCCCTAGATGCCCCACCCCCCCTAAGCCAAGAATTCCTCCATTGATGACCTTTTCGGAATTATGCTTAAACTGTTTGAGAGGACTGTAAGCTGTCACTCCTGCGCATAGCAGCGGCGCCGCCTGTTCAGGTGCCAATTTTTCGGGGATTTTAACTGCAAACCTGTTTGCATTTTACAATGTCGGATGAAATATGAATGACTCTTTTCTTTCTGTGTTCTTATGCATGCATTAGAATGAAGAGAAGTTTTTTTTTTTTTTTTTTTTTTTTTAATTTTGACACCTGTGATGAATGACCATAGTCGATGAGAATCCGCCCTGTGTAGGAGTTCCGTCGGTGTATACGTCGTTGTATGGTAAGATTCTGTGGCTGCAGTATTGTTCTTGATGAGAGCTGCACAAATCACAGTCCCCACAAGAACCTATGATCCCTCCAATACCTATTAGGTCTCCCAATTTGAAGTTGTTCACTTTTGATCCCATTTCTATCACTTCTCCAACCACTTCATGCCTGCAGAATGTGTTAAAGAAATTTATTTCAAATTTAATGATCCTATTTATATGATGGAAGGTTTGATGTACTTAGAAATCCAAATTCTATTTTGATTGCAAGATTTGGAAATAGAAATTATTGGATTATAGTGAGATGAAGATCCTATTTTTATCTAGGAGATCAGCTCAGATGTTGTAATATGAATATGTAAGAAGAATTAGTGGGAAAATTGCAAAAAATATTTTAATGGATACCTGCTGGCAAAATATATCTCACATGTTTGCAAAAGTCGTTATTTCTATCCTTTGGCCGCGCATGGTATGGACATCGGCGTGTCCGAATGACAGAAATAGAGACTTTTGCAAAGATGTAAAATATATTTTGCTATAGAGATAAATAGATGAGAAAAGTGACAGTGGAATATACACGAGGGATATATATACATTACATACATTACATATATACATACATACCCTGGAACCAAAGGGTAGATGGTATTGCTTTTCAGTTCTCCCTTAATTTGATGAAGATCAGTGTGGTCAATTCCACAATACATCACCCTCACCACCATGTCATCTGGACCCATTTCCCTGTTTGAAAAGAAAAAACGGACAAGATTAAAGGATTGTATTTAGACAAGCAATTCTATGTTCATTTATTTTTTTTATTTTTTTTTATTTTTTATGTAGGAGAGAAATTAACCTGAGATGATATGTGTAAGGGGAGAGATGGCCAGATGGGCTTGTGGCTGCCCATGCACTTGCTTTTCTGCCTACCATATTTGATGTGTGTAATAAGGAAGAGAATAATTTAGGGGAAATGAATGCACAAACTCGGCCTATTTATGGAAGTATGTGCAATTATAATTTGGTCGTTTTAGCAGTCGAGGTTGATATAAATAGTAATAAAATGAAGGGAAAGAAGACATGTATGCTTAGGTTTAGCCCATTATTTTATTGAGGAAGAAAGAAAAGAAGAAGAAGAGTGTTCGAATTTGAATTTTGGAGCTCTTTCCAATCAGCAGTGACGTCTGCCTGCCTCTTTCTTGTATTGTTCCTATATATTCCCATGTTTCTATATTTAGAATTTGTTATCGGTATTGCTGTAGTGTTTGTGACCAAGACTCCGACAACAAGTCCAAATGCTCTTTCTCTTCTTCTTCCTCAAGTTTTCAAACTAATGGCAATGAATTATTAACTAATTGAACAATCCCAGATGATAATTTAAATGAGGTTATTTTTTGGGTGTGTTTTTACTGTTACCAACCAAATGGACAATAGCTATAGAACCAATTCTTTTTGCCCATCTCCTTGCTGCTGCTGTACATTGATTGTACAATATTTGGTTTTTATTTTCTTCTTCCTTGTCACCATTTTTTTTTTGTTTTTTTTTTTTAATTTAATTAGCAAAATCTACACTAAAAAAAACAAAGAAACAGTTCTCCCCTCAGATTCTGCATTTCCTTCTCAAATCAAGATGTCTTGTCTCAGCCAAACCTCCTCATCGCTGCTCCATTGCCGAACCCCATCCTCGGCCGTTGATGATGATCCTCATCGAACGGCTGTCGTTGCTTCTCCAAACCCGCCATGTAATTCCTCACCTCCGCCCGAATCATCTCCTGCATCACTGCCATCAGCTCCGCCCCGAACGACACCGGAAACTTCGCCGTAACCGAATCAACAATCGCCGGGGCCGGAAGAATGGGTTGGCTCCGATTCAACTCAGTTGTACGATTGATCATCTCAGACGCCGCCGGGAGCGACAGGCTGAGGTCGGTCGGAGGATCATTGGCCGGCAGACCCGAGTCGCTCAAATCGGATCCGGACGGGCTGCCCGGACCCGACCCGGCGCTGCTGGCGGATCTCTTCAGCGGGCGCGGCGCCGCCCCGCCGCCGTCGGAGGAGGAGGCGCATTTCCTTTTGAGCGTCGCGTTCCAGTGGTTCTTGACGGCGTTGTCGGTCCGGCCGGAGAGCAGCCGGGCGATGGTGGCCCACCGGTTCCCGAAGCGGGCGTGTGCCCGGATTATCGTCTCGTCCTCCTCCGGCGTGAAGGGGCGGTGCTCCACCTCCGGCGAGAGCTGGTTGCACCAGCGGAGGCGGCAGCTCTTGCCGGAGCGGCCGGGGATGGAGCGGCTGATTAGAGACCAGTTCCGGGGGCCGTGGGCCTGGACCAGGCGGCGGAGGAGGTCGTCCTCCTCGGGGCTCCAGGGACCCTTGATCCGGTCGGCGTCCATTGTGGGTGAGTGTGATGGGGGGCTGGGGTGGGGGTAGGGTTATATACGAGGGGGTGGGGTGGGTGGGTGGGTGCCTAGGGCCAGCTGTGATTTTTGGATAACGGTTGAAAATGGGGAACAGCTAGCAAAAGGGGACACACACACACATCCGATGCTGATTTACTCATTAATATCTGCTTTTATGTGGCGTAACCTTTAAACTAATGTAGTATTTTATTTTATTTTTTAAAAATGTTTTTAATTATTTATTAATATTTCTGATTTATAGTTATAAATATCTGTGTGCAGTGCAGTGTGCTCTGATAGCGAGAATATTCGGTTAGTATAATAAATGTAATTAAAAATATATAAATATGGGGGTTGGGAAGACAGGGTAGGTATTTACTCGTCGGTTTGAACTTAATTAATACAAGGGGTTCTTTGTGTGTTTGAATAAAATTATTCATTACACTAATTTAAAGATTGACAAATATATAAATTAATGTAACAAAATTTATATTAATATAATACAAAATTTAACGTATAGAAACAAATAGCACAAAAATGGAGCAACCCATTGCTTTGGGTATGTGTGTATATAAACTTATGTAGGTATATATTGAAATTAATATTATTTATTCTATACAAATTTTAATAAAAATATTTCATCAAAAATACCGTATAAACAAAAATTCAAATTAATTTTTTATTTCAAATCAATTTCAAACGATAATAAAATAAATGCAGTACTTCAGAGTATTTGGATTTTTTCTCGAAAAGACATAACATATATTATAGTAAAAATTAAGTCGATAAACCATCACTACAATTAATGGGAAAAACATATATAGTGATTGATAAAGATGTGTGTGCTTTTAGTTTTCAATTGAATTATAAGTGCATGAAAATAAAGAGCCTTTATTTGAATGTAGGAGAAGTAAGTAAACTAAAATAATTGAATGACTTTACGTTCTTGTTTATATTTCTTGTATTTTAAAAATATATACATTTTTTATCATAATAATTTTTATATTATATATTTTAAAAAAAAAACTAAGTTAATACTTACTATCTATTTATTATCATGATATTTGGAATGTATTATACTTTATTATTATTGATGTTCTTATTTCTTCTCATACTAACTTACATATGCATTTAATAATGAACAATAAAATTGTTATCAATAATTATTAATTCGATGTTACGTTAAAAATAAATAAATATGTATATATATATATACTTTTATTTTATTTTTAAAACAATAAGGACACGTTTGGGGGTTGAATGTAGGACAGCTAAGAGTCGATAGAAGTTTGTATAAGAACACAACTGCTCTCAATAATTCTCATCTTTTTGCTAAAAAGGTGAACCAAACAAAGCACAAGTACGAACCAATACGGCTTTTGTCGCTATCCTATCAAAGTATTCAATCCTTTTTATTTATTTTATTATTTTTATATATATATATATAAATTATTTAAATATAATAAATAGTATTTCTACATGGAATGGATCGTATAAAGTAGAAACGAAATCAGCGTACGCCACCGTAGATACGCTGAAAGGGACGGTGGACTTCTTTTAGCCGTTGGATTCGACAGTTGGGGCTTGCAATTATTAATTTTGCAGATGTACAACTTGTGCTGCGGAAGGTACGTACGTCAAATGCATATCCCACGAATCCCGCTTTGAGGGGATTTTTTTAACCATTTTTAGTCCGCTTTTAGGACCCATTTTTAAATAAATGAATGATAATTTTTTTTAGTATGATTCATTTTCTTTAAAAAATATAATATTAAATATATTTTTATTTCGCATAATATTAATTTTTTGTTATTTTAAAATTTTCAAAAATCTCCTGTATAAACCAAAATAAACTGAAAGTATTTGAGGTGCGCTTGAAGGTGTGTAGTGTTTGATTTATAATCTAAATAAATATTTAATTTAATATTTGAAATAAAAAATTAATTATAAAAATAAAAGAAATTAGTACTATTTTATCTTATGTTTTGGATATTAAAAAAATAGTGTAAGTGAACCGCATGCCTAAACACACCTGAGTACTGACAGAGACTAATAAGCCGTTGTCCTAAACTAATAATAATAATAATAATAATAATAATAATAATAATAATAATAATAATAATAAATATTATTCCAATAATTGAAATGTTTAATTAAATAATTGAGTGAAAGGGGAGGTTCTGTAATTATTATTATTATTATTATTATTATTATTATTATTTTGTGTGCTAAGTATATATGTATTATACTTGCAAGGATATTGAAGCTACAAAAAGACAATAAATCAGTCTGTAACTCGAATAAATCGAATGTAACTTTAATCAAATGAAAGAGAATCCTGAAGACAAAAGGAATAGCAAATCAATTGGGCCGTGTAACAACTAAAAGCCTAATAAAAATTTTTATTATTATTATTTTTTTAAATACTACTTTTTCCGTCCATTGAAAGGTTGTCATTTTTTATTTTTATCCGTTATCATTTTCTAATTTAGTAATTGTACTATTTATCTAATCTAATAAATACTCCAACTTACAATATATTACACTATACCTATAGGGGTATTTTTGTTTTTTTTTTTTACTACAATCCAATATAATATTAATATTTAAAAATCTAAGTGAAAAAAACAAACGTCACTCTTTCATCGGAAGGGAGGGAGTATGATTTTTAAGATATACTAATAAAAACAAGTTATTATTTTATTTTTTATATATTTATTGTATAGATAAAAATATAAAAATGCTAATATATATGGTGTGTTTTTATATCCGGCTAAATTTAAGAAAATATCAAACTTACTTTATAAAAAATTAAAAGATAAATAAATCAGTAAGATCTCCAACCACACTGCAATTATGCCGCCCCGGGTCTCCAATTCAACGCCAATTGCAACGCCATTTTTTGTGTTTGTTACAGTACAACACCATTTTTTGTGTTGCACTATAGCAAACGCCATTTATGGTATCTTTATTATTATTTTTTTTTATTTTTTATTTTTTACAAATGGTAAATTTAACTTTTAAATTTAATTTTTATTTTTTAAAATTTTTTAAAAATTTAATTTAAAATTATAAAAATAAAAAGTTGTTTAAAATAATAAGAAAAATTGAATATTAAAAGAATAATAAAGTAAAGTAGAGTTATGGTTGGAGTAAAATTACCGTAACAATTGCATATTTAGAGTTAAAATTGGATAAATGAAGTTGATGGATTGAAGATTGCATAAGACAATAAAACAATCACATAGAGCTTCAAAATTATTCAAGATATACAAATCAAACAAACAACAGCCAAGAAACACTTCGGGGTTGTGTTACTTTGGGTGCGAAACCATTATATGTAAATATCATTAAAATTACAATATATAATATATAAATATATTTTACTCACTAAAAAAATAAATAAATAAATAAATAATACAAAATATTCCTACTATTTTTATCCGTTTTAAAACAATAGTCTTATTTTCATAAATAATCATATCATTATAAAAACTATTTTTATTTTTTCATTATTATTACATAATTGTCACTATTTTTTACACTAATACACTTATAAAATAAAAAAATTACTCGTATTTTTTATCCACTACCAACATAATATTAATATTTCTTAAATTTCATGTCAAATACACTCAGACGGAGGGAGTACTATTTTCAATAAGTTAAAAATGCACAATGGGTTCGGCTCTATATTCCTATCTTGTCAGAAAAAAAAAAAAAGGACCGAAAGTGATAAAAATGAAAATAAATATACTTTATCTGTTCTCATACTTTATCTGTTCTCATTGGAAGGATGACATTTGCTTTTTGTACGTAAATTTTTTAATATTAGTATTCCCTCCATCCCGGAACTAAATATCCATTTGCTTTTTCACGTAGTTTTAGAAATATTAGTATTATATTGGGATATAATATGAATAAAGTAGAAATGACTAAAATAACCTTATTAATATGTGTGATAGAAAGGTAATGACATTTGTGTAATATATTGTAAGTTGTAAGGGTATTTGTAATGTTAGATAGATAGTACACTTACTAAAAATGAAAATGAATATTTTGTTATGGGACATACTAAAATAGAAAAATGGATACTTTGTTATGGGACGGAGGGAGTATTATATTGGATTGTTATAAAAAAGACAAAAATATCCCTATTAGTATAGTGTAATATAAAAGTAATGATATTTGTTTAATATATTGTAAATTAGAAGGGTATTTATTATGTTAGATAAGTAGTACAATTACTGAATTAGGAAATGATAATTTTGTTTTGGGACGGACAAAAATGAAAAATAATAACCTTTCAATGGGACGGACAAAAATGAAAAATACTAACCTTTCAATGTGACGGATGGAGTATATAAATAAATAAATTGCATGAATTATGGCATCTTTTCCATTTGATCTCATGTGGATCACTCTCCTAATTTTCCTCAACCATTTTGTAACCTTAAGTTAATAATTTTTTTACCAAAGATGGATCTCGTCATTTCAGTATGTCTTGAACTTCTTGGACTAATACGGGCCAGTTCACTTGCTTGAACCATTATTTTCACTATTTATAAATTTTATTTTAAAAAAATATTAAATAAAATATTTATTTTTATATTATATCAATATTTTTCAAAAATATTTTAATAATATATATTTCGACTATATGAAATAATAATTCAAATTTAAAAATTTATTACTAAAAAATCAAACTCAAAGACTCAAATCCCAAAATAGGACATTCTAAAATTTTAAATCATACATATTTTATCTAATATCAATAATAAATATTTTTTTTTATGTTAAATATAATGAATTACGTTAATAATATAAAAATAATATTATAATAATTTTTAAATAAATAAAATATTATATTATATTTTTTTATGTAATATTTATAAAAAAATCGTGCCACACAATAAAATGCAAATGAAATATGTTGAATTTAAATGCCCGATCTTTAAAGCGGAAGCGTACCTGATGAAGCTATATACAAATCTTGGGTGATTAAAGGTTTGGTCTTCCAAGATCAGAGAGCCGGCTTCCTTTCTGTCCTTGACGGGTGAGGAGCAGAAACTGCAGGGAGAATCAGATCTTTTTTACGGCGTGCTGATCATGGGGACCTAACCCTAGCCTATTTATAATAGGGCAAACATAATTGCAATTACAATTATGCCCTTAATTAATATTATTAATTTGTCACGTCACCAAAATAATAATATTATACTGGTAGCTGCACTTTCATTTCATAACAATCAAACCTATCAGTCAATAATTAATTATATTAATTAGATCACTTAAATAATAAGACTGAATAAAATAATGACTTTAACAACATATTCGATACACATATTTGATCCCAAATCCAACAATCTCCCACTGGATCTAGTATGTGTCTGAATGAACATATTGTTCCTTATGTGCTCAATTTTCAGTCATTATAAAACAAGGATTGCAACAATCTGGTCCATCAATCACAACAATATAGGACTAAAGAAGCATTCGCCGTATCAACAGCTAAACTCACAGTAATCACAAATATCAGTGTAATCAAATGACATAGATCAATCATGGAACGTGCAGAGAGAAAATTACATAAGTGTGATATAAATATGTCAATTTTCTAATGGTCCAAACTGAATGAGATCGTAAATTACTTAATCATAATGTCCAAAACATCATAACCGAAATAATGATCAAAAGAGTATAAAACAAATATCAAGTGAACGACAAAAGAATGTAAATGCATACTCCCACTACAGTGAAGCTTCCTCAAATTGTAACACACCCATATGAGCAGTATGCTCATGGAAGACCTTAGGCGTTACACCTTTAGTTAGGGGGTCTGCTAACATAGATTTCGTCCCTAAGTGCTCGATCGAGATATGATGATCTTTCACTCTCTCCTTCACAACTAGGAACTTAATGTCAATATGTTTTGACCTGGATGAACTCCTATTGTTGTTGGAGTATTCAACGGCTGAATTGTTGTCACAGAAAATCTTGATGGGTTTTTCAACCATCGGAATGATTCGCAACCCAGCGACAAAGTTCTTTAGCCAAATCGCTTGCTGTGATGCCTCAAAACACGCCACGAACTCAGCTTCCATCGTGGAACTGGTAACGAGTGTCTGTTTGGCACTGCGCCAAGCGATGGCCCCACCAGCCAACATATAAACATAGCCATATGTAGATTTCCTACTATCTTGGCATCCTGCAAAGTCGGAGTCAGAGTATCCAGCGATCTCCAATTGGTCTGACCTCCTATATGTGAGCATGTGATTACTGGTTCTCTTCAGGTATCTCATCACTATCTTGGCTGCCTTCCAGTGATCCAATCCAGGATTACTAAGGTATCTGCCTAACACACCGACTATGTACGTAATATCTGGACGCGTACATACTTGTGCATACATGAGGCTCCCAACTGCCGAGGCATAGGGGATTTTTTCCATCTCCTCAATTTCCAGATTTACTTTAGGGCATTGGCTGAGACTTAATTTCTCTCCTTTAGTTATAGGGGTATCTCCCGGCTTGCATTTTTGCATGCTGAATCGCTCGAGTATTATATCAATATAGCTCTTTTGAGATAATCCGAGAATACACCGAGATCTATCACGATATATTTGGATGCCTAATACAAAATATGCTTCACCAAGATCTTTCATTTCAAAGTTACTCGAGAGAAATTTCTTAGTTTCGTGCAACATGCTCACATTATTTGTGGCAAGCAAAATGTCATCCACATACAAAACCAAGAAAATAAACTTGCTCCCACTGAACTTATGATAAACACAATCATCAACCACATTCATCTCAAAACCATATGAGAGAATTACTTGATGAAACTTGTGATACCACTGTCGAGACGCTTGTTTGAGCCCATAGATGGATTTTCTTAATTTACAAACCATTTGCTTTGGGTCACCGACCTCAATAGTTTCTGGTTGTACCATATAGATCGTTTCATTAATGTCACCATTCAGAAACGCCGTCTTAACATCCATTTGATGGAGCTCTAAATCAATGTATGCTACAAGAGCCATGATTGTCCTAAAAGAGTCCTTCGAAGAAACCGGAGAGAAAGTGTCTTTATAATCAATCCCCTTTTTCTGAGTATAGCCTTTAGCTACAAGACGTGCTTTATACCTCTCCACATTACCATTTGCATCCTGTTTGGTTTTAAAAATCCATTTGCAACCTACGGGTTTTGCACCTTCTGGCAATGGGACAAGTTCCCAAACTTTATTGTCTTGCATTGACTTGTACTCATCACGCATCGCATCAATCCATTTATCTGAATAAGAATCCTTCATGGCATGATAAATATTAATTGGATCATCCTCAGTCATGCCATTATTATCCTCACTTTCTTGAAGAAATGTCACATAATCATCCGGAATGACATTTATTCGTTCTCTAGTGGATCTACGCAATTGCGTTGGCTCTTGAACTGTATGTTCTTGAGTTTGTTCCATAGGCATAGGTTCCTGTTCTATACGAACGGGTTCCTCAGTCGCACTTTGAAACTCTATGGGAGTTGGAATGACTGCTAACTCATGAGGTGTTTGATCAATCACATCAGTGATTTCTTGATCCTCAAAAGTAAAGTCTAAAACTGTATTTCTCCCCCTAAACTCAACATCCTCAAAGAACTTGGCAGTAGCCGTCTCAAAAATAGTTTTTGATGTGGGATCATAAAATTTATACCCCCTTGACCGTTCCGAGTAGCCAATAAAATAACTGCTTACTGTACGAGGTGCTAGCTTTGGTTCATTTGGCCTATAGGCCTTCGCCTCAGCTGGACAACCCCACACCCTAAGATGATTTAACCTAGGCTTGCGCCCAATCCAGAGTTCATAGGGTGTTTTGGCAGTCGCCTTAGTTGGCACTCGATTAAGGATGTAGATTGTTGTCTTTAATGCTTCTCCCCATAATGATGGTGGCAAAGTAGATTGACTAATCATACTTCGAACCATATCCTTCAATGTGCGGTTTCGTCTCTCAGCAACACCGTTCATGCTAGGTGAACCGGACATGATGTATTGAGGGACGATTCCACACACCTTAAGGAAGTCAGCAAAAGGACCTGGACGTTGTTTACCCGAGCCATCGTTTCTGCCGTAATATTCTCCTCCACGGTCAGATCTGACAGTCTTAATGCGTTTGCTTAGTTGATTTTCAACTTCAGCCTTAAATGCTTTGAACATGTCCAGTGCCTCAAATTTTTCCTTAATAAGGTACAGATGACCATATCGAGAATAATCGTCTATGAATGACACAAAATATTGTTGACCGTTCCACGAAGGAATGGGAAAAGGCCCACAAATGTCTGTATGTATCAATTCTAAGACATCCGTAGCTCGATAAACACCTATCCTTTTAACCTTGGTTTGTTTACCCTTAATGCAATCGATACAAACGTCAAAGTCTGAAAAATTTATGGAATCAAGGATTCCATCCTTAATGAGTCTTTCAACTCTGTTTCTTGAAATATGACCTAAACGTTTGTGCCACAATAAACTAGAGTCATGCAATTTTCGCTTAGTACCTTTTGATTTCATATTAAGTGCCTCATTATAGGAAACCAAAATATCGAGCATATATAAACTGTCATTCACCATAAAAGTACCAAAACCAACAAAACATGAATTAAAAGACAACTCAACTTTATTGTTTCCAAAAGAACAATGATAACTGAATTTGTCCAAATAAGAAACATAAACCAAATTTCGTCTAAATGACGGTATAATAAAAGTGTCTTGCAATTCAAGAAAATGTCCAGTACTCAATAACAGCTTGAAAATGCCCACGGCTTCCACCTCTACTGAATCCCCATGTCCAAAGTAAATGCGTCTTTCAGCATCAGTTAGGTTTCGGTAGCTCAGGCAACCCTGCATTGAAACACTTATGTTAGTAGTTGATCCAGAGTCTAACCACCAAGTATTTCGAGGTACTGAAGCTAAATTAACCTCAGAACAAACCAAAGTAAGAAACGTACCCTTCTTCACGCGCCAATCGTGAAACTTAGTACAATTCTTCTTCTCATGTCCAGGTTTCTTGCAAAAGAAGTAAGTCTTTTCAGGACGAGCCTGAGGAGCTGGAGCTGGAACATGAGCCTTAGCAGTCTCAACCTTAACGGCCTTATATTTTCTCTTCTTGCCGCCTGCATCCTTTGAGGTATCCACCACATGTACCTCTTCGGTCTTATTACGCTTCATCCTTTCTTCTTCCTCAACACAGTGAGAGATGAGCTCATTAAGAGTCCACTTCTTCTTTTGACAGTTGTAACTGACTTTAAACTGATCGTATTGAGTAGGAAGTGAGAGCAAAACCAATAGGACTAACATGTCCTCTGAAAGGTCTAACTTAAGTGCTCTCAACTTAGAAGCAGTATTAGACATGTTCAGGATATATTCCCTTATATTTCCTTTGCCGTTATACCTCATGGTAATGAGACTCTTGAGAAGAGTACTCATTCCGCCTTATCGCTTTTGGTAAAGCGTTTCTCAATTTCGACAAGGAAATCATTGGCAGTAACGATATCATCAGATATCGTGCCCCTAAAGATTTCTGGAATGCTTTTCTTTATGATCATTAGACTAAGGCTATTAGACCTAACCCATTTCTCAAACAACTGCTTTTCATCTGCAGTGCTTTCTTCCGTAGGAGAAGGGGGTTGGTCTATCCTTAATGCCAAGTCTAGATCCATACAGCCCAAATGAATCAATATTGATTCTTTCCAGTGCTGGTAGTTGTCCCCAGACAATATTGGGACTGAATAGTTAGAAGATACCATAAGATTCGATCCTGAAGATAATAAGGAATAAATATACACATAAGAACTCAAGTAGCATAATGAAACTCAAAATAAAATAATGCAATCCCATCTCAAGACACTAAACGCAACATTAATGTTTAATCTTTGGATCAATGCCATTAACTGCAAGCAGTCATCTTGTTGCAATCATATACGGATAATAAGGTAATGTCAAATAGTAACCAATCTTTGGACTGATTTACTATTCATATAAGTTAAATCTATATAATTGTCCCATACATATTATCGCATATGTATATTTCATTCTGTCAATTATCAACTGCCTTTGGGCCGAAGAATAATCACATGAATTAAAATACACATATAAACACTTACGTTATCAAGTAAAAATTTCATATAAGAGAGGTTACTTTGGCAACTTCAAACACTAGATTTTCACCGTCAAAACGCAGCAAGCATTATTAATGAGTTTCCAATTCTGAAGATTGAAATATTTACAATATAAGCAAAATTAATATCTGAAGATGCATACAGCAATTTCATAAATAACATATTCCAAAATATTCATAATTTAAATGAATAAATATATGCATCTCTCACAAATAAATAAATAATGTCCAGGGGTGTGTACTCGATTTCCGAAGATGTAATTGAATGCGCACGTACATTTATACATGTATTACTATATCTATGTTGCTGAATTACAGTTTGATAAATCGAACTTAAATAAATAAAATAAAAAAACAAATGCAATATCAAGAATTGCACGAATTATTATGTTTGAACATGTATGCACGCATACATCACATTATATATATACATGTTTGAATAAATAAAATAATTAAACATGTACTTTCAATCAATCAATTAAATGTTGCTTTGTGATATATATCCATACAACACAAGTAAGAATTTGATCAATGTAATAAATAAATATTGGCACGGTAATCGAGGCATGACACACAAAGAATTTGATCAATGTTATATAAATAAATAGAGGCACACGTCATAATTAAATCAAGAAAGTGAACGGATACACAATCGAATTCAAAACTAATTGCACATCGTCGGATTCAATCCAACAAAGAAACCCTAGATCGACACCAATGTGTTCGATTGATCCGACAGAACATCCAAATAATTCAACCTGGCTCTGATACCAATTGTTGAATTTAAATGCCAGATCCTTAAAGCGGAAGCGTACCTGATGAAGCCATATACAAATCTTGGGTGATTAAAGGTTTGGTCTTCCAAGATCAGAAAGCCGACTTCCTTTCTGTCCTTGACGGGTGAGGAGCAGAAACTGCAGGGAGAATCAGATCTCTTCTAGCCTATTTATAATAGGGCAAACGTAATTGCAATTACAATTATACCCTTAATTAATATTATTAATTTGTCACGTCACCAAAATAATAATATTATACTGGTAGCTGCACTTTCATTCCATAACAATCAAACCTATCAGTCAATAATTAATTATATTAATTAGACCACTTAAATAATAAGTCTAAATAAAATAATGACTTTAACGACATATTCGATACACATATTTTGATCCCAAATCCAACAAAATATTTGTCCTGTGATACTTTTATTAAATATTTTGGCGTTAATAATATATGTTTTAATAATTAATATTTATTAAATTTTAAGATATTATACCAAATATTTAATTTTATTATTTTTAAATTAAAAATAAAAATATCTAATAAAGCATTAATTTTGATGACAGGCCTGAGATCCAAAAAAATTTTTGGAATTGGATAGCCTTCATTCAAAGCGGGCCATTCCCCAACCGCAACATTCAATAAAATTTGCAAACAAAATACTGTAAAGTCAGCATGAGCACTCACTCTCTCCCTTGAGGCCGTGCCGTAGACGCGCCGCTGTCTCTGCGACGGCATCCTCACGCACAATTCTCCATCAATGCGCATTCACCGCTTCCATTCGCACCGCCATTCCCTATGACGTCTTAAGATTCTATAAAACCACCACCACCACCATAGAAATCCTGCATTGCATCACCTGTATCCTAATTTTTGGGAAGATTCCGGCTGTTATACGCCGCCGGAATGGGCCAGACCGTCTCCAGCCGAGGCGGCTCCGCCGGTAGTTCGACTCAATTTCGCAATGCCAGCCTCTTCGTGGATCACCATCAATGCCGCCTTGATCTCTCCGACCAACAGCGAGATTACACCTCGGACATCCCTGACGATTGTTTAGCCCTAATTTTCCAATTCCTGAGCGTCCGCGATAGAAGTCGGTGCTCATTGGTATGCCGGCGGTGGCTCTCCGTGGAAGGGCAGAGTCGCAATCGCCTCGTCCTCAACGCCTCGAACGACATCGTTCCGCACCTGCCTGCGCTCTTCAACCGCTTCGATTCGATCATCAAATTAGCCCTCCGCTGCGAGCGCAAGTCCGTGAGCCTAAACGACGACGCCTTGGATTTGATCTTCCTCCGTTGCCCTAACCTGACCAACCTGAAGATCCGTGGCTGCCGCGAGATATCCGATCTAGGTATGTTTTCTCTGGCTAAAAACTGCAAATCGCTGCGCAAATTCTCCTCCGGATCTTGTACGTTTGGTGCCAAAGGCATGAACGCGCTTTTGAATAACTGCTCTTCCCTCGAGGAAATTTCCGTGAAACGATTACGCGGAATCAACGATGGATTCGCCGTCGAACCGATTACCCCTGGCGCTGCATCTGCGTCTCTGAAAGCTATCAGGCTCAAGGAGCTCTACAACGGCCAATGCTTCAGCTCATTGATAATTGGATCGAAAAATTTGCGGACATTAAAGATCTTGAGGTGTTTGGGGGATTGGGATGGATTATTACAGGTGATTGCTGAGGGAGATAATTTGTTGACGGAAATTCATCTAGAGAGGCTCCAGGTGAGTGATTTAGGGCTAATGGCAATTTCCAAGTGCCCTAATTTGGAGACCTTTCATTTAGTGAAAGCTCCAGATTGTTCAGACGCAGGGATTTCTGCCATTGCAGAGAATTGCAAGCTTCTGAGAAAGCTCCACATCGATGGATGGCGAACGAATAGGGTAGGTGATATTGGATTGGCTGCTATTGCAAGTAATAGTGTTCATCTTGTTGAGTTGGTGCTTATAGGTGTCAATCCAAGCATCGAGAGCCTGTCTGCCATAGCTTCGAATTGCCAGAAGTTGGAGAGGTTGGCACTCTGTGGTAGCGAAACCATTGGAGATACAGAGGTTTCCTGCATTGCAGCAAAGTGCTTGACATTGAAGAAGCTCTGTATAAAGTGTTGCCGGATCACTGATAATAGCATAGAAGCATTAGCAATTGGCTGCCCCAATTTGGTGAAGCTGAAGATCAAGAAATGCAGGGGGGTGTCTAATGGAGCTGCACGCGGTCTGAGGAAGATGCGGGCAACATTAGATGTGGCTCTCGATACTGATGTAGTAGAATTTGATTCCCCGGCTGCCATGGAAGCAATAAGTAGTGAAGCAGCAGCACCAAATGATGGTGCAACGGTGACAGCAGAACTCGACATTGATCCTTCATTGCCACAGTCCTCCAATAGGCCAAGGCGTGGCCTTTTCGTAGGCCGGGGGATAGGTGCCTGTGCGTGTTCCAGCACTTCGAACAGGAATGGTGATTCAAATGAGGATGTTAGAGAATTTTGATTTCTAGCAGCAAATGGTTTGTGAATAAAAACTATGTTCCTTGACTGTACTTTTTTTTTTTTTTTGGCTCGTGTGCAAGAAGAAAACTTTTTGGGTTTAATTGATAATTATGAAGAATTTTGTGGTAGCGGGGCAGATTTTTCCCGAATAGGAAGGAGTGAATTGATATTTTATAGATTTCCCTTTGGTTTATATACGGACGATGGTCGGTGGCTTGGCTTCCCACTATTCCTGTTTCGGTTCAGCGATGGAATTGGAACCCTCGCCGGACGGTTCAGCCTCGGCCTCCGCTACTGACGCGGCGGCCGCCTCCGAGTCGAGTGATCGGTCGTTCAGAGCGGCGGCGTCGAAGTGGACGTTTGCAATTTCGCAGCGATTCCAGCACCTCCTAGACAAGTCAACGCCGCACTTGCGCTACCGGTGGATCGCGTTCCTCTGCATATCGTTCGCGTATGGAGTCCGGGTCTACCTGCTCGAGGGATTCTACGTGGTTTCGTACGCCCTTGGGATATACATACTCAACCTCCTCATCGGCTTTCTCTCGCCGCAGGTGGACCCGGAGTTCTCCGATGGCCCGGAGCTTCCTCTTCGGGCTACCGACGAGTTCCGCCCCTTTGTCCGCCGCCTTCCCGAGTTTAAATTCTGGTATGTTGCTTGATTATCTGATTGCTACCGTAATTTACGAATTAGGGCATCATGATGAATATCAGTCATCTTATTGTATGTTGAAGTACTCTGCCCTCCAGAATTGGATTTTCTCTGAATAGTTAAATTGGGCTTTGGTAGAATTCTTGAATGGTTTCTGTCTGTAGTATCTACGGGGATTTAAAATGACCAGATCAATCATAAATCTAGGAGTTCTTGACTAAATCCATAATTTTTTACTAAATCTATTATAGTTGCATACTAGCTGTTTACGTTTTCAAATCACTCTGGCTGCATTATTTACCATCACAAAGGAGAGTGTCTTAGGGACTATTTTGGAATCGATTATTGTATATTAAAATAAACACTTTAGGGGAAAGTGAATTCTTTTGTATCCGCTGGTAAAAATTTGCTGCCATAGTAATTTTTGCCCCATGTTTGTGTATAAGCTTTGAGATGAATGGTGTAAATGGAAGTGGACTTGGCAAGTTGAATAATTTTACTTAGCAAAAGCTGGATTGGAAGTGAATTCTTTTGTATCCTTTTGTCCAGTTTTGCAATCAATTTTAGAATTGGTCCTTCCTGATGCAGATTGAATATAATTTATTCTTTTTTTATCTTTGTATTTTTGTTTCGGTGCTATTGGTTGGGTTAAATGATTTTTGCACATAAGATGTTAATTGATAAAGAGGAATATATATGCTCTGTTCTATTAGAGCTGGTTTATTCGCTCGAATGTTTTGTCAGTGTCCATTGTTTGAAAAGAATATGTTGTTCTCAGTTGTTTGAGAATATTATGTTGACCTCAGTGTTAGATGACATCCACAAATTAAATTGGTAGGAATTCTCATTATGTTCCTTCTAGTTGGATGAATACTTTAAGTGCTAATGCCGTTAATTCGAGCAATTTTGTTTTCTTAATAATGAGTGGATAACTCTGAAAAAACGTATTATAATTTCTCCCGTCTTATTGGAATTTCATTGTTTTGTGTCAAGGTATTCAATCACCAGAGCCTTCTGCATTGCTTTCCTATTGACATTCTTCAGCGTATTTGATGTACCTGTTTTTTGGCCAATTCTCCTTTTCTACTGGGTCATTTTGTGCTTTCTAACCCTGAGGAGGCAGATACTGCATATGATCAAATATAAATATGTTCCTTTTTCTTTTGGAAAACAGGTAATTTAAATTACATTTTAATTTCTTCATTTTTTATGTTTCGTGTTTCATTACTGCTTAAAATGGCTTTTTGCCAGCAATAAGACAATTTGGTATACCTTTCAGCGGTATGATCGAAGGAGAGAACCTTCTCCAGAGGGTGAAAGCTTACAACCCTAAATTTAAATCCACAGGTAATCTCAATTTTAATTATTTAATCATTTCCAGCTCCAATGTTGGCTCTTTAGTTGTGGAGATATATGAATATTCAGGGATTAGATCGGTACTTCATTTCGTTCAATAGCTGAAAACTTGTAAACAAGCCTGTGTATTATGGCATACAGATTGAACAGAAAATATTGTGTTTTGACTACTAGAAAATATCATAAAATAACATTTGGATTCAAATAAAATTAAATCTTGAAAATGCATTTGAATGAAATTTGTGTTCCCAACACCAGTGCTGGAAACATAGAATATGCGAATGTACACATTATCTTCATTATGAAGAGAATCCCTCATCCATCATCAGCAATCATCTGAAAGTTTCTTCTATATCTTATTCAGCTGCATAACCAGAGTTTGATTTTGCAGGATTGTTGCTGATCTTCGTAGGATAGGAAGCTTCCATTGTAATCCCACACTTCCCGGTGTTACTACCTGCGAGGTTACGTTCCAATCTCAGGTACCCGTTCTCGCCCCAGTCTGTCCCCCATGAGTTCCTCACTATCCAGTAGTCCACCCCATTCTCCGAGCCGTATCCTACGGCTACCACACCATGATCCAATTCTGTGCCGCATTCCCCCGTAAATACACCCTGTTGAGACACAAATGAACCATTATGCTGACACATTTCTGTTTTTTTAGTAACTTATTAGTTGATTTGCACTGCTTTATTCCGATGCTCACAAGTCACAAGTGATTAAAAGCAAGAGTATGTTCTTTTCCCTTGCAAAACTCTCTAACCTCAGTTACTTGACTCTAAATTTGTCGATTAGTTTTATAGTAAATTTATTGACTTGACTTGCTTTTATTTCTGTGATCTACACAGTTGCTGGCCGATAGAACTAACTATATCCTGTATAGAAATTATAGAGAGAATATAGTGTATGGAGATAAAGTATCGGTTAGTTAGTTACCGATGTGTAGAGCTGAAAGGCTCTCCCGGAGGCTTCAATGGCAATGCTGACGGGCTGACGAGAGACAGCCTTCTGCAAGGCTCTCTCATCCTGAGGCACATCTTCATACCCATCAATGCTTACTACTTTTGCATTCTTCTGCACATAATACATAGAATGCATAGTAGAATAAGGAATTAGAACCGATTGAATCCAATCGAATCGAGGAGTAGGGGTAGAGCTTTAGATACGAACCCGTGTAGGATCACATCTCCCATCAGTCCCCTTGTAGGGATAGTCGTCTTCTGTGTCCATGCCACCATTGGAAACAATGAATTGGAAGGCATAGTCCATAAGGCCTCCATCGCATCCACTGTTTTCCGATGTGTCGCAGTCCACCAGTTCTTGCTCGGATAGGGAGATCAGTTCTCCGGTAACTATCTTGTTTATGGCTTCGACTGCTGCCACTGTAGAGAAAGCCCAGCAACTTCCTGAAATGGTAAAAATTAAAGTCAAGAGTTACACTATTTCCGATCATTAAGTATTTGGACTTTGATCGGAAATCCGGAGAACTCAAACTCACCGCAGGAGCCCTGATTCTTGACAGGAGGCAACGCGCCATGCTCCCTCCAATCCACGGACTCCGGCAGGTCGTCCCTGGCCCTGGCCATGACAGCAGCATACTTTTGGCTGGCAATCTTGGCCTTGGTGAATCGGCGCCTGGCATCAGTCCGAGTGCCAAAGTAGATGGACTTGAACTCGTCGTTGGTGAGGTCGGCGAATTGGTTAAGGCCGAGCTTGTATGTTCGGTTAAGCGCATTATGTTGGCGGATGAAGTTGTAGTTGTCCTTGAATATCTCGAACCTCTTTCTATCGATTCCTTCTCCTCCATTGTTGTTGTAGTGTTTGCCATGCCTTGCTAGCCACACTTGGTATAGAGCCTTGAGGTGTTGTGGGCTTTGTTGGTCTGTGATGGAGAAGCTTGAAGCATGAGATGATGATATGATGAAGGTGAAGAAGAAGAAGAAGAAGGTTATGGATATGGGTATGGCTATGAGTGAAGGCATGGGTTGGATGTAGAAGGAAAGTAGTTGGTGTGTGGATTGGGGTTGAGGAAGTTGAAGATCCAAGATGCTATTTATAACTATACAGCCATCAGCGTCTTTTATTTATTTATACGTGTATATTTTATATAGCTTACTATTTTTGGAAACGAATGTGTGTTTGTTTGTGTTCTCTTTTGAATTCGATTTTTTTAATGAAAATAATTTTAAATAATACTATGACTGTTAAATAAACGTGGTAACTTCCAATACAAGCGTTTGTGTTATATGCCTTTTTTATAAAATTCTCTATACTTTAGGCTGTGTTTGTTTGGGGGATTGGATTAGATTTTCACTATTTATTCAATTTTTTTTTTCCCCAAAAATATTAAATCAAACATCTATTTTTTATTTTTTATATTATACTAAAAATAAATTTTACATTCAAAACATCACATCAACAACGCCTGTTTATATTACATCATACAATTTTTTAAATTCAAAATTTTTACTATTCAAATTCCAACTTAAAATCCAAACCCTCCGACCAAACACACCTGCATGGTTAAGATATAGACAAATTTACATAAAATTCACATTTGTTACTTTGATAGTTGTGGATGAATATTTTATATGTTGTTTAATATTTCCTAGGGGTGTGTTTGTTCGGGGGTTTGGATTTTGAATTGAGATTTGAATAGTAAAATTTTTGAATTGAAATAGTTGTATGATGTGATATAAATAGGTATTGATGTGATGTTTTGAATGTAAAATTATTTTTTAATATAATATAAAAAATAAAAAATAGGTGTTTGATTTGATTTTTTGGAGGAAAAAAATTTAATGAATAGTAGAAATTTGGAAAAATCCCCCAAAAGAGGTATTTTTTTAAAATTATCGTGTGTATTGCCGTGATACTATATTTGATACGTATAGATTAATATTTTAACGTCGATATAGGTAAAAATATAAATAAAAGTATTATGGAATTTTTAATAAATAATAAAATAAGTAAAAAATAATATGATAAATTGATTATATATATTAAAAAAAAAAGATAAATTAAATTATATACAAATACAATTATTTACTATAAATATATACATATATAAATTTAGCAAACTACCAAAAAAAAAAAAATAACAAAATTTTTTTAAAAAAATTATATCCAATCTAATTCATGTTTTTACCATTATACTAAATATTTTTAACTTTTAAATAATTTACAAACATATAAACATATTATTATAAATAAATATACACAAATATTATTACTAACTCTACCTACTAAAAGTCTTAGTTCTTTAATTATAATTTTAATTGAAATTAAAGAATATTTTAATAAAATTTTTATTGTTTTCAATAAGTGACCCACTTGGATGTGTTTGTTTGGGGATTGGATTTTAAATACAGTATTTATCCCATTTTTTTCTCCCGAAAAATCAAATTAAACACTTATTTTTTATTTTTGATATTATACTAAAAATCAATTTTACATTCAAAATATCACATAAATACCTATTTATATCACATCATATAATTATTTTAATTCCAAATTTTTACTATTCAAATTTCAGCACAAAATCCAAACCCAAACAATCACACCCTAAAAGTTGGCATCGGACTCCACTTCCAATGCAGAGCAGACGCAGACAGTGATACTAAAACTAAAAGATGAAAGCAAAGTGTTTAAAAGTGTTAAAGATGATAATCCCTAATTTTCACATAATCTGTCTTTATTTTTATTTTTCATTCGTCTCATATGATTTATCTATTTTTTTAGAAATATAATTATACATTTTAATCTTATTTTAAATATACTTATACACATTCATAATAAATATAATTATTTGATATATTCTAGAAATATAATTATATATATTCATAATTCATAATAATATAATTATTTGATTTTGCAGTTTTTACAATTTTAAATCAGTATATGATTATCTACAAATAATTTTATATATTTTAAATTGATAATTTACTTATTTAAATATCTACAATATCAAATTGAAACAAATAATTATTTACTATTCTGATAAATTAAAATTAAATATAAAAATATAGTTAATTATTTTAATTATTCTCAATAAAAACTATTCACTCCGTCCCAAACAAGGTGCAACATTTACTTTTGGTACGAGTTTTTAGATGGGTAGTATTAAGTAGAATAATTTAGAAATTAAGTGATGTGATGGAGAGAGAAATATATATTTTATTTTTTTATTTGGATGATATGAAAGGATAAAGTGTGAGGCAGAGATTAAGTATAATTAATTATTTCCTATTTTAAAAATATTGCAGGGTGTTTAGGACATACCAAAAAAAATATTGCAGAGTGTTTAGGATGGAGGGAGTATCATTTAATAATAAATATAATTAATTTTTTTAATTTTTTTTAAAATAAAAACTAACATTGATATACATGTATATTATAACATTATTTTAATATAGTAATTATTTATACTTCGTTTATTATTTTTTAAAATATTTTATTTATAGATACACTCATGCCGGTTTAAATGTCACTACGAATTATGTATTAAAATTAAAATAATTTAATAAAAATTATAAAATTTAAAATATAATTAAAATATATATTTATATATTTTTGAAAAATAATGAATTATATGAAACAAATAAAAAAAAAATAGATAACTTAGGTGAGAGACGATAGGAGTATTACGTAAGAAGTACAACCGAAATGACTGAATCGAACCTAGATTTAGGACAGGTACGTCGTTACTTTTATTCGCTATGTCTATGTAACCGCCTAACGGCTTGCGATATGATGTAGGAAAGCCTCCAACGCCCACGAATCATAATGTTCCACGTGGACTGGCTCTACTCGGGAAGCAGCAGCTTTTTCTGCATTGATCCAAGTGCCGCCACCGCCAATTCCTGCCTATTTATTACTACTATTATAATAATATTATCCTCTGATGCGCGACCACCGAAAGTTGCTGCGGCCTCACATTTCCGCCAATCACCTATTTTTCTCATTTTTGGGTATTATTATTATAATATTTTAATGGATTAGAATATTCATGGAAAGGAATCTTTTGGTTGGCATAGATTGACTCCCAGTTATCAGTGATGGGTGGGTGGTTAAACGAACCGCGCTGTTTGTTTGTGTTTTTTCTTATTCCAATTGTGTTTCAGAGAATTCTACGGCTTGTATAGCAAATCAGGTCATTTTTTTCAAAAAAAAATAATTATATATTTTAATTTCATTTTAATTCTTTTTTATTTTAATTAAAATAATTAACTATCTTAATTTTAATTTATAATTATTTATATTATAAGATAATTATTTACATTAATACATTCTTAATTATTTATTAATTATATTTATTATAAATTCTAGTGTTTACAGTGATCCAGACATCTAACGTGCGACGAGAGGAGTACTTTTTTTTCTTCTTTCGTCTCTCGCAAAAAAATAAAATAAAAGATAAAATGTTTAAAATAAATTAAAAATATTTTAAATATAAATATTTATAGAATATTGTTATAAAATAAAATAGAATACCTCATTCGTTCAACTAGAAAGTATACATATATTCTATTTTGGAATGTATAATCACACAGTAAATATTTTATTAAATACCTCACATTTTTCCATAAATATCTTTATTTTACATTATATAATTACTTTTACATCAAAAAATAAAAATAAAAATATCATTACACTACTTTTAGCTGCTCATTATAATTAAAATACTATTATTTTTTAAATATCGTACCAAAATAAATATATATTTTGTAGGTGATCGGAAGGAGTATAAATAAACAAACTTAACAATATCTTAAGTGGGCTTAAAATAAAATAAAATATCTTCACCGCCACACCGCACGCAATTTAAGAAATTACGTGGGATAGAGTACCCAATAAATGAGAAATATTTTCAATAAAAATCATATTTAATACTATTATTTTTCTATGAAATAAATGTTCAATACTTCATAATACTCAATTCCTCTTAATAAAATATAGTCTCACTCCATCTCAGAAAGAAATATCTATTTGTTTTTAACATATAATTTTAAAAATATTAATATTATATTGAGATATAGTAAAAATAAAGTAGAAATTACTAAAATAATCTTATTAGTATGTGTGATATAAAGGTAATGATATTTGTGTAATATATTGTAAGTTGTAAGGGTATTTGTAATATTAGATAGATAGTACAGTTACTAAGAAAAATGAATACTTTGTTATGGTACATACTAAAATGAAAAATGAATACTTTGTTATGGGACGGAGAAAGTATTTAAATTTTTTTAACACAAATTTTAATGTGTATGTTTGTTATTTTCTATATTTTATAATACTAACAAATTATATTTTATTTTTATCATTCAAATTTATGTTTATTTATGAATAAGAGTTTTAAAATAGTTATTTTTATAATAAATAATTAAAAAATATATTAGTAAAAATAAATATAATAAATATAATTATAGATTAAGATTAAAATTATTAAATAATTTAATTAAAATAAAAAATTATAAATTATGATTTTTAAAATGACAATTAAAATGTATAATTATATTTCAAAAAATAAAAATACCAAATATAATGAGTAAGACATAAATAGAAAGAATTGATAAATTAAGTGAGACGGAAGGAGTATTATTTATTTAATAATTTTTTAAAAAATATTACATTTAATATAATTTTTTTTTCATAAAATAGTATAATTATTTATTTAATAAATTTTAAAAAAATTGAAATTCTAAAATTGTGAAACTCTTGCCCCAAATACTATTCAAACGGTGATCTCCTCCCTATTCAAACACACTAAGGGTGTGTTTGTTTGAGGGATTGAATTCTTTTTTCACTATTCATCCAATTTTTTTCCCCCAAAAACATCAAATCAAACACTTATTTTTTATTTTTTATATTATACTAAAAATCAATTTTATATTCAAAACATCACATCAACACCTATTTATATCACATCATACAACTATTCAAATTCAAAATTTTTACTATTCAAATCCCAACTCAAAATCCAAACCTCCAAACAAACACACCCTAAGGAGTTTGTTAGGATTAGGATTTTGAATTGAAATTTCACTAGTAAAAAGTTTGAATTTAAATAGCTGTACGATGTTATATAAACAAATGTTGATGTGATGTTTTGAATGTAAAATTGATTTTTAGTATATAAAAAATAAAAAATAAATATTTAATTTAATATTTTTTGAAAAAAAAAAATAGAATGAATAGTATATTTAAAATTCAATCCTCCTAACAAATCCACTCTGCAAAAATCCAAAGAGCTAGTCCCTCTCATTTTATGGACTATTTCATTTGGTAATTTTTTTTATATGATAATGGGCCCATTGGAACTTCTGTTTGGTCCATAAAATTTTACTCCCTCCTTCCTGTATAATTTGTTTATATTTTTTATTTTTTTTTTCCACATAATTTTTTTTGAAAATATAATTATATATTTTAATCACATTTTATATTTTATAATTTTGATTAAATTATTTAGTTATTTTAATTTTAATATATAATTATTTTTATTATACAATAATTATATTTACTGATATATTTTTTAATTACTTACTAATTATATTTTACCAAAATTCTGTAGGAATATACCCATAGATGGAGTAAATGGGATAAACAATTGATTTGTTTGATAAGATTTGAAGTTAATTTAAAGTAGATTGATAATTTAAACTTTTATTTAAAAAGTTTTTTGGTGTAACTCTTTTTTTTAAAAAAAAAATAATATATATTTTTATTAATAATTGTATGTAATAAATTATATTAATTTAAATTTAAAATTACTATTTCTTCGCAACTATCAAAAGATAAAATATATTTTTAAAAAAATATATATGAGATTATAATTGCTAAAAAAAATTGATATATTAAATTTCAAATAAATCAAAATAATAAAACAAATAAATTAATTTCAAACAAAAGATATTAGTTAATTATGCACAAAAAAATATTTTATACAATAAAAATATTGCGTGTAAGGAATTCGAATTTAATACATACCAAAATCACTACCCGCTCGCCATAAACAAACAAATCAAATTCATCAATAAACAACAAATGATTCTAATTTAAAAAATAAAATAAAATAAAATAAAATAAAATGAAATATGAATTATTCACCACATTTATCTATAAATCTCTCTAACTATCGACGTATTATATATGCAACAGCTCCCTTCAATCCTCCATTCAACTCTTTTAAGTTTTCACATATATATAAAAAATAAAAATAAAAATAAAAATATAAAATATAAAAATTCTACTCACCTCAACCTTTCCGAGAATCCTCCGGGAGCTCCGGCGGAGTTTCCGGCCACGGCGTGCGCTTCGCGCGCACCGTGATCGACAGCGGAGGATCGATTCTCCACCTGCATTGCCAAGAAACCGATCAAAAAAACTCAAAAGATCAAGATCGAGATCAAAATCAAAATCGTAATGTTTATAAGAACTCGGCTTGTTACAATCTAAGTATACGAATTTTTTATTTCTATGTACCCCGCCGGGAACTTGCTGTCTGCCCGGGCCTCGACCCGCGCCCACCACAACAGAACTTTACGTCCACAGCCGCCTAAAGGCTCCACGGCTGACATGTCGCTTAACATAGACAACGGGCTATCGACTACCTCTTCGAAATCCTTAATCCGGACAGGCTTATCCGAGCCGTCCCACAACAACCTCGAATTCAATACAAAGCCTGCCCACTCCAACTTCTTTGGCATGTCGCCGGTGTACCTAGGACTTGTGTCGAAGGCGTGCCACCCGATCAAATGTCCTGAAGAATTGCACACAGGGCCTTGCGCCGTCATTTTTTCGCTACGAGCTAGAATCCCGATTGAAACTGCACCGATCCGTCTCACTTTTTGGATTTCGTCGAAGAATTCCATCGAATGGATGTTGCTGTCGTCCGCGAATACGACTATCCCTTCTAGCCGCTTGTCGCGCACGACCCTGCAGCAAAGGCATTGTCGTCAATGGCGAACGTTTATAGCTATGGATCATTATAGGAATATCGACCTAGATTTTACCTCAAGGCGTGGATTCTCATCTTCGAATCCAGGGCGCGGCGATCGTCCCAAAGCAGAGGGATACGCCCCTTGAATCCGATGTGGATTGTTTTCAGCCCTGATTTTGAAATTAGGTCGGCGGTTTCGTTAGTGGTGGCGCCGGCGACGGAGGCTTCGACGACGATCCAAACGACGTCGTATGGGAGGTTCATTAGAGAATGCATCACGCCGGTTAGATGCAGAGCCTGAAAAGTCCGTACATAAGTAGGAGTAATTGCAATTACTGTTCTAGGGTTTTTTTCCCCAAATTGATTTCGCTGCTCCAGTTGAACTCTGGAGATGATCCCGTGCGCCTTCATCACCTCCGACGGATCGGGATGCGGCCAGGGGCGGATCAGTATGCCGTGGCGTCCGACCGCCACTCTGCTCGACGGCGCGGGGGCGGCGGAGGAGGACGGGAACGACGTCCGGAGAGCGGTGTAGATAGTGGTGGCGGAGGGGGAGGAGGAAGTTGAGATCACGAGGAACAGCACCAGGCGGGAGAATCGGAAGCCGAGGACTAAGCTGATCAGGCAGCAGAATCCATGGACGAGAAGCCAGAACACGGTCGCCGTCGATCTATTCGGCGCGTCGGCGTTCGATTCCGAGCTCCGGAGACTGCTGCTGCGGCGACCGCCTCCCATCTGCAGCGCCATTAGCTGCTTCATTTTGGAGAGAGAGGAAGAAACAAACAAACAAACAAACGAAGGAAACCGAAATAGGTAACAACCAGTGGTTGGTGGGAGGAATATTAATCGAGAGGATTGCTTCAATCTCACGAATCGGTTGTTAGCATTGCGCAGTGTCGGCTTCGATTTCCGAAATTCGATATCAATTTCATCATCCACTTTTTCCCCCTTTTGCTACGAACTCCGGACCCTAAAAGGGGCTATGGGATGAGACGTCCGCCATGGAAGGAAGCTTGAAGGTCAGTGAAATTCAAATTATTGAGGATTAGGGTAAAGGGTAGATGGAATTGGGATGAGTAGATTCAATCGGATTAGGTTAATTGTCAATGATCGAATGAGTTGAGGCGTCGCTGCTGCTTTCGAATGATTTTCTTCCTCACTACTTAACTCTCTCTTCTGTGTAATTGTAATTAGGAGCCGCCATGTTTGTCTTCACGTTGGATAATTAAGGAGGGAAGATTTAAACTTTAAATAAATGAATAATTAAAATAAATTAAAGAAATGTATTTATTTGGTATAATTGGCCACTGTTTGTTGTATTTGGACAATTTTATTACAACTGAATATTGACGTGTATTAATTGTTGCATGTTAATCTCGTGACAGAATCTGGCAAATGTTGACGAAATAAAAAATTATTATATCTATTTTTTTAATAAATGAATTATTAATCACTCATATTAAAATTCGTATCTAAATGTATAACATATTTGTTGAATTGAGGAAATATTAGGTTGCTATTTGTATTGTATTTTTTTTTTTTTTTTTTTTTTATATTTGCGTAATAGTTTGATATATTCTCTCTATTATTGAAAATTATATAACAATTTTTTTTGTCATCTTTTGAATTTATATACAATTCATTTATAATAATTAATTTTATTTATTATAATATTCCCTCTGTCCGATAATTATGTATCTATTGTTTATTTTTTTTGCACGTAGAAATAAAGTAGAAATGACTAAAATAACATGTGTCATGTAAAGATAATGTGTAACGGTATTTGTATTGTTAGATAAATAGTATAATTACTAAAAAAAATAAATAAATATTTTGTTATGGGACAGAGTAAAATGAAAAAATAGATATTTTGTTACGAGACTGGACAGAATAATAATATTATTATTCTAATAAATAATAACTAATTTATTATTTACTTTTCTATTTATATCATTATCTTTTATCAATATATATATATATATTTTATAATATTTCACTTTACTTTAAACTCATCCTACTTTAATATTAAAAGATCATAATTTTTATGTTCAATCAAACATATGTAATTTTACTAAACCAAAAAAATAATAATTTGTGTATATATATATATATATATTTAGAAAATATACAATTGCATAATAAGAAATACAAAAAATTATTTAAAAATAAAGGAACCAAAACATACACATCTGTCCTAAATAATAATAATAATAATAATAATTCGAGAACAAACTTTATCCTAAGTTATGTAACCTATCACTTTCTTGAGAAAGGTTCATAATTTATTTCTCATGCATACATATATATATATATGGGTCTTAGTATTTTACGGTGAAACTAATTTATATAAATCTTATTTAAAAATAAAATATACATATATTAATAGTACTATATATTGTATTTTACAAAATTAAGAATTTAATACAAAATATTATTTTTATATTACCAATTAAATTTTTTTATACACTTTTATGGACTAATAAAATACGATTACCTCCGTCCCACATACCGTGTTTGCTACATTGTAGTAACGGTATTTTAGGAGTGGTGTAATTAGTAGATAATTAAGAATGTATTAGTAAAAATAATTATTCTATAATATAAATAATTATAAATTAAGATTAAGATAACTAATTAGTTTAATTAAAATTTAAAAAAAAATTAAAAAATTTAAAATGAGATTAAAGTGTGTAATCATTTTCCAAAAAAGAAAAGTGACATGGTATGTGGGATGGACATAAACGGCAACGTGGATATAGTACGTCGGAACGGATGGAGTATTATTTTTTAATATAAAACAAAAAAAGATACATTCAAACGGAACAATTTTAAAACTTAAATTGCTTTTATGTATTATACTCCTTTATTCCGTCTCATATTTATCTATTCGTTTAGACGGAATTTTACAAATATTAGTTTTATATTGAGATATACTCCATCCGTCCCGTTGGAAGGGTGACGTTTGCTTTTTGCACGTAGATTTTTTAATATTAGTATTATATTGAATTGTAGTAAAAAAAACAAAAATACCCCTATTAGTATGGTGTAATATTTAAATGTAATGATATTTTTGTAATATATTGTAAGTTGTAAGAGTATTTATTATGTTAAGTAGACAAATACAATTACTAAATTAGGAAATAGTAATTTTGTTTTGGGACGGATAAAAATAAAAAATAGTAACTTTTCAATACGAAGGAGGAAGTATTAAAAATAAAGGTAAAAAAAAAAAAAACTATCAGAATTATATAATATAAATATAATATTATTTTGTGTAATATATTGTATGATATATTTATAAACGAATATATTTATTTATTTTTATGAGACAATGGGTGGGAATCTCATAATAGGTACATTGAATTGAATTGTGCCAAGAGTGTTGATTTAAAATAAGACTTAAATCGAAAGGATACAACACAGGAAGGACTACAGAGGTAAATAAAAATGCAAAATAAACAAAAATTGAAATCAAATTATTAGGTAAAATAAAATAAACTCAAACAAAAAAATAAAAAATAAAAAATAATTAATTAAATAACCGTCTGCCACTAATACAACAACGGAATTCCACAAACGAATCACACCGCCGCAGACGGCGGCGGGGGACGGCTGCTCCGGCAGAAGTGGGAGGCGGCGCTGTCCATTCGCTCCACCACAAAATGCGCCATCTGTTCCTTCCATTTCACCAGATTCTCCCTGCACAAAAATTCGAAGCTCGTTATTCGATCCACCTTCATATTGAAATCGTGCACGAACACGTGCGTCCTCGGCGTTCCCCCCTTTTTGCTCCGCGCCAGCACCGCCGCCGTGAATATCGCCGCCATCCTCCCCGGCGCCTCCGGCCAGTAGCCTCGCGGACCGTCGACGAGGATCACATCCCAATCCACTTCGTACAGCTGGTTCGGCAGATCGTTGAGCCCTAATTTGCACTCGGAGAACAACAGGTTCTGCACGGGGCGGCACTCGTTCTTCGCCTGCTCCTTAGCCGCCGCGATGAGCTCCGGCATCTCGCTCAGCCTCGTGGCGTACTGGACGTCGTACGCTTCGATCTCCGGATACTTCTCCTCAACGTAGGCCGCGTAGTACCGATTCTCGTCGATGAACACTGTCCGGCCGTTGTGGTTGAGTGCTCGCCACAGTAGGGTTTCGTGCGTGAGTCCGAAGACCAGGAAATTGCAGGGCGGCGAGCATTGCCGGAGCGCGTCGGCGATCTGCTTGATATCTGTGTGCGTCATTTTATCGGTGTTGTTGGAATTGGAGGCGTAGTGGATGAGTGCCATAGACACCGCCTCAGACATTATAGTCGGCCTGGCGGAGGCGGAGGCGGCGGCGACAACGGCGGGGAGGGTGGAAATGGTGGAGATGGAGTCGCGCGTGTGAAATAGGGTTCCGAGGAAGGCGAGAGTAAGGAAGCAGAGGAGGAGCAGAAGAAGCCATAGGCGATTGGAGGTGCCCTGTTTGTGAACATATGGATGGAGAAGGATGAGCTTAGTGGCGCCATTGCCATTGCCATAGCCATTGGCGAGGTTAGTCGTCTTCATCTGATCTTAATTAATTTGATTGAAATCTGATTCCGGGCATACATGAATTCATGTCACAAATTCTTGTTGAGTTGAGTGTGGTTATTGAATAGAGAGAAGGGTGGGGGTGGTGGGAGTGGTTGGGGGCAGTGAAAGAGAGGCAGAGGCAGGGCAAATGTCACTGTTACTTGTTTCCATTCCACTCCATTTTAACCACTAGTCTTCATTTTATTCTTGTCCTCCTGTGTGAAATGAACACGTAGAGATAGAGAGTTAAGTTTAGGTGTCCTGTCTTGAGTGGGTTGAAATGAAGACGACAGGTCAGCTGCTACTGCTGTCTGGTGTTGAATTTGGTGGGATGGAAACGAATAAAGAAATCCTATTTGGAATTAATGTTGGATTCTTGGGGTTTGGTTTGGTTTAGGCCTCATTGACCCAATCCAATATAGAGACCCGACCCGAAATTGATTTATTCAAAAGGAAAGAAGAGTTAGAACACAATTAAATGAAAGTTTTATAGATGCTAAGTATATACATATAGGGAACCCTGTGTTTATGCAGTAAAAGTAATGATACAAAAAGAATCGAACGCACAACTATCCTGCAAAATTTCCTCAACTGCTCCAGGCATGCTATGCTCTCTTAAATAGCTAGCCTAGCCATGGTGGTGCTGAGACCAGTTGACTTCCCAAGTCAATTCTCATTTTGAGAACTGCCTTCCTTGTCTATGTATAGATCACTCCCCGTAATACTGCATCAGCTCGAACCACTGGACAGGACACCAACAAAAATGGGACTACAGTCAGTTTACCTTACTTACACATACAAAACAGTTGCTCAAAGCTTAGCTAGCTTACCTGTCTTAAAAGATCCCCCAGTGTCCTGGGAAGTGCTTCAATGTTCTTCAGAACTACGTAGTACGGAAACGGAAACGAATCCAGGTATTTTGAGAACTTTATATCCGACCCATGAACCGTAGCTTCCTGAAAACATACATACATACATACATACAACAAATGAGTTATCGAATAATACACCTCAAAAACCGATCTCAATACAAAAAATATCATTATATTTACCATGAAGTCCACAATCGATTCATCTGGACTATCCAAAAGAATGAATGCAACCATTCGTTTCTTGCTTAACAGATTCCTCACACGTCGCTTCAATTTTTCCTAATAAGACAAGGGCGAAAATTTTATTGGAGAAAGAGTATAAGAAGCAAGAAATCTGTGAAAATGGAAGACAACTAAGTAGCTACCTTCTCATTAAACCGGCCATCAGCTATAATCAACACGAGTTGTTCTAGTGGGTTGGTCCCGGATGGTAGCCGAGCCCTCATCACTGCAGCATCGAGCATGCTGTTCAAATATTTCAGTAGATCACCCATTGGTTCATCCGCTATCGTGTTCTCTTGTGTAAACGTAAAGCTTGAAATCACCTGCCCAAAGATGACATAAATAAGAAATAAATTTAAATATATCAAGCAACAGTTTGAAGAAAATCAGAACCATAAAGAATTAAGCATGAGAAAAAATAACTAACCTTGATTCCAGCTTGAGGTGTGAATGGTTCATCGAAATCATGAAGTAATCTGATATTGCCCTGCTGCCCGAAACTTGCCACAGCCAAATTTCCCACTTCAAGTTGGGACATTGCTCGGCACACCGTAACCAATGCTTCCAATGCAAAGTTTCCACAATGACCCTCAGACATGCTGCGGGAATCATCCACGGCAATAACCACTTGGTAATCACGTTTGTTGGGCCTTGTCCGTCTCAGCCAGATTTTGTCTTTCCTGTAATGGCTGGCCACATATGGGATCACCTGTAATCAAGGAATTGTGAGAATTGATCACCGGTTAACTCGTATAACTGATAATAAATAAACCATGTAGCAGACATACCTTCTTCATATTAATCCTTTTACCCGTCTTGTAGTCGCCTTGGAGTTTGCTGGCTAATGTAGGTTCCATGATCAGTCGTAACTGTTCTGCTAACTCCTGAGACAGTCTTGATGTCCGGGAATCATATCTTCTCCAAAGAGCAGTAACACCTTCCCTTTTATCAGTGGAAATCTCAAAACGATGAACTTTCCCCAGCTCATCTTCATTAGTTTGTAAGTCACTAAATTGCTGTAAGTTCTCGCTCATGTCTGACTTCTTAGCAGATACAATACTCTCCGGAAAGGTAGTCACCTCTTCATTGTAATCATCGTCAATTTCCATAGATTCTCCAGGTTGCTTCTCTGCATCTGTTATTCCTTGATTCTTTTTAATGTCAGTTACATGATTCAAGGCAGAATTTCTGATGGGGCCAAACTCAGAAGTTTCTTTGTCAATCTCAATTTCAGTAGGCGAATCTTTTGTGTCAACATTACCCGTATCTTCCTGCTCAGTATCATTAGGAGGAATATCGCCCTTAATTTGGTCAGCCATTGCCGGTCCAAGTGCTTGAGCTGTACCCTCTTTAAACTCCGCAGTGTATCCATACTCATCCGCATTCTCATCTGCTAAATCATCTGCATTGTCCATTTGGTCCTGAATATCAACAGAAACTTTGACTCTCTCTTTCCATCCATCAAGAGCATTGCCAACGCTGCGACAAGGGTTCGGCTGAACGTTTTGAATAAGAGGCTCCAGAGGAGCACCCATAGTTCTTGAATGTTCATTGCTTAAGGTTTCGCCATTTGTTGCATCAGCAACCCTTACTTCAAACTCAGAGGCATTAGGCTGAGCACTTGCAGGAGCAAGATCATCTTTCAGTTCACTGAGATCTGAATGTTTTTCATCTGGTGCAGTGTTTCTGGGGTCGGCTGTATCCGATAAGTCCTGCAAAGATTGCCTTCCAGATTGATCAACATTGTCGTTAGGATTGTACTGAGCCATATCTTGCTTTTCTATTCCAAGATCTGTTTCTGTATCATTATCCTGGGAACTTTCTTCAGCATTAGTGGTATCGGCATTCGCAGCAGAATCCTCGAACCCTGCCTCTTCCAGAAATTCATCTGCCTTTTCCACATCATCCTTCATATCGGATTCATTCACATCTTCTGATTCCCCATCCTCCATTTGGTCAGTATCTTCCATTTCATCCATGGGAATGTCGTCTTCATCCATGTGAGTGTCTTGATCAGGTTTCTGGCTTTCGTCCTCCGGATTTATACCAGAAGGATCAACAAATGCATCATCTTTGTCAACCTTCATATCTTCTCCACCATCATATTCTTCTTCTTCTTCTTCTCCATTTTCATCATTATGTGCATCGGATTCTTTTGCTTCCACTTCTCCAGTATCCTCTTCAGCAGCAGCAGAATCATCCTTAGCCCGAAGCTCTTTGTCATGGGAAGCTTTCTCATTCACAGCCGGTCCATTCTCATACTTCTCATTTGCATTGGGATTCTCATCTTCACCATCATCGTTGGCATCCCCAAGTTTCTCGTCAGCTACATCTCCATTGGCACCTACATCCCCCAAGGCAGACTCCAGCTGCTCATCATCCTCATTATCGTCATCTCCATCATCTTCAGAATCCTCACTAACACTGAATGCCTCACCATCGAAGTCTTGTTCCATCTCAATTCCTTTTTCATTTTTACTTGGCATGTCAGACTTTGCATCCTGCTCTTCATTTCCCTACAGAAGCACAAAACAAGATTAACATTGTGATATCCAACTAAAACTTAGATTAAGTGCAAAATTGCACACCTTTTCTGAGGCCCCAAGGAGCTGATCCTCATCAGTTATTTGATCACTGACATCATTCAATCCAGCACCCTCACCCATACCAGTTCCACTTGCATCTTTGGTACCTTCTTTTCCATCATCAGTTTCTTGTTCTTCGATACCAAATCCTTGGGCAAACAACGAACCCAAAATATTCACAAGCGCATATGTCAATTTAGATACCTAGACATCAGAGAAACATGGGTAAGAACTCTTTCACTATGATTAATTCTGCAAAAGATCTTCCAATGCTTGACATTCATCTTCTCCCTCCATCTACTATACAATAAAAAAATAGATGCAATATATTTACAAGGTAAGAGTTGCATGATACTGACCATATTATGCAGGCATAGAAAGTCCTTCAAAAGATTATCAGCAAAAGCTAGTAGCATATCCAGTAAGCTATACAGATGTTTCAACTGTGCACAAACTGAAGCCACCATAGGGTTGTTGCACCCACAGTAGTTACATAGTTCATCCTGAGAATAAAAGTATAAGTTTGGAGATCGGTTTCACTGACTTGTAACTTGTACAATACTAAATTGACAGGACTTACAGCGTATTGAATAATTCTGATCACATCCTCATGAATGACGTCCAGCTGAAGATACTCCATATCTTTTTCAAAGAGGATCTTCCAATCCTTTATATTCTTTAGCCTCTCCCCGTCAGCAAAATCCGGGTTTAGGGAACTCAAACTCTGAAGTGTACCGAGGACATGTGTATAAGTCCCCTTTAGGGCATCATCAAGATGAGACTCAAGTTCCTTTATATTGACATCTGCAATATTCGAGACCTTTCTCTCCTGTGAAGAAGAATAAAGTTCTTCAAAAGTATGAGCCTTTACAAACAAGTCTTCAATATGCCCAAGAAGGATATGTTCAACAGCTCCTTGCCGATTTTCTACCCCTTGGAAAGCAGAGAGATCCCTCTCAAATGTTTTAACTAACTTGAAGTTATGATTCACCAGCTGTTCCATTTCTTTTGTGACGCCAAAGGGATGCAATACTGTTCCAGCCACAAAAGTATCCTCTGAATCCCCAAGAAGGTGGTGGTCCAGAGCATTCTTGGATTTCTGAAAGTTGGGAAGGAATTCCTGAATGAGCTGGTGAATCTTTTGTGCTCCATCTTTGACACAGGAACAAGTACTCAGATGAGTATTTTCAACCGTCTGTAGCAACAAATGTTCTTCATAAAGCAAAGAGCAGAAACCATCAAAGAGTAGCTTTTGTTGCCACATACACTTGAAAGTTTCATGTTGGTTATGAGCAAAAGAGCCATCAGTAACGGTTTCCCCAGTTGATTGAATGGAGCCCAAGAACAAATTTGAGAAAGGCCATATAGATTGTCTCAAGCACTTGATCTTTCTGGAAAAGCCAGAGGCAAGAGCTCTTTGATCTTGCTGTATCGCAATTAGATGGTCAACAAAAGATCCACACCTTGTGACCTGTACGAGATTAAAATCTTTATGGAAATTCAGGCATATGTTCTGCAGAACTTTCACCGAAGCAATGCTCTTGAAGTAGTATTTATTTGCATCATTCCATGTACTTCCATTGGGTGAACCCTGAAGGTGGTTGTCATCAGTACCAAATTTACCAGAAGAATCATTCAGCAGCAACAAATGTTTTGCATCATATGAGGGCTGGAATAACCAGGACTGTGAGTTGTCAATTTGGCTCTCCACTGATGTTCTATGTTTGGACAAGCCACAACTCTCAAGGAGCTTTAGAAGATCAGACAAGGCCCTCCTTTTGCCCAACTTGTTTTTATTTTCCCAAAGTTCACAGCAGTGAATCAGAGAGGCAGACAAGGTTTTGATTGTATGCCACAACTCTGTCCTTTCTTCCCATTGCAAAGGTGCACCACTCTTGATTCCTTCCATGGCCAATTCAACATTCTCTAGACGTTTCCACCACTCAGAAACCCATATAAAGCCATCCTTATCCTTAGATAGACTTTGATTGCAGATGGTATCCAGGAGACTCCTGCTAACCTCATAAGAGTCAACTGCAAGAAGAGAGAAAAAAAAAGGATTTAGCCGCAGATAAAAATATATATATATGAAAAAAGAATTAAAAACTGCAGGCTTTTGACCTTCAATGGAATGGTTGCTCAACCCACTTCGTGAGGTTTCTCGACCAAGAAACTCCATAAGAGGTTGTTGGAGTACGTCCATATACTTCTTGACAATCTTTCGTAGTTTCAGCCTGGTTCTTTTCAAGTTCTCAACAGCCATATAATTGTCAATGCGATCCCAACGACACAATTTCATAAGTTCATTCAGCTCCTTTTCAATGGTTTTCCTGTTTCCTTCAATATGCTCCGAAATTCGGGGCCACAACTGCACATAGAAGCCAAAAGTGTTGTACAGTATTTTCACACTCTCCTCTTGACAGACGCTTGTCAATGGCTGATCCAAATTGTGGCTTATCTGTCCATGGAAAGAAAGAAGTAACTGAAGTTGACTTTTAAATTCTCCAATGCTGGATGTCTTGAAAAATTCTTCAAGGCTTTCTATCATTGAGCATCTGTATTGATCAATACTGGAACAACTGTTTTGCTGAAAAACAGAATACAACGGAAACCATAGTTTTCCAGCATTTCTCTCAAATTGATATTGAACTTCATTAAGCAATGCAGGCCATGATTCAAACTCTAATTTATGCCATGAAGACACCAGTGCAAAAATTGGCTCCAGATGATCTGAAAGAGGAAATTTGGCAACATTTTCCTGCACAAACCGAATCGCATTGAGAAGGAATTCCAAAGCTGAGAGACCCTTGGCAAGAGGACTGTCGAGAGGTAGAGCTAAAATCATGTCAGAAACTTCTAAAATCTTCTTAAGTGAAGGGTGATCATCCCACTCTTTCAGTAGGATGGATATTTTCTTCTTCAGAAGTTCAATAGGCTCCACCAATTTAGCCATCATGGAGGCATTAGAATCTTTGTAAAAGTTGTATGCAGCAGTGGATTTACGAGAACCATTAACCTTGCCATCATGTTCCAAACAGAGGCGAAACAAGCTCTCTGGTGCAATCTTAGTATCAAACATAGAAGAAAAAGAGCCTTTCAAACCTGTGGACATTTTCACACCAAGCATATAAGAATCAACAAAGGAAGACAATCTATCTGAGTCAGATACATGAAGTCTGCCAGGTCTTTGAACAAGGTCCACTGAACCAAACACCTGTCTGTGAATACTGACAATGCCATCCAAATCAGATTCTTGAACATTCCAATCCTGCTCCAAAGCTTCATCTTCCTCATAATCTCTAATCTTCTCATCAAGGCTTTCGGACAGAAGTTCCTGCCACTCAGACAAGCTATCATTTCCAAGAAGATCTGCACAATTTGATAAATCAACGTTGATGATGCTTTCCATCTTAAATCCTCGTGTTTTGAACTTGAACTGCTCAGATCTGTTCCCCTCACTTTGCTTTACCCGGTGTTCCATCCAAATATTGGCAACACTGTCAAAAATCTTATGCAAGAGCTTAGAAGAAGAAGAACCAAGGAAATGAGCGTCAGCAACGGAATCTTTAATTCTAGCCAGAACATTGTGGTATATAGACACCGTAAGTGACAAGTCTGAGACTTGTTCTCTTGCTGAAACAGTGTCACTTGCAAACTCAGGTATAAATTTCAGCACATTCATGCCTATTTCTTCAATACTACTTGGAAACTCAATATCACCGGTTGAAACTTTAGGCAACCTCCCAGCCTTGAATGAGACAATCTTTGATGCACAAACTCTAGGATACCTCATAAACTGATAAACAGTTGTGAGAGCAGTTTCCATATCCTGTTTTCTATCTGATAAATATCTTTCCTGCTGTACACCAGAAAAAAGTAATGACAGGCCTAGTTTCATTTCATATATCGCAACCTGGACAGGTTCTGTCACATCAATATATGCCAAATATTCATTTGATAACCGACCAATGAACCGTGATGTTATCTCTTGCCAATTGAGTACTTGGTTAGTGAATTGCTCAATACTCAAGCATTGCAGATCCTTGATCCATTCAACAACAGCTACAACGGACTTAAGGAACTCGTGGCATGCATCATTCAACTCCTTAAACTTATCAGAATTAGGGCGAAACACCATCTTCTTTTGCAGCTTTCTCCTTTCACCATGGAGTTCTTCCAATAAATTTATCCTGTAATTATCAGGGGCTCTCTGGGTACTTCCAGCTAAATAGATGCATTCATTCTGAACCTGAATTTCGATCTCAAGGGAAGCTATCTTCTCTGATAATTCTGCATACTTAACAGAGTACTTCAACATGGGATCCACATCATTGCAGAGAACCAAAAGATTGTAGCGCAGTCCCCCAAGAAGCACCAGTGCACGCCCAACACTCTGGATATCTGCAAAGTCATCATAAGGGCTTATAGAGTACAGATCACTGAGCAGCGGCTTGATGTACGAATCAATCAAGGATGTGAAGACATGGTGATTAGATGACGCCAGATGTGATACAAGAAGCTTTATATTTTCCAGCGGGCTTCTTAATTCCTGGATAGAATGGAAAATGCATATGATCTCCGCATATACAGAATCCTCAAAAGACTTTTGGTGGGCATGAATTATCTGCTGGAAGAGAGATCGCGACATAGAAATCAACATAGAATGCAAATTAACTGTATTTGCAGAGCTTAGCCAAATGTCACGGGAAGCAACTCTAAGCTTAAAGCTGCGAAAGTTGTAGTCAGCAATGGAGTTTGCAGTTTGCAGGATCTGATTTACCATCGTTACTTTCAGGGGACAAAAGAGTTTGTGAGGCACAAGCATACCACAGAGATCATCTTCAGGTAGGGTCTCAAATGGCATGGGGCATGGTTCCCATAGAGTTGCATGCCATTTAGACCACATGTCCATTATGAAACAGGAAACTTTCTCATTTGCCATAGGGACTGATTCCCAAGCATCCAGGGTCCACAGAAGTTTTTGGTTAGGTACAGAGTCGGACGGAGATCTCGACGAATAATGCAGAGAGAAGTTCATCGAAGCCTTCAAAATATCAGACAACTTTAAGAAAGCACGGTGTTGTTCTTCCATGCCTACTACAGAAATCCTCATAAGGTGCTGCAGTACCTCCAGATCAATGGAGAGACTAGTCTCATCAACTACTGGTTGGGTCTTAAGCCAGCATTCAAAACCAGAACTTCGAAGCAACACATCTGGAGTAAACTTGCAGCAAACAGAACACATTTCCTGAAAAGATCCAAGATTCATAGTAGTCAATTTCTCTGCCAATCTTTTCTTTTCATAATCCAACCTCCCCAAAAGAATATGATGCATTTCTTCTAGTTGGTGAATAATCTTATTGTCGTTATCATCATCTTTTCCAATAACATATGATGACAGGCAAAGTCCTTGCATTGAAAGGACACGAAGATCAACATCAGTCATCAATGCAACCTCTGCTGTAACATGGTTCAATTCATCCACATCCAACTTCATGAATGTATTTTTCCTTTGCCATACCATTTCACAAAAGTTTGAAAGTTGGCACTGCTTTTGGTATATGTCAGCAGATGAAGGCAATATTGGATGTCCGCCATGTCTCCAAAGCAAGGGTTTGCTTGAATTCAAACATAAGGATGAGACAGAACTCAATTTCCTCATCTCAATCTGCACCAACAACATTTAGAAACAGTAAGCATATAAAACAGGATACAAAGGAAAAACTAACAGCGCACAACAAAATAAAAATAATAGGGAAAAGGGGAAGCAAAAGGGAATCGCAAGTTCACAACAACTTGCCTGAAATATTTCTACTTTTGCAGGACAAAGTTCTTGTAGTCTTAAAGAATCCTTCATTAGAGACCTCCAATATATCAGCTGGGAACCATTCTGAGGCGTAGTGATACTGCTCCAAAAGAGCATATGGTGATGGAGGAGGCCACTGAAAGACTTAAAGTGCACATGAAAAGAAGGTGACTCAACAAGGACATCTAGCACTCTTTCCTCCATCCTTCGCAGAGAGATCAAAACACGCTCAAATGGCTTTCTAAGTCTGGGATCACACTCATCCTCCTTGCTCCATTGCACAAGACCATGACGCAATAATCTAACACACCTGAGGCCCAGAAGTACCAAAATTGCTATTAGCACTATAACTAATATACCCCATAAATCAGAATAATAGTAATTTAAATAAATAAATAATCAACACACCTGAGAGAATTCATTAAAAGAGTATGACAAGAATTTGAAGTGCTAACAGATCGGGAAGCATCAGTCAATTCCATGGACAGTATAGAGAGGGGCAAGGAATCTATATCTCTTCCACTTAGAGACTTGCGGAGCTGAAATATCCTTGTCCAAATAGAATGTTGCAGTTCCTTTCTCAATAAATCTGAATACCAAGTGAAGAGTCGAAAAGATGGCTGCAACCGCGAACCAAACCACTCAAACCAGTGAACGTAACTCCAGCAGTCACTTTCTGTTGCCTGTTCCATCACCCAATCAACAGCAAAGGACAGCTTCCTCTGGGATAATACCAAATCCAGATTATTTTGTGCACCATAATTTGCAAGAACACCAGTAGAGTCCATAGGAAACGATACTTTGTTCAGCAATTTTGCATCCATAAGGTGAATCAACTTGGAACCTCCTCCAATCAGAGTTTTTCCCTTCGATCTGTTCAAGGAGTCAGTAAACACATGGGAAGCAATCTGAGACCCCAGAGATTCCAAATACATGGTATTTTGAAGGATGCAAGCCTCTTTTGAGTGAGAAACATAATCCCACAGTTTCAAGGGAGTTGGCCACCCTCCCGGTAAGCAGAGAACACGATCATCAGATGAAGTGAATCTATAAAGTTCACATCTTGATAAGAAAGAAACAGCTGCTTGAGATACAATCTCTTTTCCTTTCCCCTTCCCAAAAGAGGAAAGATACGTATGCTCCCAACTGACTTGGATGCTCCAGGAGGGCTGGCAGCCATTTGCAATGAGCAGATTAAATAACTGCATCCAGCGTGAAAGCTCCAGATATGTGATGTTTACACCAAGATGAGATCCTTCATGCTTCGCATAAATGTGAGCTCTGGCCATCATATCAACCAACTTACCCACAGGAATTCCAGAGAGAACAATAAATCTTTTCACTTCTCTGAGCTCAAACTCACTTGGATCCACACCACATTCCCCATCTACTAACCAATTAGGCTGCATCAAATATATTTCAACCCCTCTATTTCTCATAGCTCGAGATACTTCACCAAAATTAGGATTCACAGTAAGAAACATTCGAAATTTAGGATGGGGATGAAGAACCACTGGATTTCCATCCACAATGCCACACTCATTAACTGTAATAGAACCAGATTGCTCAACCAAAGAGTTAATTCTATCAAGAACCTGCATGCAATTAAATGCGATAAATCAGTTTCACATAAATTACAACACTAGATTAAAGTGGGCCAGGACATCCAAGAACAGAATATTCATACCGTTGGATTGCATAGGTTTGCATTTTCTAGAATGATCCACTCCCCATTTTCTATGGCCTTGATCAATAATCCAGTTACCCATTCAAATTTCACAGACCGCTGCCTTTTCTGCTGATCTTCCAACTTCCTAATCTTTCCCAAAGTGCTCTCCAGATCTTTCATTGACCAAGGTAAAGGCAATGCCAATTTGTCAATGTCCAGCTTTAGACATTCAATGATTTCAACTAATTCTGGAATGGAGCCTCTCATCCGTGGATTATCAATGAAGGTTACAAGCCTATTTATGGTGGAGAGAAATGTCAGCCACCGGTTAGTAAGATCCTTCCTCCGAATGAATGCCTCCGGGGAAGATTCCAACTGCAAATTGCAGTACTCGTTCATATATCTTTCAACTTGAGTGATTGCAAGATGATAGTGACGGGAAGCATTATACTGCTCAAAGCATCCAAGAAGCTCAGATATATCAGTTCCAGAGGAAAGATTTAATACATTTAGAACATTCCCAGTCAGATCAGCAGCCAATCTTATCAGTGATGTCTTTCCTGAAGATGAAGGACCTACTAGTATGCAAAGCCATTGATGCTTCACACACTGTGCAATGGATTCTAGGCTCTGGCGTAAGCTAGGCAAAATCTTAAGGCCATTACTGGCAATTGATGACAGGCACAAATGCCTTTCAACAGAGACATCACCAACAACCATTGATTCAGGAGTGAGCATTACTCTAGGATATAGATTTATAAATGGCTTCACTCCAAAAATCTGTTCATACAATTTCATGACTTCTATCCGATCAGATGGTGTGCGCATTCTTTGCAGGTAAATAGGACAAAGGAAGCAGTCAGACTTTGAGTTTTCGGGGGCATCTGCAACGGTTCAATTTAATTTAGAATTTAAGTAAATAAGATATAAGCATACCAGAAAAGAAATAGAGAGAAGAGACCTTGTATAATTCCACAAGAACGGATCACATCTCGAAGATTAAACTCCCATGGGGAACCACTTTGACCAAATTTGTTATGCAACGTAGTCTCTTGTTGTAAATTGATATTGAATTTAACCAACGCAGTCAATAGAGACCTTTCAATTGATGGAAAGAGGGAGCTGCAAATGGAAAGATAATCTTCGTCCACCAACTCATCAACATAGACCTGCATCATAAGAAAATTATACAATATTAATTGATAATTTATTATTAATTATCAATAAATCCAGAAATAACTTCACAAACAGCTTTCTTAATCGCTATAAATAGTAAATTTGCATGGAAGTGTAATAAGAAAAAACATACCTTAGTAAACCTGTTAAGGAAGGATTTAGGTAGGCCTTTCCGGCCACCTCCTTGATACGAAGGATTTTGGCATGCAAAGACCCGAAAAGATGCTGGACACTTGAAAGAACGACCAAGCTCGGGAATGAAAACTTCAGCTCTATGGTCCAAAATAGCATTCAAACCCTGGCATGTATAATTAACTTGTCATTCCATTGGCATTATCAAGTGACAACTACTACTTAACATTAGCAGTTAAATAGATTTATTTGTGGCAAGTTGCAACTATCATTTTCTTTTAGCGCACAAGCACTTCGAATTGAGCTAGTCCAGAGTTCTAAAAAGATCTACAGCTGAGGCATTTGACATGGTTTGTAAAATAGTCTCAAATAATAATAATAATAATAATATAGATTAAAATAAATAACTAAAATAAGCAAAGATACTAAAGCAAAAGAGAGATAACAATTGGATGCAACTATGAAAGATACCTCCAACACAGATTGGGGTGCAAGATTAAGTTCATCCAGAAGAACCCATGATCCCTTCTTTAAAGCCTGATAAGCAATACGCAAAGTTAGATACTAAGCAAAGAAAAGATAAATGAAGACATTTTGAAGACATGTTAGCTCACCTGAAGTAGAATACCATCTGACCAGGCAAACCGTATGCCTTCATCACTTTCAACCGGTAAATCAGATCCAATCAAGTCCATAATGTCTGTCTGTAGAAAGAAATTCTAGTATAAATACGCTTCCATAGAAAGGAAGAAACAACCAAGTGAATGGATTTGGTACTGTTACAACCAAAAATGCTTGCTAACCTGCTCAGACAAGTTAATTCGTACAACAGTATGTCCAGAAAACCGTCCGATGGCAACAATTAAACTTGTCTTTCCAACACCTGGACTTCCTTCCAACAAAACTAGAGAGGAAAAAAACCTCAATATTAAGAACCTTGCTACATGTGAATAATAAGCTCTGAAGGGTGATTGTCTCAAGAATTAACTTATTTAACCAGAACATTTAAACATGTTAAAGCAAAATTAAAAAATACATTACTTCCAGAAAAATAAAAATTAGTTTAGAAGGAAATACCAGGCTTGCCAAGTTGCATAGCACGCAGAACTCTCAGAGTATTCCTGCGAGTGGTAGGGGCCAAGAATTCAAATCCCTCGGTATCTATGCAGTCAGTACCTGGACAATGCCAGGTGCCAATTTATGTTACATCATAAAAATGCTGAAGCACCCTAACAAGGTGTCAAAGAATGAAAGTGAAGAACTGACAAGCGAAAATGGCATTTACTGAGATTGCAATTCCGAATAACAAGGCAATAGTCATTTTGCATTAAATCCCATTATGCTGCTTCACTATCAGAACATATTTTATTATAATCAACAATAGATGACATACAGTCAAAAGTTCAGTGCTAGAAAGTCAACCCATTAGAATGGCGCAAATTACACAGGTAGCTAATCTTACAAGACCTAACAAATAATCTCAAATAAACAAAAAGAAACTATATATCATCAGGTAGTAAATGTCTCCCTCTTCCAGCACAAGTATTGCCAAACATCAAACAATTAAACATTAACAAGTAATTGGCCACCAAAAATAAATGTAACAGTTATTTAAAAGCAGTTCAATTTCACAAGCCTTACCAAACATCAAACAATTAAACATTAACAAGCAACTGGCCACCAAATATAAATGTAATGGTTATTTAATAGCAGTTCATTTTACACTGCAGAGACAACTAATCATCATTTGCATGATGCCTGCAAGCATACTCGTTCATCCATCAAAAAAGATAAAATTAAAATTAAAATCAATTAAAGTAAAGTAAAATGAAATAAACGCTAGAAATGTAAAGGCGAATATCCCATCAACGTGCAAGATACCTTTGGTGATATAAAATGGATGCATTCCAAAGAGATTGTCACACTCCATATTATCAGAACAACTTGAAACTGACAGATTTCCAGGATCACTCCAACCATAAGACTCTAGACGATCAAGACTTGATGAATCAAAACCTGGCTTGTACTCCTGCATTGAAGCAGAATGTTACTTTAGTCAGTGTTTGTAATAGTGTAAAAAATTTCACAAGTCAAAACTAAGCAATTTGGAAACTTGGAAACAGAGCACCAATGCCTAAAATGGCACTTCTCTTGTTTCCTACTAAGGATAAACTACTGAGAAACATGGTTCCCTAAAATTCTCTTATTCCCCAGAAGAGAATTGATAGTTTGGATAAATGGGTACTGAACCTCAAATAAAAGAAATCACCTTGAGTTTCTGCAGAAGGAAAGAAATAGACTTCATTCTCAACTGAACAGCTTCCTCCTTGGAAATATTTGTACCTGAAGAACAAAGAAATATGTAGTATGAAGAAATAGATGCAGAAGACATTCCATGTGTAATAAGAGATACAACATATTACAAAGACGAATCGTAAATAATCAAGTCAAGGGCCATCAATAATCTTTCTGCAGCCAAAGAACATAAATCTCTTAAATTCAAAACTTTTCTTATTCTTACAACAATACAATAGCTCCCACTTCCTAATGCAAAATCCTATTTATTTATATATTCAGTTTAAACAAATATAGAAAAGAAATAGTAGGTGAAAACAATGGGAAAAATATTTGGAAGAAGGCAGGAATATAATTATTTTTATATTGGCCACTAAAAGCAGGTAGGTCTTTGCCTTTCTCACTGAGGTACAGACAATGATAACCAACTCCCTCAAAGTTATCAAAACATACCAGATATCCTAAAAGCTATAAAATGTGCAACAGTGCAACAGCATTATTACCAACAAAACTTAAAAAGATTACATGTGAAATGCAAACAGAAACTATGGCAGAATAATAAAGTTGAGGAAAATGACAAGTTGTTCCTCCAGAGCATTTCTTATGTTATAAGCAACACTATCATCCTTCTGAATGATGATAACAAGGAAACCAACGGTTACAAGACCATAACTGACAAGTTTATGACACTTAGTTTACATGGAGAGATGTATATTGGCATTATAAATCAAAAGACAAAAGTCTTCCATGAACATCAGTCTGGAAAGCGAGCAGTAAGATATTCTAGAACATCAATTCCCAGATAAAGAACTAAGTTGTACATAACAAAGTTGGCATACCCAATGTAAGTCCATCCAACAAAACAAGGAATGCTCCATGAATAAATGCAGATTCAGGCGGTAAATTTCTCTCGGTCAGATTGATAAAAGAAACCCAAGACAAGATATCCCTCACAGTAAGTACTCTTCCTGTGTGTAGAACATTAAACCACTGCAAGGGGAGCAAAAGAGGATCTAAGAAAATGTCGAAATAATTGCATGAAATAGGAGAAAATGCTTCATATTGTTGTTATGGAACTGATAAATAACTGTAAGAGTAGCACACATTCTACTGAGGATCAACATAATTTGTAATATACATCAAGCTTTGATATTAATAGAGCAACAATCTAATAGATAACAATTTAGCAATGATAGAAGAACTTTGAATTTGTACCTCCCAAAAGTCTATCATGGCATCCACAACATGACCAAGTTCTGGGTTCATAATTCTGCATGGTAGTAAGTGGTAAGCCGTATAAAATATGACTTATTATCATAAAAATTATAATTGTTAAGATAACTAACCTCTCACGTGCAATACATTTTAGCTCATCTACATCACTGACAGAAGGAACCCATATCTCAGTAAACCTATTGCGAAGGGCGGGTGAGAGTTCTTTTTTACCATAATCACCACCAGGATTCATCGTAGCCAAAAGGAAAAAATTTGGATGAGCAACTACGTTCTCAAGATGAGAGCCTCCTTTCTCGGCCAATGACTGCATATGTGAGGGAAATAATAAACAGAGGATAAGCAATGCAGTTTAACATATATACACATCTAGTTCTTACTATAAAATAATGAGCAGACCCACCACCAAACATGGAATAAATGAATTATTGCAGAAGATGGGAGGTGGTTATGTGGGTATATGCGAGTAATATTCAGGAACGGGAATTTAGATTTATACACTTATTTCATCTTACAAAAATCTGAATTCAAGTAAAAGTGGTATATCAAGTACATGTCTCTAGCTTTTGGTCTCTTTCGAGAAGTGGCCACAAAAACCATGTGCCATCAACTCAGATAGAATTCCAAGTACTTCTTTCTGTAATTTTACAATTATTTCCAGCTTTATGTCCATACCAGCACACTAACAAGTAACAATGGGCTCTATTTAACAAATGCAGTAAATTTTCTTTACAGCCCCCACTCCATGTGACCTATAGAGAGATATTTAGACCTAATTAAGGGCACAGAAAGTTGCTTTCTTTGATTTATGGACTGATTAGGATCAGTGCACTATATGATGCTCTAAGAGATATTCCACATACAAATGTACATTTGTCTTTGATTGAATTAGAGTGTTGACACAAAAAAAGAAAGTCTAAAGAACTTATTAAAATGTTATTGTCAAGAATCTGTAACATTGTAACATATACCTAGTTTTAAGTAATTTTACAGTTTAAAAGATATCGGCTATAAACAAAAAGGTCATAAAAGGTCTCAAAGAAAGAATAATTCAGAATCACTCACCAGTTTCCTTTCCGGCTCCAAAACACTGTTTAGCCTCTCAAGAACACTATCATCGGCCAACGAAATCTCATCAACAAGAAACAGGTCACCCTTCTTCATTGCCTCAACCAGAGGACCATCTTGCCACATAAAAATGGTCTGCCATTTACTATGAAGCTCACAAAGCTCCATGCAAATTTTTTCTACATAATCAAGCTCTTCTTCCGTGACATCCGGATGAAACACTGAATGATCTCGGTAACTCTTGATTATTAGTGCAAGTTCATTAAGAGTCACAGAGGCCTGGTTGATGTCCCTTGAAAAGTTCTGGGAAACAGATAAATCCCAGAAATTGCAAATGTAATCGAGAAAATGAAGAAAAAATCCAACAAAAAGATATACATATATATAACACGAGAAAGAACTTACAACATCTCTGGGAAAGTGAATAATAGCCTTCGAGTGGACCAACTTCTTGCAAAGATTTTCAAAGCCCACACTTAATCCTGATCTTTCTCGAATGGGATAAAATCCCTGTCAGCAATCACCCATAAAAAAAAAAACTCGGAGTTCAGGATCAAAAGAAGTTGTGAAAGCAAGCAGAATGAAAAGACAAAGTAACTTAAACAACCAGAATGAAAAGGACAAACCCCAATAAAATCAGATGTTTCTGTATACTGGTGACAATTCAGAATGTGTAGATTGGAATCCAACAGGGCACTGAGCAATTGGCAGACAGTTGTTTTCCCTCCACCAGTTTCACCAACAAGGAGAACAGGCTCACGCATCTTATAACAGCGCTCCACCAGAAAGAACATCCTCCGAAGACTGTTCGTCCAAATTATTCTGTGGGGAAATAGCAGAAAAAGATTGTTACAAATACTGATATTAATAAAATATTAGGGCATATATATGTGAAAAGCAGATACTCACTTTCCAATAGTTTGAGAGAGTTCAGAGACTTTATTTCCAACAAGAGCAGCATCTTCTAGTTGGTCACCCTGAAAGAACAAATGATCAGCACATCTTTATTGTTCAAGTTTGTGCAACAATAACAATTGGAAAAGGGTTCAAATTTATATTTGAAAGAAAGTGCTGACTAAAATTAATAAAGGACGCATTTATATGCATTGTCAATTTTTGTTCCAGTATCAGGCCTGGAGGAACTGTCCAGGGGTTCGTATTTTTCATGGTTTCAGTTCTAAGATGATATGTTTACGAAGTCATTATTTAATATACAAGGAGAAAATAGTGTGGCAACATATGGTCAGAGTCCCAACAATAATGGGATTATCTTCTATAAAGATTGCCTGATTAACAGTACACAATGTTTGAAGGTTACACAGCTTCCCTAGCTTCAGTGGAAGACACAGACTCTTTAGGAATCTACTTCTATAGGATTAGGTTATGTGAGTAATACGTTCATTTATTTTGTTAAGAAATTCTGATCAACTTCCTTGTAAAGCTATTTCTTGGTGAGATTCATTGTTAGCATAAATAATAAAAAGTATGTCAAGACTCAAAAGTAAATAGTACCTGCTTGTACAACATTTGATCAGAAAATTTGATTCTTAGCTGCTTCTCCAAAGCTTCTTTAACAACTTTCTTCTCAGCATCATTCCGCAGTCTTTCAGCCATTAAATAATAGCCATCATAAGCTAAATCTTCATAGGATCCAAATTTCGTAAAGCGATCAGCCCATCGGAATAAATCACGAGGAGTAATGAATCCATGTTTTCCTGCAAAAATTTTACTCCCTCGCCTATGCAATTGCAGATCTTTCATAACACCAACCATTTTCTTAGCATAACTGGCCGGAATTTTGCTCCTCTTATGCAAAATTGTGCTTAGCTCATCTTGTGGAATTTCATCAACATGGATCTCTACAAAACGATTAAGAAATGCCCGAGATAGCATTTTGCGACCCCCATAAACGACAGGTGGATTTTGGGTAGCAAACAACATAAAATCTGGATGAGCACGGATAGTTTCCCGCAATTCAGGAACAAAGAGCTCCCTATTGTCATCTAGCAACCGGTTTAATGCCTCGAGCACATCTGAGGGAGCTAAGTTAAGCTCATCAAGAACAATCCATTGACCTCTTCGAACAGCCGTCACAAGAACACCTTCATGGAATACAAGCTTTCCACTTGGGTCCGTAATATAAGAACCAAGATACTCCTGGAGATCAGTATGTTCATGATTATTTATTCTGACAAATTCATGACCAGTTCTGGTAGCAAGATACCGAACAAGACTAGTCTTTCCACTTGATGTGGGTCCCTGTAATAAGACCGGATATCTTTTGATAAATATTGCTCGTGCAAGGTTCTTAAGATGCTCCTCGACACTCTTTGTTAAAACATAGCTGTCCAGAAAATCATCATTCTTAGCATGTGGTTTACCCATCAAGTATGAATGAAAAGGAAGAGATGCAGGTTTTTGCCCCCCCAATAAATTCTTGCAAATTAAACTGTTCATTATCTTGGCACTGGAGTCATCCAATAAACTCAGGAAGAACATACTAAACCCATCATAAAGAGATTGTTCAAATCCAAAATGTCTTTTGGCCTTCTTCAAGTATTCTAGTGCTCGGTATAGAGAACGTAAGTTGTAATGAGGTCTTTGGTTAGCCCCATCCTGCAGTCTTTCTTCATATTCTTTTGTTGCCTTGTAAAATTCAACTATTTTACTTATCAGTCTCCGGCGTGAAGGATCATCATCCATAAACTGACTGATAAATAAAACCAAATCTTCATCATCCAATACATCATCAACGTAATATTCTGTAAACCGGCTCCTTAAAGAAATTGGCAAGTCTCTTTTACCAGCATCAGTTGCAGGGTTCATGCAAGCAAACAAACGAAAATTAGGATGCCGACATACATAATCTATATCACCCCTTTCAGCCAAGCATAAGGAACCTTTCTCATCTTCAATGACTCCTATAACTCGCTGCAAGATATCAGGAGGAGCCAAATTTACTTCATCTAACAATATCCATTCGCCATTTTTCAGGGCAGCAGTAAATGCTCCTTCCACAAATGAAAACACCATCCCATCTGATGCACTAATATGTGCATGAGATTTCTCCAGTTTCATGGAAAAATTTTCCCAATCCTTCAGTAAATCTTCATTCAAGGATCTTTTTCGCTTCTTACCAGAACTGGATTTTCCAATTTCAATTATCTTTTGAATGCCTTTCCGAAATCCACTTAATAACATTTTCCAGTTCTTATCAACTAAGAATTTTCTCAAAGTTTTAAGATATTCTTCATTTCCCTGAACAGAAAAAATATAATGACACAAGTTATTATCCACAAGAAACCATAGAAGATATACAAACAAAGATGTGTGGTAAATGCTACCTTTGATGAAAAGGTTCTAGTGAAAAGGTTCTCAAACTCCTGATAAAGGGGAATACAGACAAAACGTGCATCCACAGGCTTAAAACCCCCTAGCAGATCAGCAACATCACTCTGCTGGCTCAAATTCTGGGCAAACCAAAACAGTTAAGTGACATTTTGAGTAATAGTAATGGGTTAAACAATCTGAAATAATGCAATAAAATATCTAATCATGAGCATACCAAAACAGTAAGCCTCTGGCCCAGCCTTGAGGCAAGGGTCTGTACAAGCGTAGTCTTCCCAGTACCTGTTTCACCAACCAAAAGCACAGGCTCATTGAACTTGGTAGAGCAAGCAATTCTCTCAAGAGCATATGCTGAACCACGAAGCTCAACAAATGGCTTTTGATCGCGATTAAACTGCCAACAGAACCATCAGTAATCATGCACAGAGCAAATATTCTTTGGGGAGGGTGGGGGGAGTGGAAGGAATAGACACTTAGGAAAAGAACATTATATATATACACTCACAGCCATTTCAGCACGTTCCAGTCTAGCCCGTCCAATTTGAAGCACAAAGTTCATTTCCTGCAAAAATATTAAAAGATCATAGAACATGCATAGCTCCTCATTACATTTATAAGTCAAATGTACAGCCGTATTGCTACCTGAATGACAGGCTTATTAAAAGGATATAATGTTTCTGTAGCTGCAACTGTCCACAATTTAGAAATCTCACTCATGGTGACCAACCGATTCTTTGCTGAAGTAGAGAATGATGCAAAAACATCTATAGCCTGAAACAAAGAGTAATCTTATAGTCAAAATAATTTATAATCCACGTCTTTAGGGGAAAATAAGTTTTTTTGAGCATGTATCTACCTCTTTACAAATACTTTCGCATGCGTAAGTAGAGATCCCATCTGATCCAAACCGAAAGTCCAAACTCGCAACTCTTTTGCACAACTTAAGAAGATCTCTATTATTGCAGAAAAATGGTTTAATTAATAACTTTGCTACAATGATATACAAGTATTTCAACGGAGTGATCAATCAGTGTATACCTTATTGTGAATCTGTCCTGATAACCCAACTGGGACCTTGTAAGTTGGTTCACTTTATCAAAGGTTTCTAAAGAAAATGTAAAAGAAGATACAATCAATAAACTTGTCACAAAATCCTATAACATTTATAAATCAGATATCTTTCGCATACCTATGAGTTTTGGTGCAAGAGAACCCAATTCTGGATACCACGCAAGAACAATATTCAGCAAGTCCTGATCATTTGGCAGGTCAACCATCACTTTCCTCCAAATAGCAACAAGAGAATTTCTACCTAGTACCACAACAAGGAACAGGAAGGCAGAAAGTGTTAAACACCAGATGAATATTACACTAACCATGCTTTCCTTTTTTCTTTTGTTTTTTTTTTTTTTTTTTTTTGGCATACAGTATATCTAATACTACACCAGAAAATAGTGACACATGAGTCCTGGCGGAAATTTTTCCGGTTTCCTATATAAACACCATGCAGCATGGGGATTTCACATACATACATCATACAATGAGCTAAAGCTGATGGTACTGCAAGACATCTAACTGAATCCTTGTAGAATAAGCAAATACCAACCCAAGACAGAAGAATATTGTAAAAGTGAGAAGAGATGAGATTGACTTGAAAACAATATAGGGCAAATAGTGATGATAAGCTATAATTTCTCAAACTGGAAATAATGTAAGGAGAGAATTTTTATTTTAATCAACATACAGTTATAGCCTTTGACATCTAATTTAATCTCAGATATACCATCAAAACGACTAGAGAAGCAAAAGCAAACCTTCAATGAAACAAGATGTGTCCGGGTTTGAGCTTGTCACAGTGGAAAATAACCGAAAGCTCTCATGCACTCTTACCGCCTACAAAATATTACTTTGATTAATATCATAATTTTCACAAATCTTTAGCATAAACTCAAAAAGAATATCAGATGTGAACAAACAAGGAAATGACAAAGAAAAAAACAGAAATATATGAACATGAATAAGTCCAAGTTATCAAACTCAATAGTTATTCAAGCACATACTTCTTGATAAGAAATTAAACTCCAACTACACAGTTAAACCCATCATTAATGCTAATGCAGTCCTGGCCAGAAAGGACTACCTCGTCTAGGTTAGGTGATCAGTTTTAAGATTGACAGCAGTTAAAAGCACTACTTTATACATGTGAAGGAACAGCATAGCAAAACTAACAAACAGGAAAGAAAAGGTTATTTCACAGGATTGCATATAACCAATTAAATTAATCACTTTCTATAAATGCAACTTGTCTCATTTTTACCAAATTATTATCTAAAATGCTATCTAATGTTTTGACAAGAAAAGAATCCATCACTTTATGTATTCCATTTCATAATCTTAACACTATTCTAATGATAAGTATGTTCATCAATAAATGTAAAACCATCCTAAATTGAATTCAGTAAGTACTGTTTACACATTTCAAATTTAAGAATGAGTTAGGATATGCAAAGCACTAGAAAAGTATCCCCGGTCCATCAGTTGCATCATCGAAGAATCACAGAAACAGAGAATTACTTCATACCTCTCCATGACCAGTAGAGAACGACATTGCACCTTCTAACAAAGGCAACAAAATCGATTGAATGTCAGCTGGTGCTTTGTCAATATCTTCAAAAATAACCCAAAAACCATTGCAAACAGCCTGCAAATTATTTTATAGCAGAAGTTATCACACTATCTTGGGGGGGTTGCTTCCAACCAAAACAATCTGTTTCACTTTATACCTGGGTAAGAGAACCAGGTTGCCATCTGAATTCACCGGGCTGTTCCGTACAGACATAAGTTCCGAGCAATGTTTTTCCATCAATTTGGTCATCCATGTGAATTGATAGAACTGTTTTTTTTTTTTGGGGGGGGGGGGGGGGGGGGGGGAGGGGTGAGGAAAATGTTATGTTAACAATTATAGCATCACCACATGAACGGAAAGGAAAAAACAGCTTCCATTTATACATTTGATGTCAAAATCATTTAAGAACCCAGAATACTGTAACAGGAAAGCACATATGCACAATAGACATAATATGGTTCCAATTACAAATAAGATACATAAGCAACACGTATATCCAATCAGCATTACTGTTTAAAATCAAAGACTTAATATTTAAGGGTGATGTGTTCAAAGTTGTAACCCCTTTGTGCTTAATATTTTATGCAGCTGTAATACACATTATAATATGTAAAGACTTGATCAACTTTGGGGCTCCTCACAGCTACCAACTCCAAAAATTTTGATGAAGTTTGATGATAAGAATTGAAAATGAAATGCAATAAGAGCATGTCGACAGTCATTTCAATGTTGGTGGTTCACTGGGTATTCTTTCATGTTGGATTTTCTAGAAACAGAAACCTTAGCTCACCAATTTACAAGTTATATACCAAGACTACATAAAAGCAAGTAGGAGATTGCAATACACACAGAAGTACATGCCTTTCTAATATTACAAATTCCAAGAAAGTGAAAAACCTAAAAGACATCCAGAGATTAAAGCACCAACAAAGAACGTACCTCTACTACCATATCCGTCGGCCAAGTTGTTAATGAGTGCTGTTTTCCCACTACCAGCTGGACCATAAAGAAGCACAGGCCATCTCTGACCGACAGCTAAGGAGGCCATCTCAAAACTTTTTGTCATGGCAGATGTCAAGACAAAAGGAACCCCAGAATTCCTGCAGAGAAAAAGCCCAGAAAGTGAAATTTTGAGCATGACATGTCACAACATACATCATCACAACATCAAGAAATAAATAATGCAGAGCTTTCTTCTGATAACTAACTTCTTCAAAAAAATAACAAATAGAATAGCTGAAAATATGGTTCCCAAGTAAATTAATAAAATCAACCTTACTGCAATCCCAAACTGATTTGATGGGATAATATCATTTGCCACCAAAGAGCATGAGTTTAACGAGTTAAGTTGACATGGCTTCAACAATTGACCACCATCCTTATTGGCTATTCCTCCTGCCATCGCCTCGTCTGCATCTACAGAAGTCTCAACATACCAACTCCCTTTCTCCAGTGACACATCCATGCAAAATTCTTGCCAACTGAAATAAGTGAATATAAGATCCATATAGTAAACACCCATATTTCTCAATTACTGATAAAAATGACAAATTTCAGAGGGAATAAGACTATAAGTTTCAGAATTTGCTACTAGGTTACATTTACTCTTAAGGATAATTAACATATATTATCCTTAAAAGTAAACATAACCTTAAATTATGATATAATCAGTAGATCATCATGTCAAAACAATTCCCTCTGCACATGCATATTCAACCACAGATTTTTCAACTCTCTGTGCAATTTACAATTATTAAACAGGCATCTAAAGCATATAGCATGAACCTGTTACATTATTTGACCAATCAATTAGTAACAAATGACGTGGCATCATATAAAACTTAACTCTACATACGTCAAATCATCCTCAAGCCACTTTTATTATTTATAACTAGATGTTCATGCAGTACATTGTATAGTATCCATGTTTCCCCTCTTTTGCAGCATAATAAATTTCTACCTGAACATCCACAAACTCCACATACATGTGACTTAAGATCGTAGAGCTTCATAAAGAAAAGCAATCTTACAGGAATTTATGAAGGGCTCTTGTCAATAAAAAGCTTAATAAAGAAGAAGGTAAAAATTACCGTAGAAAACTCTGAAAAGCATCGACAGAGTCAAGACCTAGCTTTGCAGAAGCTTTAAAACTTAGCTTCAAAACCACTGATAAAATATGCACACTACACCATCTCAAGTCAAGTATGATATTCTTCAACATGAGATCATCTGTCATGGTAAGATCTGCCAAATGTTGTACAACATCCAAAATACAGGACCAGTCCCACAGCACAGTGAAAACCTTTGGCTCCAACGTGAGAAATCGATAAGATGCCCGAACAACATTAAGCAACCGACTTGGTCCCTAAAAATATTAACATAGACTTTCACGATGTTGCAGAAAAATAACATGACAATTCATCTATGAGAAAAGAATTAGGAATATTGAAAAAACAAACAATCTAAATCTATATATATATAGTTTATTTCCCTTGAACAAACTACCCATTCATATATTAACCTTTCCAAGATTAGTTAGTCAGCTGTAAGATGTATATAATTATCATAAAGACTGGAAGTCTAGAATATGTTACTGATTTTTGCTAGATCGTATGTCTGTATGCAAATATCTTGTTCCTTGTCTCTCTGGCCAATGTGCAGGCCAAGTGGCTTATAAATACTGTGTGCTCGTTTATTGAATTCTTTCCAAAATCTACTATTCATCAAATTTTTTTCCCCTAAAAATATCAAATCAAACACCTATTTTTCAATTTTTATATTATACTAAAAATCAATTTTACATTCAAAGCATCACATCAACACCTATTTACATCACATCATACAACTATTCCAATTCAAAATTTTTACTATTCAAATCCCAACTCAAAATCCAAACCCCCAAACAAACACACCCAATTACTATTAAAAACTTTCAGACAATATCAGTGAACAGAGATAAAATAAATGACTGCAGGAACTATCACTGAAGGAAGTATCAAAACACCACAATATTTATAGATATGGTAAAAGATAAGATTACCATAGATAATGCCTTGGAAACTGATCCACTCTGTCTAATTCTTTCAATTGGAGCAGGAGCAACTTTGTAATAATTTAAAACCGACCTGCAACAGAGAAGGGGAGACATTGAAGATTCATTGTGAAAGCAAACGTAAGATGGAATGAATCAGCTACATGAGGACATATGTGGGGAGAAAATTAAGGTTGTTCAATTTTATTAATAGTAGTAAAACAACATGAAAAACTTTATATGCGACCAACAAAAGAATAGATCAAAATATTATCTCACCGCAGCAAAAAGGGAAGCAAATCAAGGGCTCGGCAAAAGGCAAGACTAGCAAGCTCGTGGAGGCATAAGCCCTTTCCCCTTCTCACATAAAAATTTATGACACTAACAATTTCTTCACTGCATTCATCCTCCCTTAGAAATCCATCTTCTTCAAATTCCTCCATATCATTATCATCATCCGAAGTTGGCACAAGATGAAGCAACCCCACTGTCCTGTCCACAATCTTCTGTGCAATTGGCCTAAAGCATCCCAACAATGGGACTGTGTAATTTGGGTGCAAAACCAATTCACCCAGAGCAAGCACCACTTCATCTTCGGTAACTTTGTCTCCCTGAAACAAACAAACAAACAAGCAAAACATAAAAGACACATTATTTTACGTCGTGAATAACTAACTGCAAATTCTTGTATTTGCACATATCGCACGGGTTTAGTACCTTTTTTAACAGATTATGAAAGCATGGAATTGACTTTAGGTTTGGACACCTGTAGAGAAACCTTCCCAGCCCCGATTCTAGCGAAAAACTTCCATCTAACGCCATGAACAAATTAAATTGAATTCTCTCTAACTAAAACTAAATAAATATCAATGTCAAAATTGTTCCTCTGGGTGTGTTTCTTTTATGGCCCGAAGACGACGACGACGACTTCTGACAATTGTACGGAGGGAGAACGAAGAGTTTGCGGGCGCGCGCTCTGGAATATGACGGACGAAGAAGAAGAAATTATGTCGTCCCTTAAACCCCAGCGAGGACAAGTTTCCTCTTTATTTTCTTAAACCCTTTTAATGTCGGAAGAGCAAGATTAGGGATTTAGGGTAGATTTGGTCAAAATCTGTTTCGAAGCGGCGGTTCCGGTTCAAACCGAGCTGTCATCAACTCTAAACCTAAACCGGTTTTGTCACGGTTTTGTTTTCTCTTTTCTATCCGAACCGTAAAACTTCCGGTTCAACCGACGGTTTTCAATGCAATTTTGTATATATTTTTTTAAATATATATACTTCATTTGTTCACAAACTAAGTTCTATTTTTTTAATTTGGGAAGTCTAACAATTATTTTTCTATTTTTTTAAACACATATTTTATATTTTTACTCTTTATTGTTTTATTATTTTTAATTTTTACTCTATGATAAATTTGTCAATTTATAAAAAAAAAAAAAACAATCATTTAAAAAAAAACATATAAATATATTTAGGATAATAGAAATTGAAGAATAGAAATTAGACGTATATAATATATATTAATGGAGCAGAGGAATGAGGACGGCTGTGGATATTTAATGAATTGATAATTAATTAGGGCAAAAATGGTAATATATTATTAATTATTTATAAAATAAACATAATATTAATATTAATAAAAATACATTTTTATTAGTAATAAATAGTTTAAATTTTATAAACATTTATTATATAATTTAATTTAATTTAACTTATATTATTATTATTTGAAGCAATAATATTTTTATAATTGATTTTTAATTTAAATTTTAGTGTGTATTTTTTATCAAATTTTCTTAAATTTTTATTATTTATCAAAAAGTTTTTTTTAAAAATATTAAATTATATATTTATTTTAAATGTTTACATTATATTAAAAATTAATTTAAATTTAAATATCGTATCAATATTTATTTATACGACATTATATAACTATTTCAATTTTGAATTTTTAAATTTTGTTAACTCAAAATTTAAACCTCTCAAACAAATACACTACTTACTAGATTTATTATTTTAATTATTTTCTTATACAGTAACAATATAATCAATCATTATTTATGTATTTTTTACATAATAAATAATAAATATATTATATAATTTTTACACTAAATAAATAATAAATATATATTTAAAGAAAATTAAAAGTAAAATCAATAGCTTTCGAATAAAATTAAAATTTAGAAACTTAGAAAATATAAAAGAAATATATTAAAAATAAATAAATATAAATCAGTTCAAATCAGAGCCATAACTGAAATAGTCAAATCAAAATTGAAATAAAAAATTTGAAGTTTTAATATCTATTTTCTCATCTAATTAAATTGAAAATCATATCGAATGTGTTTGATTTTGTCCAAATTTTATTATTCATTGGATTTTTAATTTTAAAAAATATTATATCAAATAATTATTTTTTATTTTTATATTATATATATTTAAATTTTTGCTATCATATATTTATTTAAATTTAAATTATTTACTATTTGAATTCAAACACAAACAATAATTTTAAAATCCTAATGAATTTATGTTTTCTTATAAAATTGATGATGAAATTTCAAGTGTATTGGATTTTAAAATCCTACAAATGCAAATTTTGTAAGTATCAGTGTACCATATTACTTTAAAATCTCATGTCATTGCATTTTACATTTTACAATTATATCTTCCCATAAAGAAAGTCATATTTCTTTTTCTTTTTTAATATTACATATATATATTTACATTTAAATTATATTTTATTGATTTTATAAAATATAATATTATATTTAAGTATACTACTACAAATCATATATTTATTTATAATCATTAATTTTATTTATATTTAATTATTTTACTAATGATAATTTAAATAAATTAATAATTTAAATTTATTTTACTGGTGTATTAATTTTGTATTTTTAGTTTAAAGTGTTTTTTATATTAATATGAAAAAAAAATATCGATAGTATAAAAGATAAATAAATTGTCATATTTTTTAGTGTATAGATTATATATTACAGTATATTTTTTGTATGAATCTACGTATATATTATATTTTGTATTATTGATCAAAGTTCGTATTAAAATTTTTTATTAGAATACACTAAATTTAGTAAAAAATAAAATTCACGAAAAGAAAAAAAAGAATGTAAAGTTTAATTTATCACAATAAATAAAATTCGTGGATGGATAATTACGTCATTTAAAATATCACAAATCTAAATCTTTCAATTAATCTATAAAACAAACTAGATTTGAAAATATAAATCCAAGATAGTTTACCAACCAAACACATGATAGGATTTCAAATCCTAAATACAATAAATATTTATCACATATAAATTATACTGTAACATCTCAATTCCATTAAAAAAAAAAAAAAAAAACAACCAAACAGCCTATTATAGTATTTCTTTTTTTCAATGTATTTTTCTTACGAAGAGATTGATTATATTCTTTTAAGTTTTTTGACATTTTTGTCACATATAAATTATGATATTTTTATTAACAAAATAAATTTTATTTATTACCGAAATTAGTGTGGCTCTGTATATGTCCATGATATATGTACAATTTCTTCTATTTTGAGTATATTTTTTTTATTTATCAATACTTAATATCTATTATTCAAATTAATATATATTACATATTTATTTTATTCAAATATTATTTTTATGGTAAAACATATGATATTTACTTAATTTTAAACATATATATATTTAAAATGCCTACAATAATTGGTGTATTTTTGGAGGAGGAGAGGGTTTGGTGAGGAGCGGTACAAGAAGATCTCTGAATTTAGTCGTGTGGCTATAGAATGTAAATATTGTGTTTAAAAAAAAAAAAATTAGTTTGTTCACTTAGTATTTTTAGGTAAAATGTTTTTTCATAAATATTAATAAAAAAATACAATATATAAACGCTATATATAATATATATTGATAACTCTATCCACTAATAAAAAAATAATAATTGAACAATTTTATTTTTTTTTATTTGTACCAATAAAATTTTTCATATTTGATATAAAAAATACATTAATAAAAAAAGTCTAAAGTGAACAAATCCAGTATAACAAATTTCAAAATAGCTTTTTACTTTAATTTTATTTACTTTTTATTTATATGTAAAAATTGATAATTCGTTTCACACACATAAAAATATATTTTTCATTGCATTATTTCTTAACTATTTTAATATATATTTTTAAATTATGATTTTACTTTTATAAATTTAAAATAATTAAATTAAATTGTAAGAGTATTTATAGTTAAATATGTAATATAATTACTAAATTAAGATACAAAACTCTTATCTTGGTATGGACAATAATATCCTTCTTATGAATGGAGAAAATATATAATAAATATATATATACGAAATATTTATTATTTTATATTATTTTTAATAAAAATTATTTGTATATTTTAATAAAATATTTTTTTTCAAATTTGAAAATTAAAATAAATATTTTACAACACTTCACAAATTTCAATAATAAGAACAAAATAAAGGATAATCGAATCACGACAACATCATGCTTTATCCAGGCGTGTACTAATTAGTGTGGTTTTCACGCTAGAATAAAGTGGTCTAATAATATATTTTTTGTTTAAATTTAAAATGCTTTCTTACAATGTAAAAAATATTAAATTTTGTATTTAATCACATTAAATATCTCATTAAATATTATAATATAAAATATTTTTGATGCATGTATAAATGATGAATCCAATGAAATAGAATGCTAATTTATTTTAATTAATAATAATTTTAAGTATTTTAATACAATAATGAATGTTAATATATATTACTGAAATGCTAAACTAAAACAAAAGATATGTTTATTTTTAATTATTATTTAACTTTGTGATGAACACTAACATGTTCAAAGTAGGATACTCTCTATGTTTCATTTTGTCTATTTAGTTGAAAATATATCTATAATTATGTTTTTGTCTTATTAGTACGACATGTTGTTCAGATTTTTCCTTATTTGTTGCTAGATGAACTCAATTTGAATTGGTTTCAAATTATTGTTTTATTTGTATCTTGTTTTGTAATAATAATATTTCATGTACTTTTATGATACAAATATTTTTTTATTTTATTTTTTCCTCATCTTAATTCTAACCGCAAATCATCGTATTATGTGTATAATCATAATAGAATTTTTAAGTGGTGAATTCTATTATATGTCGATCAATGGATTTTGTTTATATTACATGTTGAAAATTGTCAAATAATATATTGTCTATTGAATATTAAAATGTTTTTATACCGTTTAAAAAATGTTGAATTTTATATCATACATTTTATATTAAAATGCATACATAAATGCTAAACTCAACTGACCGGCAATACTAATTTATTTTAATTAACAATAATTTAAATATTTTAACACAAAAATAATTGTTATTACATATTATTCAAATTTTTAGCAGATATAAACAAGATTATAATAGTTTAGCTATTTTTCAAATTTTGAAAAATTATAAAAATAGTTCGACTTCGTCATTGGGTATTGGTGAAGGAAATGAAATATTTGGAATTTCAAAATTTTAATGTCTTATTTGCTTTTTAAGCGCTCGATTGATATTAGAATAAGGACAAATAGATTTTGCCTACCTCTATCGATTTCGTTCATAAGTTTTGCTTTATTTTTCTACACTAAAATTGAAGTTGGGAAATGAAAGAGAAATTACAAAAAAAAATAGAGAATGTGCCTATATAAATTAATAGTAATTAAATTATCTTTATAACTCTAAATTAATATAAATTTTTTTATTAACTTTTTAATCCAAGAGTTATTAGACATCACATCCCAATTGATTTATATATGTGTCTAATAAGTAAATAATATTATTTTAAACATAAATTTCAAATCTAAAATCCTGGCATTAACAAAATTTTAAAAATTCTATCTAAAAATTTCAAAAATTCAATTTTCAATTGAAAAAAAAAAAAAAAAATCTACAAAGAAAATATTCCAGAGATCTTTGAAAGGTTGATATATGTTTTCATTTATAGAGTGCAAACATATTTATAAAAAAACTACAAACTATATATATTATATAGCATTGTACTTTCTTCTTCTGAGTCAAAAATATTTATTTGTCATTTTTGTTTGTTCATGTCAAAGGCATTGTACTCTCTTCGTCTGATTCAAAAATATTTATTTTGTCATTTTTGTCCATTCATATCAAATGTATTTTTTTTTTTAATAAAAACATGTCTTAATTAAATACCAAAATACCATTTATTTTATTTTACCTATTCTTTTATTTTCAGTAATATCAAGGGTAAAATAGTTTTTACCCTACTATATTATACTACATATCTATAAAATATTAATGTACATAAATTTACCTGTAAAAGTTAAATGAGTACCTTTAATTCGGACAAAGGAAGATCTTTAAATGTATATTATGTGTTGGATATACTTGTATTTTTAGATGGATCACATTCTTTGTATGTTAGTGTAGTAGTGATCAATCACTTCAACTTTCGGCTTATTAAAATTTATTGAATACATTGTTAAACCACATCACATTGCTTGTGTATCATTGTAGTAGTGATTAATTATTTTACTTTTGTTTTATTAAAATTTATTAAATGTATTGTTAGATCATATCACATTACTTATGTATCATTATAATAGTAATGTATATCTTTAATTTTTATTATGTTGAAATTTATAGAACACATTATTAAATTATATTACATTATTTATGTATGTATCATTATTGTAATGATCAAACTTTTTAACTTTAATAATACCTACTTGTGTCTCTAATTTTCATCAACTTTATCATTATATTTGGTAAGTAGTTTAAACGTACTTGTATTTACAGATCATATCACTATTATTATGTATGTTGTCTACTTTGTCACTATTTATTTTATTATTGTATTATTTATTCACATATTTTGGATATATATTATTATGGACAAATTTCATTTTTACTCCAATTGTGAATTAATGAGATCACATTTCATCTATGAATTTTCGCGTGAAAATTATGATAAATTTATTATCGTATTAGAAGTTGTAATATCATATGATCTATGAATTTAACATTTTTTGGCGAATTAGGTCCATGTAATAATATTAATATATTTGATCAATCTTTAATTTTTGATGAATTTTTTAGTAACGGAAGTCCGAAAGTAAATTTTTTTCTCAATTATTTTCAATATAAAATAAAATATCATTTTATGCATAAAACATATATTTTATAGACGATATTTATCTAATCTAGTCACTTAATTTAATGACTTAAAATGAAATTATTTACACAATATCAATAAGCGACCTGAAAAGATGTATAATGTGCTTTTGATGTTTTACAAGTTCAATTTATTATTATTTGACGTCCATCACTTATTTGATATATTGATTTAATTTGAAATATACTGAAACGTGTATCATATTGTATAATATGATCATTTAAGATGAAAGAAACACATACATATGTATTATTATGATAATTTTCAATTTGAACAAATAGGAGTAGATAATATTAACAACTTAAGTCAATCATATTATGATGATAAAAATACTGGAATAACTCGAATATTTAAGAAATAGAATTTGATTTCGAAACAAAATAACACATTAACAACTCAAATTAGTTTTGAGTAAGCACATATTACAAAATTTTGGTTCGATAAATAAGTAAATAATTAATTTATTTTATATATTTATATTGTATTTTTAATGTATTAATCATTTTAAAAAATTAAATATTATATCTATATTTTATTTCAAAAATAATAAATAATTATAATTATAATAAAAATACAATACTCAAGAAATATTTCAATATTAAAAATTTAAAATAAAAATAAATTAAGTGAAATTAAATAATAAATAAGTATAAAAATTATGTTATTTCAATAAATCAGTTATTAACAAAAAAATTATATTGTTTTATTATATAATTAATTATAAAAGTAATAATTTTAAAAAGAAATATATATAATGATATAGATATAAAAATAAAAAATAAATTGTGATGAGTTTTTTTAATATGTGGCACACACAATGTGATATGGACACATATATATATTTTTGGATATTTTGGGATTTGTTTTGTTGATGAAATAGAAATTTTGATATAAAGAATAATTTGATATAATATTTTATAAGAAAAAAAAATATTTTCTTTTTATAAAAAGATTGTTATTATTTTTTGTGTTTAAAATTTAAATTTTAATATTATATTAATATATAATATAAATATATATATTCAATATACAAATATAAATACATTTTTAATATTAAATATAATAATATAAAATACAAATGATAATTTTTTTAATGAGATAATAGAGTATATTTTTATGAATTTTTTTTTAAAAAAATGCTTGAAATTAGAGTTTGATTCTCAAGGAGTATGTGAGTAGATGTGTGTGGATAAAAAAAAACATATATGTATATTTATGTACGCTTTATCTGTGTAGTGTTTGATTTGATTTTTTTATTTTTTTTTTATCTATTTATTTATGCCAGGTATTTGAAATTGTATAGCTATTGAATTTTTTTATAAAATATGATAAAATATATTTCTTCAATTTCAATTAAATTGTTCCATTCAGCTTATCAGAATTTTAGGTATGATTTAATTAATAAGTAATTTAAAAACTATATTAGAGAAAAAAATATATGATTTAATAAAAATAATTATAAATTAAAAATAAGATTACTAAATAATTTAATTAAAATAAAAGAAATTATAAAATTATGAATTTTAAATTGTGATTAAAATGTATAATTATATATTTTTTTTTTTTAAAAAATGACAAATTATGTTGGACAAACTTAAATAGAAACAATGGACAAATTAAATGAGACAAAGAGAGTATATATTAGAAATTTTGTTGGAATTTTTTTCTGATAAAGTGTCTTGTAAGATTATTTTTGTTTTGATTTTGAATAATAAAATTTTGAATTGAAATAATTATCATTAATGTGCTGTTTAAAATTAGATTTTTTTGTAATAAAATAAATAAAAGAATAGATAATTGATTTGATATTTTTAAAGAAAAACTAAAAGTGAAATACTTTTTTTTATGTTATCCAAATTTATTTATATTTTTTTTTTGTTGTCATTCAAATTTATTTATAATTTTGTTTTTAGTATATTTATTTTCATAAAAGAAAAAATCTATGTTTTTATTTATTTTCTTTATAATTCGTATGAAATCAAATAGACATAAATTTATATAAGAAAAAGAATAATAATATAAAAAATAAAATTTCTATGAGTAAACAAAATTTTATTATTATATTACTCTCTCCGTCCCATGTACTATGGGCTTATTACTGTAGATACGAGAATTTAAGTAAAGTGTATTAGTAAAAATAATTATTAGTATAATAAAAATAATTGTAAATTAAGATTAAGATAACTAAATAGTTTAATTAAGATTAAAAAATTATAAAATTTAAAATTTAAAATGAGATTAAAGTGTATAATTATATTTTTTTAAAAAAAATAAATAAATTATGTGAAACAGACGAAAATAGAAAATAAAAACAATGTGGGACGAGGGAGTATTATTTTCAAATATGGACTATGCAATAAAGCATAGTCTCATTTTGGATCGTCTGATAATTAAGGGTAATCGAATCGCGACAACATCACGCGTTTTCCACGCGTGTACTAATCAGCGTGGTTTTCACGCTGGAATAAAGTGGCCAACCCCAACCCCAACCCCCCTTTTTATTAAATACATATCTTTTGTGGTTTGACTTGTAAACTTAAGCCCAATAAAATATGACTCAGCATCAGCAATCCCTCATTGTACTTTTACATTTCTACCCTTTCCATTCAGATCTAATCTGGACCGTCCATTCCAATTCCCGAAAAGAAAATTAAAATTGCATATTCCTTTTACCGGCCGCTTCCCTTTGCGCTAAATTAAAAGGCAAACGCAAAAGCAAAAACTCCTCGAAAAACTGCGATTCAAAATTGTGGGCTACACACAAGTAGAGAGAGATAGAGATAGGACGTAGAGATAGAGGGTTAGAGAGAGAGAGAGAGAGAGAGAGAGAGAGAGAGAGAGGGCATTTTGGGAGAAGAAGAATGTCGGGAGGAATTGCTCGCGGGCGGCTGGCTGAAGAACGGAAGGCTTGGCGGAAGAACCACCCTCATGTTGGATCGAGTTTCATTGGACTTTTTGTTTTATTGGTTTTCTTGTCTGTGTGTTTGACTGTGTTGTGGGTAATTTTTGGGATGGTTTTTTTGAGTGGGAAAATTTTCTGTTTTTTGTTTTAGGGTTTTGTGGCTAAACCTGAGAGTCTTCCCGATAGTACAGTTAATTTAATGGTGTGGCACTGTTCGATCCCGGGGAAGGCAGGGGTAAGTGTATAAACTTTACTGGTCCCTTTTTTTGTGGTTTATTTCGATTGGAATTGCCTGCGTTGTTGATTTTGGCATTGGTGGAAATAGGGATTTGAGGGTTTGTGTGTGGTTGTGTGTAAATTGTTTGAATCTAATTCGTCGGTGGTCTGGTAGGAGTGCTTGCAAGTTCGTGCTTTTGAACTTTCTGTATTTTGTTGTGATTGTCTTGATTTTGGTAAACACTAGTGGCCGTTTGCACGGCGTGGTGCTTATTTATACTTTGAATTTTTATTAGGGCAATTCTCGACATCACCATATGATATGCTCATTGTTGCCTTACCTTTTTGTAAGTTAGGGTTTCTTCACGTTTTTCCTGCTTTGATTTGAGTATTAATTGCGGAGTAAAAGAGGGTGATATGGTTGTGAAGTTCAGCTTTTGACGAATAAGATAAAAATTGTTCTTCAGAACAGTAGTTGTATGATTGAAGATGACGTTTGTTAAGTAATAAGCATGATAATTCAGGAAGGAGAAATTACAAAGACCCAAACTTAGTGTCTTACCTATTCTCACTCAAAAGGAAAAGAAACCAATTTGAGTTCGCTTTTGGATCAGTTGTATTTCTCTGTTATCTTTGATTATTGGGTCTTAAATGACATGTGCAGGTTGAAACTATATCCATGGAATTTGATGTCCATGTTCTCTGTAATTTTCAGCATTTCTGTGATGTATGTTCCGGGACATTTACTTCTCCTAATTGATATTGCAGACTGATTGGGAGGGCGGTCATTACCCCCTTACAATGCACTTTAGTGAAGATTATCCAAGCAAGCCACCAAAGTGTAAATTTCCGCCAGGTTTTTTCCATCCTAATGTGTATCCATCTGGAACTGTTTGCCTGTCGATTCTCAATGAAGATAGTGTAAGTCCATTGCTGGTGTCGTGCTGATAAACTATAATTTCAGAGTACTACTGGTCTTGTGTGCCAGGGTGTTTTCATTCTATCCACTTGTGATGTTATTAGGGTTGGCGGCCGGCAATTACTGTGAAGCAAATTTTAGTTGGTATCCAAGATTTGTTGGACCAGCCTAATCCGCTTGATCCAGCTCAAACTGAGGGCTACCATATGTACATCCAGGTAATAGAACTTTCCTTGATACCGCAAGAAATTAGCCCTTGTTTTGTGAAAAGTAAAACACTACTGCAGCTGCTTTGTATTTTTTGTTGTGTCATATTGAATATATTCTGTATTCTTGTAAGATTAATGTTTACGGTCAAGTTATATCTCCTTGTTAGTTTAATGTTGTGTTAAATGGTGTAGATCATAGATTGTCATACATATAGTTTTTTTTAGGCCTCGTGAAATTTGAGTGATTACACATGATAATCTTGTATCAAAGCTAATTCCATGATCAACTAGATGCTTGGTGTAGATGGTCTAAAAAGTAGGATAAATAATTCAATGCTATACCTTTGGGGTGCACACTCCTTTTTAACCATGTGCATATGTACAACCTAGACATTAGAATTTGGATAGAGATAATAATCGGATATCCAACTACATGTGCATATACAACCGGAGGTTCTATACAGAGTTTTTGTTTACATGGTTCTTTTAATTTCTTCTATCTAAATCCTGTCTTATCTTTTACACTTGTCCTAACACAACACGGGTTTTATTTGTATTATTATTATTACTATTATTTTCCTTCGAATGGATTGTTACACACAGTTTTATGCCTTCAGGATCCTGTGGAATACAAGAAGCGGGTTCGGGCGCAGGCCAAGCAATATCCTTCTCTGGTCTAAGATCTGGATGCATATTCTCTATTTTCTTATCATCGGTGTCTAGTTTCATCGTGCAAAGTTGTTGCTGTGAAGGTTGCTTTAAATTTAAATAGACAAGACTATTTTGTGCCGAAGTGGTATGGCGATGGGATTTACAAGACTATGTTGTTACTTATAACTAGTGTGTGTGTGTGTGTTTTCTTGTTAAAGGGACAAGTGAATTTATCTATATAATGCATTCAGAGCCCTAATCTTGTTGTGGCAAAATTTGTTGGATATAGTTTGTGATTATATTGTATTTCCGGAATTGTGATGTTTTAGATAGCCCTTTAATGCACACATGATTGTCCAACTTATGCATCAGTTATATATAGGGTACATATGATATCTATTATGATTAATTAAGATATTTAGAGGGATGACAATGTATTGCATTGCTCCCTTTTGCTGTCTATGGGTAAGCAGCTATTGTTTTATGCCGTTGGAAAATGTATTGTTTTAATTTTAGAATAAAAATATTTTATCATAATTATATTTATTCGGTTTTATGGAGTTTTCTGATTCAAATATGGTCCAATTTGTATAGGTTTATTTTAATTTTAGAATAAACATATTTTATCATAATTATATTTATTCAGAATAGATTTTATGGAGTTTTCTGATTTAAATATGGTCCAATTTGTATAGTTTTGTTTTAATTTTAGAATAAAAATATTTAATATTAATTATATTTATTCTGAATAAGTTTTATGGAGTTCTCTGATTCAAATATGGTCCAATTTGTATAGCTTTAGGTATAGCTTGGTTTTTCAAGCGTATTGGGTTAGCTACTGTCCAAGTTGTATACGTTTATATATAACTCGGTTTTTCAAGTTTATTGGGTTGGCCCAACCTAAAATTTATTTGGATTTAATTTTAAAGCCCATTTTTCGAGTTTTTTAGATCGTATTTATTTTTTTCGGTTATAATTAAGGATAAATTGAATTTATTATATAAATTTGTTTCACTCTTAAATGAGCATCAACTATTATTCTTGTTAAAGATTATAGATTGAGCTATCTATCATATCTTCAAGGACTGTGTTCATAGCGCACTAAATAATGTAAAAAATTGAACTATTATTCCAAGACAAAGTTAGAATAAAGATAATTTCTTAAAACACACTAACAAAAAGTTTCAAGTTATTTTTCTGTTCGAATATGAGTTTCTTTTTTTTCTTTTTCTATCAACAATCTTAATTACTCTCATTTTATTGACGGTGTTTTTCTTTTTTTTGTGGAAAAAAAAAAATTTCAAAACAAGAAAAATCACTATATGCACCGTTGGAAAGAAAAGAATAAAAGAAAAATACCAAATTTTAATATTTTTACAATTGCTCGAAAAAAAAGTAATGCAATAATCATAATAAATAAAAATTACAAATTTCAATCAAAAGTAGTTACTACAGTTTCTACGGTAGGTGAGTGCAACGGCGGTTCGAGGGATGAGCCGGAGGGGCTTTGGCCGTGGCGGTTCGTGGCAGCTAACGAAGCCATAGAAACACACATTGTAAGAAAATTGTTAGATCTGGCCTGGTGACTCCAGCCCGTCTCCCGGTTCAAAGCCAAAGTCCGAGCCACCCGGTCCAATCCGCAACCAATTCGTTCTTGATATTGTAGTTGTATTGCAATATTTATGTTGTTTATTCCTATATAATATCATATATTATGTAATAATTTTAAAAAAAATAAGTCTTGAAACTCAAATCAACCGAATCAATGCCTTCAATTAATACATTTTAAGAGGTGGCCTTAATGTATCATTTCTTCTTTGCAAATCTAGATTATTCAATAATTATGTACAAGTTTTTCTTTTAGTATAAAACTCCCTAAAAACTTATATAATGTATATTATGTAGAAAACTTTAGAAACATTAGGCAGGAAGATTCCATAGATATTTATAAATATAAGTCATTGTGGGTACCATCAAAACACACACACACACAAAGAAGGTTAGAATTTGTTTGTTTTGTTTAAGAAAAAAAAAAGGAAAAAAGCTATAATGTATAATCAATTTAACTTATGAGAAAGAAAAAATAATGTGTAAATTATTTTCTAATATTGTATATATCTCTTTGAAAAAATGCTAATTATTGTTATTTTTTTCCTTAATATTAGCTCTAAAGATGATATTCGAACATATAAAAGTACTACAAAATAATTTGCAATTTGTAATAGAATTATGCAAAGTGTCGCATTCCATTTCTATATAAAAAGTTGCAATTTAGTGATAGAAATTTGTAAAAAAATATATTCTGTCACAATTTAGTATAAAGCAACAATTTTTTTTTTTTTTTTTTCAATTTGCTTCTATTTTGGATGTTTTAATCTTTTGATTATGTTAAATAGTTATATATTTTTCATGTTTTATACAACTTATATTCAATTTTATTGTTTATAACTTTTGTGGTATTTTTTTCAAATTTATGTTATTTTATTTTATATCTGAATGCACAGATAATGCACATGGTATGTATAAAATGTGTCTGTAATGTATTAACAAACCTTAGTAAATGAATTATTTTTAATATCTTGTTCTTATTATAGTTGATATTATTGTTTATTCAGTTTTATTGGAAATGCAAGGATAAGAAAAGCTTGACCTATAAGTAAGATGAAATTTTGATTACTACCATTGTATTAATCTTTATATATGCTATATTACAGTTAATTTTCTTGTTTATCAATTTACCTATGGTGGACCCTATCGTTGATGGTTCTTATTTATACGCCAAACTTAACGGATTTTTTTTTTTTATTATTATTATATTTTTTTCGTCTCAACCGTGGATTTAAAGTTTAAATAAATTAGGATTTGCAGTTAAGTCCGTGTAATTCAAATGATGTGTTTCTCAAAATAGTATCACAGGATAAAAAAAAAATTACATTTATAAGTTAGGATAATTAGTTAAAATTGTCCTTCCTCGACATCATCCTTCAGTTGTGATGATTGTACTCCGGGCACATTCATCCTTAAAACACGATTAGCCAGGTGAGTTGAGGACAAAGCTTAGGAACGGATATGTCTGTGGAAACTCACGCAGCAACGCGTTATAAATATAAAAAAACAGCAACGAGCCATATACTATTTTAATTTGACAATTATGGAGAAATTATGATGATGAGAGCACCATCCATTCACAGGTGTGATCCCGATTCAGATGGTGGTAGTGCTTCGGTATCGTGATGTTTTACCTTTACTGATTTGTTAATTACGACTTTACTTACTTTTGTATGATATTTGCTAATTTTTATATTTGTTTAATATTTGATAATAACAGTGTTGATACTAAATATATTTTATTTATATTATAATATAAGACGTTAATAAACTCATTTAGATTTGAATAAATTTTATCTATACAAGTTTTTGGAAAAAAAATAAAACCAAAATAATTGATTATGAATTTTGCGACGGAATTAGTAACAAAATTATTCTCTTATAATATTATCTAAATGTTGTGACGGAATTAGCAATAGATGTATTCTCTTGTAATATGTTTTAAAGTTGCGACTGAATTAGTAAGAGATTCTTTCTAACACAATGTCATATAATGTTGCGACCGAATTGACAAAAAGAATAATAACATTGAAATGTTAGGACAAAATTTTCATTGATGCTTCTATTGCAATTTTATGCAATGTAACTCAATTTAGTTGTTTGAGAAATACAATCAATTATTTGCATCAATTTTCATTTGGATATAAAGTCCATTACAAAATGAATTTGTGATGAAAAATATCTAATTGCAACAGAATAATTTCATCGTTAACTTATGATTTTATTTTTTAGTGAAGTGATGGGTAAAACAAATGCTTTGTTTCAAAAGAGTAGCGGCAATAATACATGACTAAATTTTTTTTGTGTGTATATATATAAATATTTTGGTTATTGGTCAATATTTTCTTTAAATGTATGCATTTAGAAATTCACTGTGTGCGATGTTGCGAGGGTGTTGTGTAATATAAAATATATTTGATATTTATTATTGTGATTATATTAAAAATATATAATGTATTATCTAATTTTTAGAATACATATAGTTATGTAGAAAGTTTCACTAAAACTAGTTCATTTATTGTGTGAGAAAAAAACAAGTGTAACTACCAATAATGGTGTATGTTTAATGTAAAAAAAAAGTGAAAATGAAAAAAAAAGTGAAAATGAAAAAAAAAAAGTGAAATATATTGTGAGTTATATATTGAATTTTGTAGAACGAGATAAAAAAATTTAACAAATGTATGTAATTTTATCCTTGTTTTTTTCTAAAAAAAAAAAAATAAATTTAAGTAAACATAATATGTTGTTATAACTCAAACTATTATCGGTTAAGTAGACATTAAGCTAAATTGCATTACGGTTTCTTTCAAAGTTTAAAAGATAATATTAGTAGACAACAAGTGTGAACAAATCTATAACCTATACTTGTATTTTTTTCAGAGTATATATGAACAAGTGATTTTTTATACTAAGAATTTTGAGTAAAATAATTAAAGGGATGCAATAGAATAAATCAACCGTCGTTGTATTTGGAACTGTGTTTGAAATTTTTGTTTTTTTTTTCTTTTTCCCGTAATATCGATAACTATGAACTCCGTTGCACATGCACATATATATGCCTATGTATTTTATTGTGTTTTTGTGTTTTTTTAAATTTTATATTCTACTCTCACCACAAGATGTATGTGTTTATTTATTTTATACTTTCAGTTATATTTATTTTATGAAAATTATCGATAGCATACTCGTATTTTATAACTTTATGTATATACCTGCAGTGTGTCCACTCTAAGAGACTCTGTAGAGCAAAGTTTAGAGAATTATTAGAAATTTTGAACTTAATAGAAATTTAATAACTCATTCATTTTTAATCAACATGTAGTCTTTCAGTTTTAAGAAAAATTTAATTTATGGTCACTTGCAAATGGTGGTTTTAGAAATTGTTGCGGATTTGGTGCTTATTGGGTCAACTTATTTGACCCAATCAATATATATAATAAAAGAACATAATATTCATTATATATGCTGATTTGTGTGTTGAATATTGTCTCACATAAGAAAAAATGTGAGAATTCTCTATTACTTGTAAATGTGAAAGACTACTCCATGTAATACCAATTGATTTGAAATTGGAATTTCGAAACCCTTCTTAACATGGTTTCAAAACCCTAATATAATATCCCCACACTCTTAATCTAATAAAATGTGCACAAGCATATATATAACTCTAGACAATTCAAAACCCTCATTTAAATCCAAACACTTTAAAATCTTACAATAGTTTCACCGATGAGTACAAAAAGAGGCTGCTTCAAGTCTAATAAAACATCAAACATTCAAAAAATTTTCTAGAATAACATATATATATTCATAGAGTTGAAGATCATCAACATAAAACCGATTATCAAACAATCTCGGGTGCTGGATTGCAATATGGTATGTGCAAGCACACAAGTTTTGTGATACACTTTAGCAAATCCTATACCAATGACAAGCCCGACTGCAACTCTTTTTTTACCCGGTTTGATTGTCCGGTTCACAATGCTCCAAAAAACACGACAAAGGCCCTCTGCAAGCAAAGACCATCAGGTGGTTCAATCATAACAAAAATAGCTCCGATGGCAGACAATGGACACACAAATCAAACTGATGGTCTTTGCTTAGAGAAGCCTTATTTTGGATGATAATAGAAATTAAAGAAATACAAAATGTGAAACAATAAATACGAATAAATATGAAATGTGGAACAATAAACAAAGATTGAGGATTCATAATTGGATAAAAATAAGCACGAGTAAGTTGAAGCTAACAAATGGAATCTTCCTATTATAAAAGTTCTAAATTCAGACTAAAATACCTTTACTTTTGTAGCAATTGATGAAGTCACAAAATTTTGATCATTAATTCTTTCCTCTCAAAGAATACGGATTTTGAGTCTGGATTCTTAAACAAAAATGAAATAAATATAATTAGTTTTCCTAAATACTTCTAATTAGTTTGACATATTATCTAGTTATGAATTTGAAACAATTTACATCAAACTCGTATGGTGTCTAAACATATAGTAACAATATTTTTTGTGAACATTGGCTACAGAATAAAAGAAAAAATCGTTTATTAATTATTTTGATACCAAATATATACTGATGCCAAATAAAATTGATACAACATATTATGAAATCATCTCTTATCTCAATGAAATAAGTTTTTTTTTTTTTTTTTTTTTTTTTTTTTTTAAGTTTATCTCGATTAACAAATTTTTTGCTTTGGTTTGCATTATCATCATGTTTCTTCTCGTATCTGTCTGCAGACGGCTAGTACAATGCTAATTTTCTCATATCCCATTGTTCAATTGTTCATATAGCACATATCAATTTTCTATTTTTTTTTTTTACTTTTGATTAGTCATTTCTAAATTCTTAATCTATACTTTAAGATTTCTTGAATTATTGTTATATGGGGAATTAACAACATATAGCATAATATATAATATATAAGAGTACCATACATAGTTTTATAAAATATTCAATATATTTCTACAGAGTAAAATCATCACGGTGCACTGTAATCGAAACGCTATTTGCAACTTCTCTTTTCTTAATTACTTTTCCAACACAATTCAACTTGTCTGAATTATGGGGGTTTGCATCATAGTTGCCAACAACTAGCCTCTGTGGGTAGTTGTGTTAGGGAAGGCGACTTAATTTCAGAAGTGTGTCTTTGAACATATATATATATGTTTTGTTGTGAACTTAGTGTTGATTCGATTAGATCGATGCTCGGCTAGCTTTTTGCCACAAAAAATATCGGTTGGAATTGGCAAAGGAGTGTTCGGGAAGACGAACCCCACATGGTAAGACCTTAATCCTTATGATGAAACTACCATTGCGACTCAATTTAATTTTGAGGGTAAATTAAGATTAAAATTATTCGCAAAAAAAATAAGGGTATAAGTCATTTGTTTTTTGTTTAAGTTAATTAATTTTATTATATTATTCTCATCATAATGATTTTTTTAGAAAAAATTTGAGAAAAATTAATGTTCACTTTCAATTCAATTTCCAGTTAAAAATAATTAGTTTACATTCTATATTTCATCTATTTGATAATTGATTATTGCTAGATGATGTGAGTGTTGGAATTGATTTATTGATGTTTGGATATTTTAAAATGTTTGAAATGATGGTCTTCATGTTAGTTCAATTAATTAATTAATCATATTTAAATTTTGATTATTTTTGCATTATCTTATATAATTAAACTAACTTTAAATTGTGGCCCACTTTTCTCCCATTAAGTCTATCACATTCAAAATATACGTGAGAAGTGACAGAAAAATCGTGATGGACGGTTTCTCTTTTTTTATAAATACTCTCACATACGGGTTACTAAACCTACTCTTAGAAAATCAGAATACACAATCTCTATAGAGCCAGGGTTTGACAACATCATCTTAGGTTCCAGAATCTGGCAACATGGTTCCAGAATCTGGCAACATGGGTTCCAAAGTTTGGCAACATCCTCCCAAGGTTCCAGCAACACCATCTTCCCACGATTCCAATTTACCGTTTGCTTGAAGAAGAAAGTATTGACAACAAATTTAATTTTTAGCAATTGAAGATTTGTTTAAATTCCGCTTCCGCTAACATATTTGATTATATGTTTGTTTTCTAACACTTCATTAATATTATATAATATACATATATTTTTATTGCAATGATTGATTTGTGTTTATTTGAGATGATTTGTGTTTATTATTCTGTCAAATATTTTATTTTTAATTATTTATTAATGTTAAAAAAATATAATAATTTGATTTAATTTAAAGTGTTCATAAATTAATGAATTAAGTTAAACAAGGTGAATTCGAGCTCAAATAAATTTTATTTTAATTAAACGAGGTCGAGTTGCTAAAGTACATAATGAACCGAGCTTGAACACAATTTTTAGCTTGCTGTTGAGCTCAAACAAATAAAATTCAACTTAGTTCGACTCGTTTATATTTCTATAGCTGCAACGATATTTCTATCGCCAAATGTGCGCTCCACCGAATGCTATGAACTCCAACTTCCTATCATCAATGAGCCTTCTTTAAGAGAATTAACATTATAGTTCTTATGCACTTCTCATCGAACTTTTATTATTCGTCAAAATGCACTTCTCAAAAATAAAACATTTAATTTTTATTTTCTATATTATACTTAAAAATAAATTTTACATTCAAAACATCAAATCAATAAATATTTATATTACATCAATTATTTCAACTTAAAATATTAATATTCCAATCCCAACAAAAAAATTCAAAACTCCAAACAAACACAATGAGAATTTATTATTTTATATATGCTTTAGGGAATGAATTGCTTTATCTAGTAAATATTATTGCAATGAATTACCAATTTGGTAAAATTGGAAATTGTTATTAACGGTAAATATATTAGATATAAGCTACCCTCAATTCCTTATATTATTTCTTATTGTACGTATTAGTTTAAAGAGAAAAAAATCGTTTTATGTTTAATTTTAATTTTTTATATTATTATTATTATTATGTACACCAACAATTTTTCTACATTTAATATATATTTTTAATTCTATATATAATCTTATCAGTAAGAGATGACTTGGTGGTGTAGGTACTGGATTATTATTCATAAAATTATTTTTTTACTTATTTGTCAAGCATAATTTGCAGGATATTAGATTCGATTCAAAATTTACTCAGTGTGCACTTTCGAGCAGCGACTACGAATTTTACGTCATTAAAAAAAAAAAAAAAAAAAAAAAATTATGTGTTGGGTTGTTTATTCATGTGTGGTTAGGGGAGGGGACACATGAATCCCGCTTTTTCATTCATCTAAAAGTAAATAAAAAGTTGATATTGACGCTACTGCCAAAAGCTTTTAGTTTGTTGCGCCAATAATTGATCTGATGCAGCTCCAGGGAGTACGACTCCCCAACCGATCCTCACCATTCATCCCTCACAAATGAGCGGCTTAGATTATCATTTCACTATCCTCCACTTTCGTTGGTTTTTAACGAATTTACAACTGCTCTTTCACTTACAATTTTACCCTTTATTATAGACTGCGTTTGTTCAGCGTTTTTATTTGTAGGGCTATGCAAATTATAAATTCTAAATAAATATTGGCTCCGTTTATACATGCTATTTATTTATTTATTTTTTTTAAAAAGTATTACATTATATATATATTTTTTTATAAAATACTATTTTTATTGAAATAGAAAAAGATATTTAAGACAGATAAAAATAATAAAAAATGTATTTGAATTGAGACAAACGAAGTACTGCCTCAATCCCTCTCCAAATGGGCAATTTGAAATTTTATGATAGATTAAAAAATAATACTCTCTCTGTTCCACGTACCATGTCGATATTGCCACTTTTATTTTTTGGAAAATGATTACACACTTTTAATATCATTTTAAACTTTTAATTTTTTTAAAAAAATTTTAATTAAACTAAGTTATCTTAATCTTAATTTATAATTATTTATACGATAGAATAATTATTTTACATAATACATTCTTAATTATCTACTAATTACATCATCCTAAAATGTAGTAATATTTTATTCGTTAGTGAAAAGTAATTGTATTTTGATATTTTTGCATTTTAATTTTATATAAAAAGTTATTGTACGTGTAATGGTATATTTATAATTTAAGTAAAAATTAAAAATATTTTAGTATTATTTTTATTAGAAAATGAATACTTTAGAGTGGAATAAACAAAATAGTTAAAAAAAAAATATTTGAGCTGGGATTGGAAGGAATATTATTTTTCTATAAAATAATGAAACAGTAGAAATTCTAAAAACAATTTCAAACAAACACAACCTAAGACCCGCATAGGCATAGGCAGTTTCAAGCTCAAGTACAGTCACGTTCAATCAAAACGGCCCGGGCCGACCCGACCCGGACAACAATTGGATCCCGCTCCCCACTTTACTCTCTCACAGTCTCACTGATCCCGAGACGGAATTGCATATAAAGTCACACTACACAGATTTCACCGTTCCAACGACTGTAATGTATTTGGAAGAGGGAGTACTTGCACTTTGAACTCTGCTCTTCTCCGACCAGTTCTCCGCTTGTTGCGCTCTCTGAGCTCTCAATGAGGTAGGTAATCGAGCTCCATTTCTTCCTTGTATTTTTCAATTATATATTATTGCTTGAGAATCGAGGTAGAAAGGACAATGTAGGCAGCGATTATATTATTTCCGGTTTGTAGTTTCAGATTGCTGAGCTCGTTGTTTGTTCATTTGTATATTTTTAATGTTATTGCATCTAGGAGATCTATTGGCTTGTGAGATTTGTTGACTAGCACGAGTAAAATATCCAGTTTTATGTATGTATGTGAATTGTTTATCATTTCTCTCATTCTAGTCTGGTTGAACGTGAATCTGTGGTTGTTCTGAGATTTCTTTGTTATTTTTTTGTATGTACTGAAGAATGTAGCTGGTATAGATCGACGTTTGATTTTTAAGGCGAAGGCTTGTGAAATCTGATCCAGAGAGGTTGGAATTCTGGAATATATCTCAAAACAGAATGGATCAGAAGTCATGGATTTGGAAAAAGAGATCTACTGAGAAGACCTTAGTAGCTGACAAAGGAAACTATTCGTTTACCAAAAATGAAGAAGTTACTGAGGTTTGGCTAACAGTGGATCTTTTTTTTTCTCTGTCTTTCTTTATTTTATTTTAACTGCCTTATCGTGTCACTTGGGGCTATGGGCCTAAAACTGGTATAATAACTTTTTTTAAATAATGAATTCTGCCTCAGCAATGAATGTGCCATGACTGCTCTGCTCTGTTTTGGCTATTGTTGAGTCACTATGTTAACCATCATGGGCGGAATGCTTTTATTTCAGTCAAGGGGAATGCAGATTTCCCCCAAATGAATGAAAGTCCAGTTGCTTTAATTCCCCTTATCAATCTTCCTTTCCTCCATGTTGAGGAAATTAAATAGTAAATACCAAGGGACCACTGCTATTAATTGACGATAGAGATGTATATTTTGGGTATTCGATTGCGTAAGGAACTAAAATATCATGTGGTAAATCTTGAGGAATTCTTTGTTATTCCGGTGGGCCGTGGTAGCCTTGCTGCTGAGGCACTTCTTCTTGGCAGTTAAAAGCTTTAATATTTTGAGCTTGATCCTGATCATTATGCTGCCAATTACATTTTTCCTTTCTGCTATTGATCAAGAAGTAATTGTCTGTTTCATCGTAGCATTTATTAGTCACTGCTTCATAATGGCATTGGTTAGCGAGCAGTGATGTTGTGAAGATTTATACATTTTGAGGCACTTTTATTTTAGAATTTGGTGATGATTTAAGGCATAGATTCTTTAGAGTTTTCTTGCCTCATTTGGGCACCAGGTGTAAGGGGACCATTTTAAATGCTTCTCTTAAAGCATCTAGCTCCTTCAAGTTGGTGAATTTGGTAACATAGAGATTAATATTGCAGTGTGGGCATATCAGCTTTTGCTGAAAGCAAGATCTATTTGTGATATATATATATATATAATTCAGAATTCCCATTATGATTGCTTTTCATCAATTGATGACATCAATCCTAAATCCTTGGGGTTAGTTAGTTACAGGAGGGTAAGACTGTTAGGACAAGAAAATACAATCATCGAATTTGACCACTAGGTATATTGTTAACAAAATGTCCATTTGTGTGAGGGTTGGACGTGTGACCATGAGGTCATGGGTTCAAACTCCCGATGCCTCAGGTCACCTGCCACACATGGTTTGCCTAGTGTGCACTTTCTTTCGAGTAGTGGCTGCAGGTTCCCACGTCATAAAAACAAAAAGAAAAAACAAAATGTCCAACTGTGGCCAACTCACTCATACCACTATTAGTAAAGTGAATAACTTTATCATATGTACTTGAGCAAAATATCTCTTGCAATTATATTGAATAAAGAATACTATACTTTTTGTCTTGTGAGTAACTTTTTTATTTTTATTTTAGTTCTTTAAATAATTCTATAGGTATAGCCCTTTATAAGCATGTGAATGTCATATAAGATTATTAGAGTGACAATGAATGATGTACAAGACTATCTGCATCTAAAGGACCAAATAGTGAGTGTCACTAAAGTGACTAAAATTATAGTTTTACCTGATCAGTGTTTTTAGCTTCTAATTATTTGCAAAGGTCAGGTACTCATTTCAACTGAAATTATTGTGTTTCTATATTAGTGTAATTTGTTCATTATTGCTGATCACATGCATGTATGCGTGCATGTGCATAACCCGTATCTGCAAAATCTTACTTAATTGGTTTGCAGATTCAGAAACTTCAGAGTGAGAAAGCTGAACTAGAAAGAGAGCTCCAAACACTAGAAGGAAAACTCTCATCGGCCCTCTCTGAGTGTCATGCTAAGGATAGTATTGCAAAGAAGCAGGTGAAAATTGCAGAAGAAGCTATTGCAGGTGACATACAATAGCAATGATATCAAACATATCTTTGTATCAGTTTTCACTGCAAACTCTGATATTCCACCGAAGTTCTCAAATTCTTTCAATTTGACATTTCATTATGATAACATTCTAGTTTCTGTATATGCATGTAGGATGGGAAAAAGCAGAGGCACAAACAAGATCTTTGAAACAAGAACTTGAGAAGGTTTTGCAGCAGAAAGCTTCTTCTGAAGAAAGAATACACCACTTGGATGCAGCGTTGAAGGAATGCATGCAGCAACTACGTTTTGTTCGGGAAGAGCAGGAGAAAAGAGTTCATGGTGCTGTGATCAAGACATCAGAGGCATTTGAGAAAGTGAGGATTGCTTTAGATGACAAGTTAGCCGAGTCGGGAAAAAGGCTTGCCAAATTAAGTGCTGAAAATACACAGCTCATTAAAGCCCTCTCAGGGAAGGACAAGGTGATAGAAGATTTAAGCAATTACAGAACCCGTTTGGAGGTTGATTTTAAAGCCCTTATGTCAAGAGTAGAAGCCACTGAAAAAGAAAACGCTTCTCTGAAATATGAAGTTTGTGTTCTTGAAAAGGAGCTCGACATTCGGAATGAGGAGAGAGAATTCAATCGCCGAACAGCTGAGGTAGCTCAGAAGCAACACCTGGAGAATGTGAGGAAAATTGGAAAGTTGGAATTGGAATGCCAGAGGCTGCGTCTTCTTGTCAGGAACCGGCTGCCTGGCCCTGCCACTTTGGCCAAGATGAAGAGTGAAGTGGAGGTGCTTGGAAAGCATCAAGTAGAAACGAAGAGAATAAAATCAAATCCCTATTCAACCAGTTCTATGGAATCTTGCGTAAAAGTGGTTCATGACCCTCCAACCAAGAGTATCAAAATCCCGGCTCCGAAGACATGCAAACTAGAAGATAAAAACAGGACCCTCAAAGTTGGTCTTAACAAGATATCCAGTGAACCCCAATCTACGTATTTATATTCGTACCCCGGATTATCACAAACTGAAGGGAAGGCTGAAGAATTCCTGAAGGGCCAGAATATTGAAGAACCAGTCAGACATTTACAACACTTGCAGGACCACTCTGTCGTTGCTTCATCTGAAATGTGCAGTGAGGACAAAGCCATCTGTGCTGAGTCCTGGGCTTCTGGTTTGATATCAGAGCTAGAGCATTTTAAAAACGAGAAACAACTGGGAAATTCATCGTACACAAGTATGGGAAATTCTGAGATAAATCTCATGGATGACTTTGCTGAGATGGAAAAGGCTGCAGTAGTCTCTGTCTCTTATCCATCCAGAAGCTCCCATCATTCTTCCGAGATAGGTAACGAAATTTTCAATAATTCAGTTAGATCATCCTATTTGCATTCTTCATCTGTGCCTTGTATGTTGTCTTCAGTTAATGATGGACTATCAGAACCGTCGATCCTGGACCAGGAAATTCCGCCCGAGCATGTAGTAGCCAATAGAATAGCTCCGGGGTGTCTGAGTGACATGGTGAAAATACTTTTAGACCACTCCCAAGTATCGCGGAGAAATCCTCATGAAGTATTAGATGATATGAAACTTGCTTTGGCGCACAATATTGAAGACAAATTTGCATTTTGTGGCAATGGAAATTCTCATCAGGTAGATCCATCCTGCACCGGAAATGGGCTTGCTGCTATTACAATGTCACCAAGCAAGTCGGTAAATTTGGATGCATTGGAAACGAAGAAGAGTGGCCAGAAACTACCTTCAATTGTGAACACATCAATAAACAAAATTATCGAGCTACTCGAAGGATTAAATATAGAATCTCGAGACAATGGAGCCGAAGAATCTTTCTCAGGGAAGGAAGACAGCCCCTTGTCTTACAAGAATTCAGAAAACTCAGCAGGTTACGTTGTTCGAGTGTTTCAGTGGAAAATTGCCGAGCTCTCACCCATTTTGCAGCAACTCATTTCAACTTGCAATAAATTGTTGAACGGAACAGCTGATCTAGAACAGTTTACTCAGCAAGTGGCTTCCAATTTAGAATGGGTAATAAACCACTGCTTTTCCATTCAGGATGTGTCCAGCATGAAGGATGCAATGAGGAGCTATTTCGACTGGGATGAGTCAACGAGTGATGCCGAAGTTGAATGTGGATCTGCACTTCCTTGTCTGAGCAGCTACAACAGGATTTATTCATGCAATGAAGCACTTCACCTTGCTAAAGGCAAATCCTGGAACGATGATCAGGAAAACAATGAATCGTATTTGGTAGATTTAGAAGGGAGGCTTCAATCAGAAATTGCGAAGGGCGAAGGCTTCGAGACTCAACTTCAAGAATATAAAGAAACGGTTGAGAATCTTCGCACAGAGATGGAAACTATGAAGCAAACAAAGGGAGAAAGCGGAAATCTGTCTGAGAAACAAAAAATGATGAAAGAAGACCTCGAGGCCCAGCTTATGGATATCAATAATGAATGGAGAAAGGCATGCCAAACGATTTTATGTTTGGAAGATAAGCTGGAAAATAAGAATAACTTGTGTATGACACTGGAACAAACATGTCGGGAGCTACAGACGAAAATAGAAAGGTAGACTTTCATACTGTTTTCTCATTTCCATGCTCATACCTCCGGATTTTGATTGAAAATTTATGTAATTTCAGCATGACAAACATCGAGGCTCCAGATCACAGAGAGCAATGGGAAACACAGCTCGAAAATGTAAGTTTAAGAATACTCATCTGAAGAAATTAAGTAAAGAAGGGCGAAAAATTGTATGCATGCATCTTGTGATTATTCATCAACATTATCGTGTAGGATTGGGAGATTACTACCGCTTCAGAAAAATTAGCGAAATGCCAAGAAACCATTCTGAATCTTGGGAAGCAGTTGAAAGCACTAGCTTCACCCAGTGATGCGGCTCTTTTTGATAAGGTCTTGTCTAAACCAGACGATTCTGTTGGTACCAGCCCGTCATCGAGTCAGAGAAACACTAGCCAACGATCGTCATTACTGGACAAAATGCTCGCTGAGGACAGCAAAAAAATTACTACTTCTCCTATTTCCAATGCAGATATTAAGAAAACTAACATTTGCACCTCTTCTGCTGTCGCCAATGCAGCAGTCAAGATCTGTGACAAATTCGCGACAACTAATGGAATTAACCGCAAAGGTGAACGCGGAAAGGCGGCTGCTTCCATGGACATTGTCCCTCGCAGGAAAAGACGAGGCTGGAGCATCTTCAGGAGGCTATTCTGGCGACGAAAGAAAGGTAACACTGACAAAACACCATTGTATTAAATTAAGCTGCAATTGATGATGATGATGGTCGATGCATGCTCCTTTGTGTGTCTTAATATCTGTGAATCTATGTGTTCTGCTTTGGTCTATTTAGAGTATATAAAGAGCTAGCATCATCATTCTTTTTTGAGCGTTTTCTGTGAATACAAACTACAACATATGCCCTTAGTTAGCTCTGTCGAATGATGCAAAAATTTTGGGGAATATGACTTTGATGGGCATGGATTAGCTGCTGGTCCATAATGCTGACTTAAACAGATCACGATCAGCATATGCTATACAGGTAATCAATTTATATTTATACATAAATTAGCATATTTATAATACATCATATGTTATACTTCTACTGATCTTTTGATATTAATTATTATATCAAAATATAGTAAAAATTAAGAAAAATTGCAAAAATATTTTTAGTTTCTTATAATACTAATAGAAGAATATTTATAAAAAAAATTATACAAATAGAAATATATTTTTAATGTTAAGTACAATGACACAAGAATAAATGTGACCCTTAGAGGTTAACGGAGGGAGTATTATATTTGAGTATACGTTGTAAATTATGTGTATGACCAGTGGCAGATTTAAGATTTTGAATTTGGTGGGTCGATAAATTATTATAATTAAATTAAAATAAAAATAAATAAATATATCAACAAAAATTTACATCAGAAAAATACGAAATTTGAAATTAACAATCACTTATACATCAAAATAGTTATAAATGTTCACAACGAGATCTTATATTTTGGTATCGGCCGACAATAGCATCTATATTAACTTTCGTAAACACATCTCTTTCTAAAAAAAGTAACAAAAAAATTATTTAATAATTACTCTTCCAAAGTATTTTGTAATTTTTTCTTGATGATAATTATAGTTGAAAATAATCTTTCCAGATTTGCAATTGCTATTTTCCTTATTTTAACAAGTTCCATGGATAGAGCCTTCGTTTAAATTTTTCAAATCTCAAAATATTTCATCATATTAAACATCAATAATAAAATTACCTAATAATGATTCGAAAATTATCAATTTTGCTTCTGATACTTCTGTAAAATATAATTATGCAAGTAGTTGTAATATCTTTTCATTAAAAGAAGAAATTCGATTGGAAAGAAAGAAAAAAATATATATATCAATAATTATTTTAATAGGTCATGACATATATTGATCCAATCAAATTAGCATCATACTGACTTGGTCGGATGAGCACAGCACCGGCGACCGACTTTGATCTCTTCTTTGACACTTTAGTGATGATCTGCATTATGTTATATTGACTTTATGTAATTATAATCAACATAGAAAATAGTACTATATTAAATTTGAGTAGGACATAACAAAAATGGGTACAAAATTTTCATATACCGTATCATCATCACACCTATTTTATATAAATTTCATTATAATTTTGGAAATTATAAATATATCCCATTTTGAAAAGTTTTTGAGAGAATATAATAAATTAGAAGCATACAAACACACTGTTAGCACAATATATATTTCATAGAAAATATCATATTCAAAAGCTATTATATTGGATTGAAAATTTAATGGATGTGTTTGTTTGGGATTTGGATTTTGAGTTGGGATTTGAATAGTAAAAATTTTGAATTTGAATAGTTGTATAATGTGATATAAATAGGTGTTGATGTGATGTTTTGAATGTAAAATTGATTTTTAGCGTAATATAAAAAATAAAAAATAAGTGTTTGATTTGATATTTTTGGAAGAAAAAAATGGGATGAACAGTGGATTTAAAATTCAATCCCCAAACAAACACACAAGTATGCGTCCGACTTTACTAACAAAAATACTAACCAACCAAACAAACACAAAATAAATATTGGATTGATATTTAGGGTATGTTTAGTTATTAACTGATAGTTGTTATCTGATGGTTTAACTAACTGATTATGTTTGTATTAAAGTATTTTGGTAAAACAATAATTTGATATTAGTTATTTATACGTAAAATGATAATTAAGAATATTTTATATTTTATTTTCAAAATATTTAGTTGAGTTTTTTTTGGGAAGATTTTTTTAGAATTTTATTATTAATTTTAAAAATTAGAAAATTTTTATTAAGATATATATTTTTATTATTTTTAAAATATTTTGTAAAGAATTAATGCAAGTTTATCGAAAAATATATATATTTTTTATTAAAAATAGTATAAATATAAAAGAACAATTATCATTAGTATATGTATTTTTATTAGATTAAATTTTAATTAATATATATTTACATTAAATTTATAATTTTAAATAACTATATTCATTTTTAATTAAAATATTATGTGATAAAAATACTATATAAATGAATCAATAGTATTAATATTTTTATTCTAAAAAAAATTATAAATAAGATACTTGACATATAAAAAAATAATTACTTTAAATTTATAAATATGAATTTATAAGTTATTAGTAAAAAATATATTCAAATAATTAATAAATAGTGTAATAAAAAAAAATATATTAATATATGTTGAAATATAAGGAATAAAAATAATTAAAATAAAAAAGCTAATATAAAAATGAGTTTTTTTAGATCCAATAAAGTAATTGAAAACGTTAATTTACTGAACACCATAAATGTATTCTTCCATCTAGCTTTATTGAGCCTAATACACTCAATTTAAAAATCATTTGGGTATAGTTTATTAACGAGTTAAATCAAACAATTTTTCATATTTAACAAATTAAGCTTTCAAATAGAACGAAATGTATAACAATTTTATACGCATATAATTAGGCATATTACAAAAGTATAATCAATAAATGTGCATACATACAATCATCTAAGACTTAATTAAAAATGACAAATTTCACTCTTATCAAAATAACATATCTTGTTTATGGACGCAACATATAAAATTACAAAAAAAAAGTAAGAACACTAACTTAAAAGAATTTGTTTTATTGAAATTTGATATTGATTTAAATTTTATATAAATAGTATTTTGATATAATATTTTATATTTTTTTTATTAAAAATCATAAAAGAATAAATAATATGAATTTTTATTTGAAATTTGTGATTGCCTTATCGATCGATCCAAAGATTTATTTACCCAATATATAAAATTGTGGGTTTTCTTTCTTTTTTTTTTTTTTTTTTTTTTTTTTTTTAATGTTATACAAATGAATTTGCAATGGAGTTAGTTTAAAAGTTTGTTTGACTATAATTTAAAATTGATTTAAAATTAGTTGTTGATTTGATCTTTATTTAATATGATTTTAATATGATATTTTATTAAATAAAATGATACTCCCTCCCTCCGTTCCAAAAGATTTGTCTTTGTTTTTCCATTTTTTTCGTTCCAAAATAATTGTATTGTTTCCTTATTTAATAGCCGTGGTCCCCACTTTATAATAAAAAAAAGGTATTTTAGTCATTTATATTCTATTTTATACCCAATTGAATACTATTATTTCTTAATTCTGATACCAACTTTCAACGAGACACTTCTTTAGGACGGATGAAGTATATTTTTATTGAAAGCGAAATGAATAAAAGAATAACAAACCCTACAAAATTGATGGAAATAGGTACGTGTATGTCAAACCACAATTTATGTTCCTTTGAAGTTTTGCATTCATTTTTATTTATTTATTTTTTTTTTATGCAATATAACTGAATTGTTCCATTTAGCTTAACCACAGAGTTATAGGTATTATATAATTAATAAATAATTAAAAAAATATATTATTTAAAATAATTATGATTTAATATAAATAAGTATAAATTAAGATTAATGACTAAATAGTTTAATTAAAATCAAAAAAATTATAAATTATAAATTTTAAAATTTGATTAAAATGTATAATTATATTTTTAAAAAATAACAAATTATATGAAATTGAGAGAGTATTTTTTCTATAAAAAATTATACTATTATTATTATTAATTTCTTTTATAAATATTTATTAAAAAATTATTATTCGTATAGCTAATCAACGTATATTATATATTATCATAATATATTTATAATATAATATATATTATATTATAACTCAACATATAATATTTTATAATAAAATATATATTGTGTTATGTAAAAATATATAAAATACTTTCTCCGTCCCAACTCCAAGTACTTTTTTACCGTTTTTGTCCGTCACATTCCAAAGTATTTCTTTTTTATTTTAGTAAAAATAATCATACACCAATATCAAAATACCATTGACTTTTACCTAAATTACAAACATACTATTATACATACAATTACTTTTTACTTAAAGTCAAAGGGCAAAAATGTCAAAACATCTCATACACTTCCACTAACTAATAAAATATTACTCCTTCCGTCCCAATACAATAGTTATATTTACCATTTTTTTCCGTCCCAAAACAATATTATCATTTTCATAAATAATCATATCACTATACAACTACCATTACTTTTTCATTATTATTACACAATTGCCACTACTTTTTACATTAATACACTCACAAAGGCAAAAAAAGTCTTTTACTCGTATTTTTTACTCACTACCAATATAATATCAATATTTCTTAAATTTCGTGCCAAAGACAACTCAAACTATAGTTTTGAGACGGGGGAATATTATTCATTAATTTACTGCAAAGCCCCAAAGGGCTCCGGGACGAAGGGAGTATATCTTTACATAATTAAGATATTGACTCGATCAAATCAGTATCAATACTCATTTGAAGGGTAATATAAAAAATAATGGTTTGGTTCCCTTTTAATAATAGGTTGGTATTATGTAAAATTATTTTTTCTAAAATTGAACAAGAATAATTTGAAATGTGATATACGAAAATGGTAAAAAAATATATTTTGAATTGGGACAAAAAGATTATATTTTTATTAATATTTAAATTGTGCCGATAATTACATGTTTTTATTTAACACTTCATGTATTATTTGTATTTATACGTTGTGCTCTAATTGTCCTTGTCCTATGCACTGACATATAAATTATATACTCCTTCCATCTAACCTTTTGTGTCCGATTTAATGTAGATACAATAATTTAAATAAAATATAATTAATCGTAATTAAAAAGTATATTAATAAAAATAATTAATATATTAATAAAACTAAGTACAAATTAAGATAACTAAATAATATAATAAGATTAAAATATTATAAATTATAAAATTTAAAATATAACTAAAGTGTATAATTATATTTTCTAAAATAAAAAAGACAAATAAAATGGAACATATAAAAATAAAAATAGTTGACAAAAACTATGAGATGTAAAAGTATTATTTGTCCTTATATCACGTGTTGTTAGTTTGAATTGTATTTATATTGTGTTAATATTGAATAAACAATATATTTCATAGCCAAATACAATATATATTTTTGATAATATTCATATTTTTTTAATAAAAACATTTACTATTATTATTTTTTTTACATCTAAAGTTAATAAAAAATATTTTATAATACATTCATAATTTCAAATAATTAATAACAAAAATTTTATAATTTTAAAAATTAAAAAAGTACAATTAAAAATTTTAAAAATTAAAATATAAATATTCTTCATTTTTATTTTATATAAACAATGAATATAAATTAATTATTTCACTGAATACTTTAATACCAACGCTTAATAAATTTTTTTAAAAAAAGTACAAATATACAAACCTCACTGGTCCACGCCGCCTCCAAGCGAGTATTTGTAGTTCCATTGGGCTCCCGGGTGCGGAACGCCTGAACCAATTGGAGCAGCACGTCTCGTCCCCGCTCGGCCTGTGGTATCTTACGTGGGATCTCGACTCCAGGGAGTTCCCAAGAATTATCTTGTCCCTCACGTAGTTGGAAGGCCATTAAAATTTCCAAACTGGCATCAAAATTTCCATTTTCCATTATTATTACTACTATTATTATTATTATTATTAATCTTCCACCCCACCCCACCCCACCCACACATATGCATACATTTCATTCCTTAGTCCAGTGAATCTATTGAATGGATTCCCCCTATATATTCTCCTCCCCTCGTTTTTAACGGCTATTACATCCCCGGACCTTCTCGATTCGCAAAATTGCTATTGCTATTGTTATTGTTATTCCAGGAAGGAACGGACGGACGGAGATTTCATCGTTCTTCGGGTATAGAATTTTGGGGGTAAATTTCAGAAAATGGCTGCGCCGGTGACGAACGGGCAGCAGGTTAATTATAAAGGCGGCACGGCGGCGAATGGGCCGCAGGTGAACAAGAAAGGGGCGGGGGCGGGGGCGGGGGCGGGGGCGGGGGCGGGGGCGGGGGCGGCGGTCGGCATCGATGGGCCGACCAATCCCATGGTGACGTCCCTCCTCACGGATCTTTACCAGTTCACCATGGCGTATGCGTACTGGAAAGCCGGGAAGCACAAGGAACGTGCTGTGTAAGATACCTTTTTACGATTTAGAATTTTGTATTTCCGTTCATCAAATTTGGGAACGGTTAACGCTTCTACGCTGTGAATTTTATGTTCTGCTTTATGTTTGAGCTGTAATCGTAATCGATTGTTTTAGAAGTGGAGACAGAGTTTGATTGTCGAAGCTTTTTTCTGAATGGTTATGGAGGAATGTTAGATTTGGTATATGTTCGATTTTTGTCGTTTCTAAGTACTCTTTTAAGAAGACAATAGAATTGTTTGCTAGTGATTCGATCCAACTTTGATCAGCTTAGGTCATATCTGCTTCAAATGATAGGATCAATGCATTATGACTTTTTGTTGGATATGAATTTGTGCTTAATTTAGGGTTGAAGGTCTTTTTTATTTACAATGTTATGTTTGTCTTTCAGATTTGACTTGTATTTTCGGCGAAATCCTTTTGGTGGTGAGTACACTGTTTTCGCCGGGTTGGAAGAGTGTGTAAAGTTGATCGCGAATTTTAGATTTACTGAGGATGATATTGCCTTCATCAAGGCGACTTTGCCTTCCTCGTGCGAGGTAAGTGTCGAATCACTTGTTAAAAGAGAGAGTATTCTTTGAACTGATTGGCTAATTGTGAACAGTTAATGTATATCTCTAGGTTGGCTTTTTTGACTATCTTCGCGGCATAGATTGTTCAGATTTGGAGATACATGCTATTTCTGAGGGATTTGTCGTTTTTCCAAAGATACCATTGATGAGGATCGAGGGCCCTGTAGCCGTGAGCACTTTCTCATTAATTGTCTTACCTTTCTGTGTTAGTTATTACAATACATTACAGAATTTTGTTTGTCGTACAAGGTGGTTCAATTGCTCGAGACCCCGCTTGTTAATCTCATAAACTTTGCATCATTAGTTGCGACAAATGCAGCGCGACATCGGTTTGTTGCTGGGAAATCCAAACTTCTTCTTGAATTTGGGTTGCGAAGGGCACAGGTAGTGTAATATGATTTTCTTTCCCCCATTCCATTTTTTCCATACTAATTGTAAATACACAATATCGAATAATTGTTTGTCTTGTGGTTGTGCAGGGCCCTGACGGGGGCATAGGAGCATCAAAATATTGCTATATGGGTGGATTCGATGCAACAAGGTGATCATAGAAAGAGTTTTATTCCTTACATTCCAATCCATGTATCTTCGAAAAGGCGAAGCAAAAAATATTTGAAGAATTAGAATGGATTGTAGTCAACATACATCTTCTGATCGACATAAAAATCATAGGTGTCTAGAAATATATCCGAAAGATCTCAGTAAGCATTAAACATAAAACCGCTATTCTAATTGCTTGGGGGTGTTTTCAGCAATGTGGCTGCCGGGAAACTATTTGGAATACCGCTTCGGGGGACGCATTCTCATGCCTACGTCAGCTCATTTTTGGTACACACTCTGTTCTAATTTCACTCATTTTCCGCATTTTGTTTGTTCCAAGTTATATGGTTTCATGTAGCGTATACATTACTTAGTCAAATGATTTTTCAGAGCCCTGATGAGATCACGGAGAAGTTGCTGAGAAGCTGTGATGGCTCGCGTGTTTGTGAGGATTTTGTGAGCTTGGTTCGGACCTGGTTGAGAAAGTTAAAAGTGTGATGAACATTGTTCTTTCGATAGCTATATATATATATGTGCTATGGCGCGCATGCTCTAATTCATTTAAGTTTATATTTTGCTCCTCTGCAGTTGTCTCATTCGTTGGGAGGGCTTTTTGGTGAAACAAATCCAAGTGAGTTAGCTGCTTTTGCCTCGTATGCTCTGGCATTTCCATCGAACTTTCTGGCCCTTGTTGATACTTACGACGTAAGTGAAATATTAATCATCTGTTACTGTACTCATGTCTTGGATGAAGACGCTTTACTTCTTCTGAACTTATAATCGAGCGAAATAGCATGTTTGGCTCCATAACAAGATTTGATTTCAATTTAAGTTTGTTCCACTTTTCTTTTTCATTTTCATCCTATCATTTATGTGAGCTTCTCGATTACCATCAATATGGGAATGGATCTTTCCTATACGATAAGATATGATTGTTTTCTTGATAATTATTTCACACTCATTGATTAATGAAGTGACTGACAAGTTTTTGTCCACATATGGATAGTTTAACTTTAAACACAAACATATCATCATGCAAAAAAAATGTTAACGGATAGTCAGTTTTGACGTGGCTTTTATAATTCATACAAACAGGTTATGCGAAGTGGTATTCCTAATTTTTGCGCAGTGGCCCTGGCTCTGAATGAATTTGGGTATGTCCTATAGTTTGATTATTTCATATTTCGACAGACAACCAGTTAACATATATTGGTTTTGTTTTGCAGCTATAAAGCTGGAGGCGTTCGACTGGACTCGGGTGACATTGCATACTTGTCATGCGAGACGCGGAAGTTCTTTCAGGCTGTTGAGAAGGAGTTTAAAGTGCCGGATTTTGGGAAGACAGCCATTACAGCGAGCAACGACCTCAATGAAGAAACTCTGGAAATTTTGAATAAGCAGGTAACTTATACTATCATGTCTATATTACGGCAAAACACTTGCAAAATTTCTTACTGAATCATGATTAACAAAACACTGAACATTGATGAAGCTTGTAAGATGTTTTTAATAAGCTCTCGCAAATAATATATATTTCGTTCTTCCTGATTTGGTAGGGTCATGAAATTGATGCATTTGGAATAGGAACTCATTTGGTCACTTGTTATGCTCAACCCGCCCTTGGTGTTGTCTTCAAATTGGTCGAAATAAATAATCAGCCTCGTATCAAGCTATCTGAAGATGTTTCGAAGGTTCGGATAATCCTCTTGGCATCTCAATGTGGTTTTAATTGGAAGGACATGCATTATGTGTTAGTTTCAGGTTTCCATTCCATGCAAAAAGAGATGTTATCGACTCTACGGGAAGGAAGGCTACCCTCTTGTAGACCTTATGACGGGGGAGAATGAATCGCCCCCTAAGGTATTGTCTAGTTTATAGCTTTTTATATAATTTATTGTTGGGTTGACAAATGATTTAATGTGATTTATTGAAGATGAGGTGATATATTGCACCATTGGTTCCGAATTTAGAATAACCTGTGGAATATTTTCGATTCGTGGATTCGTTCGTTGTATGTTTGCTGTCAAAATTACACCTTTTTAATCCAACCAGAAGTATCGATTTCTATTTTTGTCTTACATCACAATGCTATAATAAAAATTTTCGCATTTTGTGTCGCACAAAGCAGCAACTGTGCTGAAAGCTAGGGGTGGACAAAAAAATCAAACTGAACTGTCGAACGGCTGAATCGAATCAAATTTTTGATTAACCGACCAAATTCGGTTCGAATACAAATACGGCATATTTGATATTTGTTCGATTCGATTCGGTTTTTAGTTTCGGTTTTTTATATTTTTTCGGTTCGGTTAACCGAACCGAATATTTATATAGTTATATTATGATATCTTAAAATTTATATTAACAAGTTATATTCGGTTCGGAATATTTGCAAATATTTTTATTTAATTAGAATTTTAATTAGTTTTTTATTCGGATTCGGTTCGAATTATTTGCAAATATTTTCGGTTAACCGAAAATTTTGATTCAGATACGATTCGCGATTTCGAGTATTTATTTATTTCAGTTCAAATACCAAGTACTTGCCTATTTGCAAATCTCCGAACCGTACCCACCCATACTGAAAACATTTATCACATCTTTTCTACAAACATGCTCTGTTAACTTTCCAGTTGTTTTTTAAACAGGCGGGCCAACGGATATTATGTCGCCATCCGTTCAGCGAGTCCAAAAGAGCTTACGTGATACCACAACGCGTGGAGGAACTTATGAAGTGTTATTGGCCGGGAAGCTCCAGTAATTTACAAGCAATAAATTCAAGTCACAGTTATATGTGTCCAACCCGTTCATTTTTTAATCTTTTTTGTTCGATCTTTTTGTTCTGAAGGAAAACCGAGGGAAGATCTACCGCCCCTTAATCAGATCAGAGAACAATGCATCCAACAACTGGACCAGATGCGAACCGACCACATGAGAAGATTGAACCCCACGCCGTACAAGGTAACATTGTGCCCCTAAAACCGAGCTAATAATCGCTTCTCCTCGACTTGTGAAAAGGCTGAAAATTTTGTTCGAATGTGTTTCTTCCCCGGCAGGTCAGCGTAAGCGCGAAGCTCTACGAATTCATTCATTTCTTGTGGCTGAATGAAGCTCCTGTGGGAGAGTTGCAGTGAAGATAGAATGAAGATGACAGACAATTTAAGATGTGATGATCAGATCAAATGGTACACAGAATCTTCATACAGCAGCAACAACTTCTTTGTAGGTAATATATATATATATATATATTGTATGTGTAGATGATGTTTTAGTGTTGATTTAAAGGAGGGACATTTTCAGTTTCTTGGATTTTATGATCCCTTCTGTTGTAGAGAAATTAATTAATCTGTGGTTCTTTATACTGAATAGGGATTATGTTTATATAAAATTAAATCTAATTTTATCTATTTATTTATTTATTTTGGTCTATCCCAAAACAAATTATTCAGCTAATTATACTGTCTTTCTAACATTACAAATGTTTTTACAATCTATAATATATTATACAAATTTCATTACTTTTATACTACACGATACTAATAAAGTTATTTTAGTTATTTTTATTTTATTTTTACTTATCAATATAATATTAATATATATAATTGCGTACAAAAAATAAATGGATATTTATTTATAGAAGGGATGGAGTATTTTGTTTGGTTTTGCTTTTTTATTTTGTTTAAAATATTATTTTAACTAATGTTATATGTGAAAAGGTTAGTGGTGTTTTACTGAAAATTTTAGAGTTAGTATTTGATATGATGTTTTATGAGAAAAAATGTATATTTGATTTGATGATTTTTGAAAAATAAATAATACTCCCTCCGTTCCAAACACCATGCAACATTTCTTTCTTTTTTTTTTTTTATTCCCAAACATCCTGCAATATTTCCTAAATAGGAAATAATTAATTATATTTAATCGCTACTCCACACTTTATCCCCTCGTATCATCCAAATAAAAAAATAAAATATATATTTCTCTCTTCATCACATCACCTAATTTCTAAATTATTCTACTTAATACTACTCACATAGTAACTCGTGTTAAAAATAAATATTACACCTTGTTTGAATAGGAGCTAGCACCAAATTAAAAGAAAATAGGTAATGTAAACAAAGCATAGATTTTTATTTGAAATAAAAACAAACCAATCATATTTGGGTGAAAAATGTTAGGTATTGTAGCGTGCACTAAATATTTATTAGTACAAAACAAACACTTTTGTTATCATTCTATTAAATACTCCATGTTCCAAATAAGGTGCAATATTTGTTTTTTGCACAAGTTTTTAGATAGGTAGTATTAATTATGATAATTTAAAAATTAAATAATGTGATAGAAAGAGAAATATATATTTTATTTTTTATTTGGATGATGTGAGAGGATAAAGTGTGGCTCATTTAGACCCGAGGGAATACTAAATAATTATTTTTACAACTTTTATAAGTTTAAAACTTTCAAAAGTTATAGATAAACTCAATATAAAAATTTACAAAATTAATAGTTCGCCTAATGTGATTTATTTTATCGAATTTAGTTTGTAAAATATTAAATTTGATCAAAAATTTAATGAGAATGTACACATCAAATAGATTCCCATGCTATAAAAAAATAAAATGCTAAAATAAAATAATGCAAAATTCCACTGACCAGTAAGACAGACCTTTCTACCAAGTTGGTCATATACAGTTGAGACGTCCTTCAAACCATCACATCCTATGAATTTAATCAAAGTCAATGTATATCATATATACTGTATCTTTCTTTTTCTTTTTCTTTTATTTTTATTTTTATTTTTATTTGTTTGTTACTCCATTCATTCCATTTGCTACGTCTATTTTTTTTTTTTTTTTTATTTTTTGTCTATGAATAAAAATATTTTTATAAGGCGACTTTTCTATTTTCTCTAAATTTTATTTCAAAATCTTCTTTAAATAATTTATTTTAAATAATTACATAATTTAATTTTGATTTATTTACATATTAACCCCAAATCTATGTTTTTATAAATTTCAAATACAATATTGATAGTTTTTTTTAAAGAAAATAAAATTATTTAATTTAATTCTAAAGTAATATAATAATAATTAAAAAAAAAAATTGAGTCCAATAAAAAATCCTCCGAAATATTTCTACAAAAACACAAAAATGTTTAATATGATGCTTTATCCGAAACATAAAAAATATAATGTAATGTAATATAATGCAATCCTCCAAAAATGAAACATAACATTCCGAGGTCGGATCATCGCACAAATCACTCATCAAAATACACGAATACGCAATAAAAAAAAAATAATAAAATTATAACTGCAGAATAACCGTCAAAACCGTTAAAATGACAAACCAATGAGTTTGGAGAGGTCTACTAATCGGCGAGCTGCTGTCCGGCCCTTGAGCTACCGCCGTCGTAGATGATCCGGCCGGCGGCGGTGGCGAAAGCGCAGGTGCATTGCACGTATACGACGACGAATTTCCATTTTCCTGCCGGACAAGTTTTCCATAAATACCATCGTTTTACTAAGTTATAACGAGACGATTGTAATAAGAGAATTGGTGATATCAATGAGAGAGGTTTCGAGTTTTGGTCTCGCACTGTATTATTAGGACAAGCCCCAAAAAACATTGTCCTCGGATCAACATATCATATAAAGGTAATTGACATATATTAATATGCGTTGTTATTTGATCAGATCAGCATATCATATAAAGATAATCAATATATATTAATCTCTCCGTCCGCCTTAAGGGTCAAATTTACCTTTTGCGTTATTGTGCTTAATATTAAAAATATCTTTATATTTGTATAATTTTTTGTACCAATATTAGTATTATAAGACACTAGTGGAAATATTTTTGCAATATGTTTTGATATAATAATTAATATTCAAAGATCAACAAACAAAAAATAAATAAAACCCTTAGAGCCGGACGAAGAGAGTAAAAAATAAATGTTTGATTCGATGCTTTTGAAAAGTTAAATGTGTTAAGAGTCGACATACCTTGCAATAGGCGATGCTACGGCAGTTGCACGTCGACTGTCCGTTTGCTTCATCGACAGCTTCGGGGGCGCCCCCTCCGTCGCTCCTCTAGAAACAACACTTGTCTTAATCTCACATAAATCTAAGTACGACGAAGAACATGTCGGAGTTAAGACATCCGCGCTACCTGGTAAAAATCGACTGCAATGAAATTCGGCCAGCGGTTTCCGTCGACTGAATGACAAGTCTTCAACATACTAATCAAACCGCCGGAGTTGTCGACACAAGAATCCGATATATTCGGATTCGTCCGAAAGTAATTCATAAGCACCAAGGATCGCGAAGTTGTGTTCATCGAGGATGACTCAGATCGATTGGGGCAAGAATTGGACACCATCCCACCATTCCCATCTGCAAATCGGACATTTCTATCACTCGGAAAAATAGTGCATTTGATCCAATTATCGATCATCAAAGCCTTCGAGCTTGTTAAAATATTTTACGAAAACTCAAAAATTGCATTATTATTCGTCATCAAAATGAGGACCTATATAGACACTATGAAACAGATTCGATAGGCTCTAATTAAAACAATTTAACCTATGGATAAATCAAATCGTAATCTAAATCTACCAAATCTAAAATAAACCAATCAAAACTAATCTAAACAAATACTTCCTCTGTCCATCTCTAAGGTCACATTTACTTTTGCGTCATTGTACTTAATATTAAAAATATCTTTATATTTGTATATATATATATATATTTTTTTTACAAATATCCTTCTATTAGGTATTTTTGCAATTTTTTCTTAATTTGTATTACATTTTCATATAATAATGAATATTCAAAGATTAACACGTAAATGAGACCCCTATAGCAGGACAAAAGTAATATTAAACTAAATCTAAATATAAAATATCTCAACAGAGCGAGTCGTGGTAATAAAAGAATGACTTACACTGATTCTCCACGACGAAATTCCACTGGTAAGCGATCCCTTCGGACGCCTCTTTAGCCTTTTTAGAAGTAAATACGATCAAGCGTTGGTTTTTTTCGACCATGTCATCGACCGTTGGCCAATCTTCGCCATTTTTGGGCATCCGGGACAGAGGAAACCAGAACTTGTTCAATTTAGAGGCGTTGAACACTCGACTCAGACCGTGGGGCGACGAGACATAATCCTCAATGAAAATGGTGATGATTTCAGACGGATTTTCTTCGAGAAAATCGTGGATTTCTTTCAAGACATTAGTCGCAGGTTGCTGCAAATCAGAAAGTTAGTAGTAGAAAGAACAATATATGATACTTAGAGAAAGAGTCCTCTGCTGCAATTCTAGTCATTGTTCTTACAAAGGCTGTAATATTGAAGCACTTGCCCTCGAAGGAATGACACAACCAAATGTCGTTGTTGAAGTCATACATGTCGAGCATAAGCCCCCGAACGCCGTTCTACAAGACGGAGACATTCGTTATGGAAAATAAAACATGGAACAAACGGTGCAAAAATATTTTATGGAAACTGAAAAATTGTATTACATTGATATCATAATAAGAGACCTATATATAGACAACATAAAACATATTCGATTTTAAATCTATATACTAAATTTAAAACTGAATATCTAAAATATTTCAAAAACGGGACAAAATTTTGTCTCAAGTAGCCTCCGATCGATAATTTCGGCCTTGATCTTGTTCTTCAACAATGGTAGCTAGTTTTTGATGATATAATCTACATTAAATTTCAATTTGCATTTAATTACTACAAAGTTTGATGGAAGATTCGATTCATACTTGAGATGCAAGAAATTAGGGACACCTAGCTAGAAAAATTGAATTACTAATGCTTCGTGATTACTTATTGAATCATTTTACCTAACTAACAATAAGATACTTTAAAGCCAACCAACTGCCCCCACCTAATCATGGTTATTTTTTTCTAAGTACTGACATAACACTACTTACTACTACTGTGATTAAATTGCAGTTTTTCCAGACAAGGGAAAATTAAAACAGTCATACATTTGTTTGTAAAAATCGATCGAATTTAATGTATGTACGTACTTTGAGCTGATCGGAGACGGAATCTTCCTGATTTGTCTGAGTGATGAGCGGCGAACCGGTTCCCGAAGTCCGACCGGTCCGGGCGAAGGAGTTGTGCGTCGTCAGCCATGAATACTTATTGAACGGCAAACCTTTCACCTTTCCCAGAATTAATAAATTAATTAATTCATTCATTTAAATACGCACATAAATACGTGTATATATATATATAAATATACACTCCTAGATCATATTATAAGCGTGTACCGTAGAGGTGGGAATTATCGGCTGTATGCGAGTGCACCGTTGTCTGGTGTTCCCGTTCGCCGGACAAGTCGCGCACGCCAATCCGCCGTCGCAACTGTCGCCGGAATTCGAACACGTTTCGCCAATCTTACATAAGCATGAAGAGACAGTGTAATTAATATAATAAACAATCCAGAGAAAATGGAAAATCAAATGAATCAACAGAAATTACGATTTTCGGACAGGCACGAGCAGGTAAAAAGGATTAATTAATTAATTAATTAATTTAATTAATTACCTGGAGAGAAGAAGAATAAGCAGAAGAGGCGAGGAGGACGGCGGCGATTAAGAACAGCTCAACGTACGGCAAATCGAAACCCTACAGAAGCAGAAAAGGACGAACACTGATTATATTCACGAGGATTGATCAACGAACAGCGAAATCGGATCCAAATCCGACAAAGGTGGAAGAATTTATTCAAGTGCCTGCATCGGAAAACTGTCGGAATAGTAGAGAGAGAGAGAGAGAGGAGAGAGAGAGAGAGAGATGTCTGGGCCCTTTGAAGGTCTCTGTCGGTCTGCGTTTGTGCGTATCGTATCTCAGAGTTAATGAAATCTCGTTTGTTTATTCACTGAGGTTTCGATTTCATCTATGCCTAAATCCAAAATCTTCTTCTGTATTTTGGGGTCTAAATTAATTAGGACAACCCAATTAAATATATATATAAAAAAAAAAGAAAAAAAATATATGTATATATATATTTAGAGAGAGAGAGAGAGAGGGGTAGATATAGAGAGAGAAAGAAAGAAAAGACCAGCAGACTATTTATTTATTTATTTATTTTCAAAAAAAGCGAGCGCGTGCTTTTACTTTTCCCTTTTTAATTTTTTACTACTAACAAAATTGGAATTTGTAGCTCACCATAAATAAGTGTAAATAAAATTTTGATTAGAGGTATGTGTATACCATTTTTTTTCTTCTATTTAGTTATTAATAATAGTTTTAATTCAAAATATTGTCATTTTTATTCATATATAATTTGTAGAAACATGTTAAATTAATAAGTAAAAAAATAATAAAATAACTGTAAAAAATATGCAATCATTTGAGGATGAAGGTAATAATTTTAAAAGCATATCATTGAATTTTATATTCAAAAGTTGTTATATGGTTACTTATACCAATTTTTCTTTTTTTTTTTTTTCAACATCCTATTCAAAATAGTTGGCAATATTTAATTCTTTAAAACTGTTTTTTATTTTTTATTTTTTTGTCTCGTAAGTGTACCATATTGTCATTTTAGTTCCGTAAGTGGAATTTGTCGCAAACTAGTTCTATTAGTGAAATTTTTTTGTTGTTTTAGTCCTCCGGCACAGGAGACGCCTGCATGACTCGTCGGAAGCCACGTGTCTGCCAGGTGTCCTGCCAAGTTAGCGACGCCTGGCGGACAAGTAGATTTTATTTATTTATTTATTTTTAATTTTTTTTCAATTGGACCAAATAAAAAGAATTAAAAAGACAAATAAAATTAAAAAAAATTAAAAAAATAAAATAAAATCCACGTGTCTACCAGGTGTCGCTGACCTGGCGGACACATAGCCTCCGGTGAGCCACACAGGCGTCTCCGGCGCCAGATGACTAAAACAACGAAAATTTTTTACTTACGTGACTAGTTTGTGACAAACTCCAGTTATGAGATTAAAATGATAAGAGGTCAGTTACGGACTAAAAAAAACACTTTACCCTAATTTATATATACACACAATGACTCCAATCTTTTATTGGAGCTATAGGTAGACTTTGGAAATTTATTTCAATGAATAGGAACTTTCATACGATTTTAAAAAAATATTATAATAATAATAATAATAATAATAATAATAATAATAATAATATACTGTTTACGTTTAATATAGTGAAATTTGTTTGGATGAGTTTTGAAAAACAAAGCAACATATTTACCATTATTTTATTTTTTTAATAGATTGTAAATATATATCGTTATTTAAAATACTATATCTTAATCAATATTTTCACTTAATCCCTTCTTACTGTTTAAAATAATAAAAAAAATACTAATTAATTTTTATTAATGTAAGAATAATATTAATTGAAAATTTAGCATTGACTTATAAAATAGTGTTAACGATAAAATTGACCGAATCAATCTATAAACCCACACCAATATTTGAATATTATATGGCATAAATATATAAAAGTCACAATCAATTAATTGAACAATCTCAGGTTTGAATTAAGTTGCCGAGTTGAATTAAAAAACAAACACCTGCATTAATATTGTTTCAATTCATGCATGTTCTTCTGAAAAAATAAATAAATAAATAAATAAAAAATTAAAAATTAAAAATATTTATATTATATTAATATAAATAATGTGCTATTTAGATTATTATTGGTGCTATTTTCCTAAATCGAAACAACAATCGAACCGTTGACAGTGATTGTTATGGTACTGATTTAGAAAAATTACCGTCATGCTAATTTATTCAAACAACATAGCTCAAGACTCTTAAATAGCATATGCAGTGGCCCACCCCAACTCCACTTTTACCCTATTTTATTGAACTTTTTTTTAAAAGAATAATATATATATAATATATAGAAAATATTTAAAATAAATAAAATAATAATAAAAACATCAACGTGTTGATTTATTTTTTTTAATAAGAAAGTGCATTAGTTTTTTTTCCCCAAAATATAATATATCAATAGTTACTAATAAAAAAAATTATTATTATTTTTTTATTATTTGGACTATATTTGAGGTAATAATTAATATTTAATATTAGTATGCAAAAAATAAATATAAACTTATTAAGTACTGAACACATGCTCTGTAAAATAGGAGCATGCGTCTATATTTAAAATGTGTGTTTATTGGACTCTTGATTAATATTTTTGAACTCTTAATTGATGTTTTCTAAATTTTTGAATTTATGTTATTTCAAGAAATCACTACAGTGTTATGTGTTCTATAAAATTATGTCTATGTATTCTTTGTTTTTGTTTTATATTAACGTAAATGATATGCTATTTTAAATTTTTGATTGATGTTTTTAGACATTTACCGATACTATTTGAAAAATTCAGCACATAGAACTAGTACAATTTCTTAACATGAGATTTTTGGGGGTTTTGAAGCTTTAGAAATTGTAAAAAAATAGTATTTGGTTTTGATATTTTATAATAAAAAAATAATATTAAAAAAACACTTGAGTATTATGTTTATAAGCTGATATTGTATTCTTTTACTCTTTTATAGATGTATAGCAAAATTATCAAATTAATTTTATTTATTATTGACAATTAGATATTAATTTTAATCAACATTGTGCTGAAGTTTTAGACATTTAAGTGAAAAGATTGCTATTAATTAAAACTTAAAAATAAATTTGTCACTTTTAGGAAGAAAAAAATAAATTATTAGCAGAAGTAGAGAAAAGTGAACTTAGAACTTTCATTTATTTTAGATGCCTAAATTACATTATACTTACCATTTTAAAACCTAGTTAAAAATTATATGTAGGGGTTAGCAAAATTTCGAAATTCGAAAATCCAATTCGAACCAAACCGAATTTTAAAATTTGGTTCGGATTTTTCGGATTCTCGGATTGGATCGGACGAATTTTTAACAAATTTCGGGTTTTCGGTTTAGATCGAATCGGATCGGTATACTTAAAATCCAAAGCAATCCGAAATTCGAAATATAATATTTTAATATATTTTTTTATTATACATATTTAATATTTTATTAGAAAATATTATATTTTAATATAAAAAACTCAAATTTATTAATTATATTTTAATATATTTAATTTTAATATATTATATATATTTAATATTATAAAATAATAATAAAATATAAAAGAAATTTAAAAATTAAAAAAATAAGAAAAATATTTAGAATTTCGGATTTTTCGGTTTGGTTCGAATTTTTTTAGTTCGAATTTCGGTTATTTCGGTTCGGATTGATATTTTCAAAAATTTTGAATTTTCGGAACCGAAAATCCGAATACTCACCCCTAATTATATGGCTTTGTTTAGACATCAATTTTGATGTTTGAAATTATTCTAACATTTTTAAAAAATGCTACTTTAAATATATTTTCATTTTTTATTAATAGTGTTTTTAACTAAATTATATTTTGCTTCTTACAAGAAAACAAAATAATTAATCATGTTATTATAGTCACATTCGTAAATACAAAACCAATGGATTCCATGTTATAATAAATGAATTAAACTACATTTGTAGACAAAAAAAAAAAAAAAAAAAAAGAAGAATATTTATACTTAAATTTCTGAAAAATAAAATAATTAGATCACAAAAATATAATAATCCCTCCGTCTACTGAAAGGATGTCATTTTTCATTTTTGTCCGTCCCAAAACAAAATTACCATTTCCTAATTTAGTAATTGTACTATCTACCTTACATAATAAATACTTTTCCAATTTACACTATATTATACAAATGTATTACGTTTATATTACACAATACTAATAGGGGTATTTTCGTCTTTTTCACTACAACATTATTATAATACTAATATTAAAAAATCTACGTACAAAAAGTAAACGACAACCTTGCACCAGGACATAGGGAGTATTAATCATAGAAGAGTACAATCATACTCCCTCCGTCCAAGCAAAAAATATACATTTATTTTTGGCGCGAAGTTTAAGAAATAATTGTATCTTAATTATAGTGGGGAGGTAAAAGTAGTGTAATGACATTTTTGTTCTTACTTGTTTGGTATAAAAGTAATGATGTGATGTAAAATAGAGGTATTTATGGAAAAAATGAAATATTTAATGAAATTATTACTTTGTAATAATTGGACGTCCCAAAATAGAAATATGTATTCTTTACAAGGAGAAAGCATTATTTAAAGAGTATAAAAATTACTTTTAAAGAGCACAATAACAATTTAAAAATACAATAATATAATAACAATTTAAAAAACAATAATATAATAACAATTTTTTTAAATAAATTATACTTGATTTCTTACAATGAATCAAAAGAATTAATTATATATACTCCCTTCGTCCCATAACAAAGTATCTATTTTTCCATTTTAGTCCGTCCTATAACAAAGTATCAATTTCCTTTTTTAGTAGTTGTACTATCTATCTAACATTACAAATACCCTTATAACTTACAATATATTACACAAATGTCATTACCTTTATATCACACATACTAACAAAGTTATTTTAGTCATTTCTATTTTATTCCTACTATATCCCAATATAATACTAATATTTCTAAAACTACGTGAAAAATAAATAGATACTTCTTTTTGGAACGAATGGAGTATATTTTTAACTATATTCGTAAATACAAAAAGCATGGATGTAATGTTCTAATAAGTTATGATCAATTGATTAAACCATATTGGTGACAAAAATATTAATACAGAAATTTTTGAAAAATATTTATATTACAATAAAACAATATTAATTATGAAAGAATACAATAATATTATTTGAAAAAAAATATAAATTACTTCAAATGAACACAAATATTAATTTAAAAAAAAACACACACACAATAAAATAACAATAATAAGAATGAAAGTGTACACACCTACATGGAATTAAATGTCCAATTGACAAATCAAGATTTATAATTAACTAATCAAACCATATCGTCTGCTCTTAGTTCGATTTTTCATTGCATGTCATCTAATTTGTGATATACAAATTTATACAAATCCGAGAGTGCAATAAATAATTCTTTGGCCTCAAATCCTCAATTTTTAACTATTTGGTATTCATGCATTCTTCGGAAAAAATACATTTTTTTTTTCATAAAAATCTTATCAAACATTATTTTAATACCAAACTGAAGCCAAATTTTTTACCAAACCAATCAAAATAAACACATGTTGAGTATATCTCACCTTGGAAAATGTGTGGGATCTCCCCTAATATATAAGGTGAAGGGCCACTCCACCTATCACCAATTGATTTTAAGTTGGATGCCCGGATCATTTCTTAACAACACACAATTATAAGAAGGTGATAATGGTAAAATAAAATCAACTCTAGAGAGTAATATTTTAGAGTTTTTTTTTTTTTTTTCTTAAAATGATTATATAATTATCCCTATTTTTTAAAAAAATAAAAAATAAAGAAAATTATATTAAATGAAAATAACCCAATAAATGGGTTAGAAATTACACCAGAATTTAATTAATTATGCTTAAAAAGAAATATCATATTTGGTTGTGCCGTTAAATGAAAATTGTTGTAAAAACAGAACATTGTATTCCCCAATAGATGTATTTTTTATATTGACTATAGAGAATTGATAATATATATGTATGTATAAATAATATTTTATGTTAAATTATTGATCTTTATGAATAAATAAAATATGTAGTATTATATATATTGTACTAATACATTATAGATTATAATTTTTTAGTAATATTCATTAAAAATTATGTCATAAAAAAAAATTAAAAAAAAAAAAAAAATTGAATGAAAGAACTGACACATAATAACAAGAATCCAAGATGTCCCTGGGCCTGTACGAACCGGACCGTGCTTGACCCAAAACGATTTATCAAATAAAATTTTATTTAGTATTTTTTAGAAATATATGGTAAAATTAAAAAAAAAAAATAATATATTTAATGTTAAAATTTTTAATTATCAATAATTTTGTTTCATAATTATATTTATTTAAATTAATATAATTTATTTTTTAATAAAAAAAAATTAAGATTTTAATTGGCCTGGTCCTACACGATTGAAACTGCATCGAACTGACTCTTGAGAGTAAAAAAATAGGTATAAAACTTGTAGCAAAACGAATAGTAAAAAATGAAATAAAAATAATTACATAGCATCCCATTGTAGTATTTCTGTACACAAACTATAAATTGCAATCTCTCCTTGTGACCAAAAAACACAAATATATAAATATGTATATATATATATATATATCAAAGGAAAAAAAATTCAGGATGATACAAGACATTAATTTTTACCGCGATGGACGAAGCAATGGCGAACAGAATACTCGACGTTGGAACAAAACGAAAGTCGCGGGATTCTTGAAGACGAAGAACGGTCTTTTTCAGACAACACATTCCTCATGGTCTCCGCCTTCATCTCCGCAGTTTTGAGCTTGCTCATGATCTTCTTCATCGAGGCCAATCTCTTCTTCTCCAATTTCAGCTAATCAAAAAATTCGAGTTACAAATTATCGAATATTATTCGAAAGATGAGTAGGCGACGACGACAACAAAACCAACCTCGAGTTTCTGAATAGCTTCTTCAGCTTTGCTTTTCTGCAGATTCTCCCAAGCACTTATCTTGGCTTCTTCTTTTTGCAACCTTATTTTATCGAAGAAAATAACATAAAACTTACATTGTATGTCAGAAAAAAAATTTAATGGTTATGAGTGTATATGATTGATGATCAAAGGGATACTTAGATGAAGTTTTTGATGCATTTTGTCGAAATGGCGAATGGATTTTGTCTATGTACTCCAATTTGTTCTCTTCCTCGATGGGCTTTCCGGGATCTTGTTTCTTGGATTGTTCGAGGGCGCCTTTATCGACTTGGACATCCAAGACTTTGTCTCTTACAACATCGGCATCGGTGTGAATTGAGGATACTAAGGTTGAGAAAGATAAACTCTTTTTTAAGCGAGCGCTTCCTTTGTAGCTCATTTTGATCGAAGTAGTTCCATTGTAGTTTGATGCTTCTTCCCCTTCGAAGAACCTATCTTCGATTTTCTCCTCATCTGGTCATTTATTTTAACAATTCTACATTAATAGTTGAAAAAATATCTAAATTGACAGCACATTGTGCGCTAACCATACCATATTATTACAAACAAAATATCATTTATATTAGCAAAATACAAATATAACACATAACTAACGATGTGATATAATCTCACACATCATATGCAACAATTAATTTTAGTCAATAACATATTTTTATCCAATACATGTCTTAAAATATGAAAAAATAACACATGATTTTTTTTATGCAACATGTCCAATGTAAAATAAAAACATGTATTATTTGTATATTTTATCTCATATCACCACCATAATCATTCATATAAATTTTATAGTAAATTTTCTGATCTTGGTGATAACAAAAGTAATATTTTGAGTTCTAGTTGATCCAAAATACTAAAGTATCTTATAAGTTATCATACACATGGACAAATTACAGTTGTAAAATATCGGTGGCGATGAATAAAAAAAATTTCAAGCATGTAAAATTAAAATAAATTACGATAACATTCATTTCTCTGTTTCTCGTATAAATAGTACTAAAAAAAAGTTGGTACCTTTAGAGTTTTTCACAAAAATCTTGCCAACACCACCCGACCCATTGTTTCCGACATCCGAGGAATCCTCGGAAGCTCGGTGCAATTCATCCATGAAACTCCCGGGGTCCCGGCCTTCGAGAACAGGGGTGGATGGAGAGCAGTTTGTTGAGTGCACAACTCCCGAACCACCCAAAGGCCCGCTCTTAGACATCACTTTCCTCCGGGGAAGACCAACCGGAGTCCTGACGGTACGGTCGCCGGAAACCGGGCTAGTGATCCATCTCTCGGCGTCGTCCCATTTGGAAGGTGGAGTCTTTCCATTACTCAAGGGGATCAATGCAGAGTGCCTCCTCACGGTCCAGGACTTCAGATCGTTGTTGATGCATTCTGGAGATCCGGGACTAGTGTGGGCACCAGAATGTAGGCCTGGACCAAACTTCTTGCTCATGGCTTTTACTTGAGGGCTGTATTGATTTGTAGCACATTGTTTCAATAAATTTTTTTAATTTGAATTAATTTGGACATCCAAAAATTATTCAATAAAAAATCAGAAAGATAACAAACAAACAGACAAACAAAAGAATCATATATACATAACTGCAAATCGAAAAAAAAACAGAAAGGGGAAGGAATCAAGACCTCATAAACTCAACCATGGAAGTCCCCATTGATTTCCTGCTCAGACCTTCTTTAGTTCTTCTTCTTCTTCTTCTTAATTCAGGCAAAAAGAAAAGAGGAATACGAGGAAGAAGGAGGCGAATGGAAGGGGAGAAACTGTCTGAATCATGAATGGTGTAAGAAATTAGAAAATGAAAATTTCAGAATACTTTATCCTTAAGGAAACCTCTAATTCATTAAAAGAGCTTGAAAATGGCGAAGAAGAGAGAGAGAGAGAGATAGATAGAGAAAGGAAGTCTGGAATGGAATAGATGGTGTATTTGACGAATTCGTCACCTGAAAATTGCCGCTGCGCAGAGACGACGACTTCAGTTCACATTTTGGATTATTATTATTATTATTATGATTATTACTATGCTTACACAACAAACTAATAATGGCCGGTGGACACGTGTGCGGTTACGATGCCCAAATCGAATCGATTACAGCCGTCGGATTAAGGGCTTGGAGGGAAGGGAGTCATTTTGATTGGTCGATGGTGGATCGGCGCGCTGCACCGGAGTGTAGAGTATTGGTGCTGAGCAGGAAGCTGAGCTGGCAGCTGCCTTGAAGTGGGACCCACGGATTTTATAATTTCGTCTGTGGTGGTAGGATATTGAAATTGGGGGCAAAGTTGTAAATGTACCAAAATATTTCGGGTTTGTTTACCTGTAAAATTTTGGAATTTTAATTTTAAATTAAAATAATTATTTAATTTGATATAAATATATATATATTGATATAATATTTTAAACATAAAATTTAATTTTAATATAATATAATAAATAAAAAATAAAAATAGTAAAACCAAAAATCCAATCTAAATCCACCCTTCAAATGTTTTTTGCGTGCGGTCTAGAGACTCCAGGCTAGAGTAGTCGGGTCCCTCGGCTCGGGTCAGGTTAGATTAGGCCGGTTGGGTTTGGGTCCGATGAAAGTCATGTAGCTCGGCCAGCTTGGAACCTGTAACGCTAGCAAGCTTTAGCCACGTCAGCTACAGTTTTTTATTATTAAATTCAATTGTTTGTTTATTTATTTGAATTTTTAAATAGTAGTAAAAGTTATATTAAAATAATTATTTCACCTGATATGAACAAATATTAATGTAATATTTTAGACGTAAAAAATAATTTTTAATATAAAATAAAAAATTAATTTAATATTATTTTAAAAAATATAAATGGTACGTATGAAAATCTTACAAACAAATGGTGCGTTTACTTGTGAGATTTTGCTCTTAATTTTATTATTCTAATTTTTTTTCTTTAAAAACATCAAATTAAACACTCTATTTTTATTTATTTTATTACACTAAAATATAATTTTACATTCAAAATATCACATCAACACATATTTATATTAAATTAAATAATCATTTCAATTTAAAATTTTACTATTCAAAATCAAAATTCAAAATTAAAATCTCATAAGTAAAATAAATTTAAAAACTAGGGTTTTACTTTTTCTTATATAATTTTATAATTTTTAAAAAGTATGTTCATTTTTATATAAAATATCTACATTATTTTATATAAACAGAAATAATCTTAATGGATATTTTTTAATTAGAATATATTATTTTATATATATATATTGAATCACAACACTATGTCATCTAAAAAAAAAATTCAAATTGTGTTTATTTTAATAATAATAAAAAAACATCATTATTTAATTAATAAAATTTTTAATAAAAATATATTATTTTCTTTCATAAACTATCTTATTAAAATTATTTAAATAAAAATTTAAATTAATATTTTATTTCAAATCAATTTTAAACCACTACCAAATAAATCACATATAAAAAAACACATTCTTTGTATAGGTTCCTTAATAAATACTTCTTCGTCCCACATAAATTGTTTAAATTTTTCATTTCGATCGTCTTGCATAATTTATCATATTTCTGATAAAATAATTATACACTTTATACGGATCTTAAATTTTATAATTTTAGTAAAATTATATATTTCAATTTGTTCATTAAGCATTTTAAATCAACATCAATATTATTCACTATGCATAATTTTCAATAAAAATATACTTCTTCCGTCTTATATCTATATATCCATTTGTTTTTTTACGGAATTTTAGAAATATTAGTATTATATTATGATATAATAAAAATAAAGATAAAATAACTAAACTAACCTTAAAGATAAAAAAACTAAACTAACATTTTCAGTATTGTATGATATAAATGTAATGACATTTGTATAATATATTGTAAATTAGAAGAGTATTTGTAATATTAGGTAGATGATAGATATGAATACTTTATTATAGGGCATACCAAAATGAAAAAATGGATAGATTGTTAAGGGACGGAGATAATATTATTTTTTCTTACAAAATATCATATTAAAATATTATTACAAAAACTCAAAAAATCTTCAATTTTAAATTAATTTTAAACCACAACGAATAAACTTAACCTGTCTACAGGTAAACACAATTTAGATAGAATGGAGACAGTACTATTAAAAAAAAATAAATCTAATTTCATTGTTAATTCTTTTTCTAAAATAGTTTTCTACTTCTTAGAGTAATTTTTAATTGTAAATTTTCATGTATAAAATAAAATAAAATAATTATTATTTAACAATTTTTGTTTTAAGATTTGAATCAAATATAATGTAATATTATATATATACTACATGTGTTACGAAATTTTAATTTTGGTGGAAAATAATGAAATTGTCTTATTAATCATCAAAATAAGAAGTCTATATACATGTACAAAATTGACTTTATAGACTAATCCAATTTATGTATAAGACCAAATCTAAATATAAATTTATTAAATTTAAAACCGAATATCTAAAATATCTCAATATTATAAAAATATAAATATATTGACTTAAAATTTGATAGTTCCAATTCAATTTTATTATCTTTATGTAGGGTGGTAAATCGAGTTGGCTTGATTTTTTTCGTGTCGGGGCCAATCCGACAATATTTTGGGTCGGACAGGAACAATCCGATTTCAAATTGAGTCTGAAAACTTAAGTCCGAGCACGATTCGATTTCACATCGGACCCTATGTTTGAGCGTTTTATTTTTTCTCAATTCTAAAATAGTAAGAGTGAAAATTGAAGCCATAATTTTATATTTACAACACACAAACTAAATTATTAGATTATATTTTTATTTTTAACATAAACTTACTAGTTAATATATTTATAAAATTATTTTTTAAAAATATATTTAATTTAAAAATTGTGCCGGACCAAGCAATGGCCCTATTCATACTCATGCTAGGCCAAGCATATTTTTTAGACCGAAGCACGATTTTTTTTTTTGGGTATTGAATTCGAATAAAATTTCAGATCGTGCCTATTTTTCCAATTTTATTTTAAGGGATAAATATTTTTTAGGTGTATATTTTTTGTTATCTAAGAAAACAAATTTTTTTCACTAACTCAATGTACTTTGTTTTTTAAATAAATTAAAAAAAATAATATTTTATTACTTAATAAAAGAATGTAAGATGAATTTTAACATTTTTATAAGATACAAATAAAATGAATATTTTTTTAAAAAAAAAACGTAAAGATCTTATAATATTTACATATGGTTATTTTCACTATAATTTAAAAATAATATTTTTTAATGAAACAAACGAAAATAATAAAAAAAGTACATTAAGTTGAGATTGAAAGAATATAAAATTTACCTTATCTCCAATATATAGCAGTTGAAAAACTTATTTGATATTGAAATATTATTATATGTATTGATATGACACCTAATACTAACATAAATTAATTACATAACAATTTTTTAATATAAAATAGTAACATAATTTAATTTTTAAATAAAAATATTATATATTTGATAAATAAAAAAATTATATCTACATTTTGTGACATCGACTAGTCCATGCCGACACCAATTGTAGCGTGCCAACATATGTGGCAATATTCCAATTGCATATAACATTTTGAACTATTGCGGATTAAATGCAAGACTTATGCATACTTTAGTTAAATAATAAAACTATTACATATTCGACTAATAAAATATTTATCCTTATTTTTAATTTGGAGTGTCTTCAAACCTCTGTAAATTTTCTTTAATTATATACTCTCTCCGTCCCATAACAGGTATTCATTTATTTTTTGCGCGTTGATATTTGAATATTAATTATTATATTAAATTGTATTACAAATAAAAAGAAAATAACAAAAATATTTCTATTGGTGTCTTATAATATTAATATAATGACATTTGTATAAAAAAATTATACAAATATAAGGATATTTTCAATGTTAAATACAATAACGCAAAAGACAAATGAATACTTTGTTATGGGACGAATGAAGTATTTTTTTTCCCAATTTACTCCCATGTATACTTTTAAAAAAGTTCTAAACAAAAAAATAAGAGTAAAAATAGTTGAAAAGATTATTCTTTTCGAGCCAAACAAGTTGTAAATTAATTTGCGAATTTTGAGATATGAAGAAATTAAAACTACAAATCTAATAACACTGAGATCAGGTTTCATAATTGAAATCAAATCCGAGCGTTACGTATATGCGATTTTCTTGAAGCGAATTCGATTTGCCACCGATCACCGCTCAAAATATAATAAATTAAACGGAATAACGGACCATGCGAACCAATTTAGAAAACTTTTGAATAGAAAATTTTAAAGGAATTTTGAAGAGAGATGAATTTTTTGAGAATTGATCTTGGCTTTGTTCAAAAATAAGGGAGAAAGAAATTTATATATATTTTTATATACTTTCATATTTTGGTATTAATTTGTATTAATTAAATAAAAATATAACAAATTAATCCCCATCAATTTGCTACACGTTGCAACTATCAATCTATAATTTATAGGGCGTCAATTTATGTTTTTGGGTCGTGTTCGTGTCGGGTTGAGCCATGAAGATAATAAAAAAACTGTCAATCCGAACTCGAAATTTGACCTGAAACTCTAAACCCGAACACGACACGAATTCTTTTAGGTCGGTTCAGGTTGACCTGAATTAGTTTCAGGTCACCCGAAACTCGAACAAACCCGATACGAAACAGACCCAAAAATTAAAAAAAAAATTAAATTAGCCTAAAAAATATCATTTTTATTTTAATTTTTATATTATTTTATATTTAAAATAATATAAATATTATAAATTAAAATAATAATAATAAATATTTCAGGTCAACCCGAAATTCAAAACCTAACCTGATTTTAATATTTCAGGTTATCAGGTCAACCCGAAACACGACCCGAACACGACACGAATTTTATTCGTTTCAGGTTCGGATCGACCCGATTTTATTCAAACCCGAATACCCAAACCCGA